CAAATTAAAAATGATTGACGCAGAATATGAAGCAGAAATGGAGAACGACAAAAGGAATCAATCACAGACTCTTGAACAAAAGTATTTAGAGTATCAACGGGAATGCGAAAGAAGAGCAAATGAAGAATTAAAAGCTCGTCTGAAAATGTTTGAAGAAACCACCATAAGCGCGATGCGATTGGAAGAGAGCGCAAAATACCGAGAACGATTGGCCAGAGAGCTTGAAGAAATGGAAAAGGCACACATGAGAAAAATGGAGAGAGCCACAGAAAGAGAACGAGAAATTTCGGATCGCCTCGAAAAGAAGGAAAAAGAAATTGAAAGGCTATCTTACGAGCACAGACAGAAAATGTTCAAAGAAATGGAAGAAATTCAAAGAAAAAATCAAGCCATCGCTAGAGAGAGACAATTATTGGAAATGAAAAAAGCAGAGCTCGATGACAAAGCCAGAAGACTGGATGTTCTTGCGTCACAAACTGCTATTGACATGAAGTCTGAAATGTCGCTCATGAGAGCAAATTTAGAGAGGGAGAATATTGCCAAGATCCAAAAATTCGAAGAAGAAAAAAGAAAGTTGGAACTGGAAAAGGAAAAATTGGCTGAAATGATGAAAAAGCACAGTGACACATCTCATTTAGAGGAGACGATCAAACAATATCAACATTCTCTTGATATTGTGAAAAGTGAATTACATGAATCTAGAAAAAGAATACGAGATTTAGAGGAAATGAACGATCAAATGAGAATGCAAATTTCTTTATTTAAGGAGACCAATAATGACTCAAACAAGCCCAACAACAGAAGTACGGATGTGGCTCGAGACAGCCTACTTCAACGAGAAATTGAAAATCTTACCAATCAACTCAAGAATAAGGAGCTTGCTTTCCATTCACTCCAAGAGAAGATGCTGGTATTAGAACGAAGCGAAAATTTTCTCAAAACCACTCTGGAAGAAAACGAAAGAGAAAAGAAAAAGTTGATGGACGACTTCAAACGAGAATTGTTGGAAGAAAAACAAAAAACAAAAAAAATTTTGACCCACTGGCAGAACACGGAACGCAATCCAATGGTTGAAAAACTCCAAAAAGAAAGAGTTCGAACAGAACGAATGCAACGAGGTTTGGAAGAACAATATCTTCAAAACAGAACACTGCAGCATGAAATTGATCGTTTGAGAAATTTATTGGAATTGCCTCGAATTTCTAGCAATAATGGTGCTGATGGCAAATCGACCAAGTTTGGAGATATTTCACAAATTGGAAAGCCGATCGAATTTGCCTATCCTAGCTCACTTCGAGATGACAATATTTATGAACGACTATCACTTAATGATTATCCACAACTCTCTATCCATGACAAACTTAAAGAAATTGACAAAATTGGAATGTCTCTCAATCGTGATTTTAACTTGGTGGATAATACTCAAAAGAATAAGACAGAAATGAATACGATTGATTTCACACCTTCCATGATGGATGAAGTGTCGAGCAGCTTGGATGATTCCTTCCTCAAAACCTTCGACTCAAAAACGGCAATTCGAAGTTCTATTCCCATCAATGTTAATACTCGTGATGACAAACATGTTGCTCGAGTCTTGAATACTCTTGAAAATCAATTTGATCAAAAGTTTCTCAATAATGACGAGTTCATGAGAAACACATTCACAACATTACCATATCAAACTGAGAAAGATCAGTCCTCTCCGCTCATTCACAGTCCTCTAATTACTCAAAATCAACAACAAACAACCTTCTTGGAAGAATCCCTTCAAAACGATCTCAAGTTTGAAACGACACTCAACAGCAAGGAAACAATGGCTAAGGAAGCTCTCTCAACGAATACCAAGATGAATCGACTTCATGACGAGAACGCTCAAGAAATACGAGCGAGCAATTCAGAAAAGAAGGATCATGTTCAATCGAATAGCATTTCCTTGGAAGAGAATGTCAAATCGGCAAAAGACGATGTGAAGCAGACTGTCTTTACAACTCTTTCTCAACATTCTCCAACAATTTCCTCGAATAATAACTCTCCAATCGATCAAGTGGCGCCCAGTATACAACTACTGCAACAAAAACAACAGAACGAACGTGTTCAACCTTCAGTTGTGATCTCCACTGCTCCTTCGCAACAAGTGTCACCTTCAGAAACATTTTTCGATACAACTCCCGGCATGCAACGGTTTCATGAGAATTCGCATCAGACCCATTCCACAACATCCATCACAGCCACCACTGACTCCCAATCAAATCCAGTTACAGATGTAAGTGATCGCCGAATATTAGGGGAATCAATGAAGAAACAAGTTGTTGAGGAAGTTCAAAGCTATGGACAAGTACGCGATCAAGAAGAATCAATTGTTGATGACGTTCTTAATCATGAAGAACACCACTTGATGCATCAACCTTCCCCCAATACTCATGGCTCACTCGACGAAGAAGAAGAGCAAACTCGTCAGCCAGCAGTGGTTATCGATGATCCAATCACGACAAGTGCGAGCGATCAACAAGTGTACGACCATTTTGGAGTTGGCAACGACGACGATTTATTGAATACAACTCATTCAGATGGCTGGAAATCTGATACATCTGGATTCAGTGCTGGAGGTGGAGGGTTTAATGATGATGATTTGGATATTGAAGATCAGTTATATGCTAAGAGTGAATACGACGACTTTTAACCCTCAGTTGGATACATAGTTATTTGAGACGTATTGTAAAACCTTTGGAAAATGTTGGCATTTGACATTTGAGGATGGTGAACGATCGTAATGCAGGATCCTGCGTGCATGGTTATGGTCAATTGGTTCATCAACAACCACAAGAAGATATATTTACGGTAAATTGTTGGTTGTATAAGTGGTCTTTTGTGTCAACCGAGCATTCACTATTTTCATGTTCAGATTGAAGAGAAATCTCGACAGTGAAGCTCAGGCCTGGTTTTGAAGCAGCCAAAAATTTTCATTGTAAACTTCACGACTTGGTTGATTGTAAGTTGAGTAGAAAATAAAAATTTTTGTCTGAAAAAAAAGCCATTACATCATCATACTACATCACACAATGAAGGTCGTCGCAGCTTATTTGTTGGCAGTTCTCGGTGGAAACCAAAGCCCAAGCAAGAAGGATATTGAAAAGATTTTGGGAGCAGTTGGTGCTGAAGTCGATGCTGAACAAGTTGATAAACTTTTGAAGGAATTGGAAGGCAAGAACGTTTTTGACGTTATTGCTCAAGGTAAGGAGAAGTTGGCTTCCGTCCCAACTGGTGGTGCTGCTGCCGGAGGTGCAACTGGTGGTGCTGCTGCCGTTGAGGAAAAGAAGGAAGAGAAGAAGGAAGAAAAGAAGGAATCCGAGTCTGAGGACGATGGTGATGCTTTCGGTGGTCTCTTCTAAATCATCCAACACATTCTCATCTTATAAAAATAAATCCTCCTAAATATTTAAAAGTTCATAAATGATGATTCTCACTCTTGTGATGACAAAGATCACAAAAATGTTTTGTTGTTGTTGCCCTAAAAAGAATTTGGATGTGTGAAGTTTCCTAGATCCACACTCTGAACAAGTAGAGTGCAGAAGCTGATACCTCTAATGTATCCAGACATCCGAGCAGCAGTATGAAACGTGGAAAGTGTATCATATCTTGGGGGATGTGTGTTGTTCATCGAATATAACAGAGGAGGGTAAATTTGAGCTTGCCTTTCAAAGAGCTTGATTAATTTCAATGCAATTATGGGTTTTAAAATGAACAAAACATTAACAATATCCCCAATTTATTTGAACTCGGTTTCGACAACCAAATTGTAATTGGACAAGTTGATACCAACGAGTCACACTGACCATTCTTTGTTTTTATTTCTTTGCATTGTTGGGCTGTGAAGTTCCAGTGCCTCCCGTATTCGGTTGTGGTTGAGAAGGTTGTTGAGAACCCGTGATGTTTGGCTGTAACAAACCCCCTCCCAACATGCTCGGATTAATAAACAACTGCGTACCTCCTGGCATCATCATGAGACCTTGAGGTGAAAAGAACGGATTGTACATCAGAGGCATTCCACTCATACCACTCGGTATAAATGTTGTATTTGGAGGCATGTTAATTCTTGTGTTGCCTACCGTCCCAACAGTTAAGGGATTTCCTTGTTGAGCAGCAAGAGCAGCCAATGTGAGAGCAGAAGCATCCGTTCCTCCAATCGCTGAAGTTGTTCCTGGATTGTTTCCAACGAGACCTGTGGCAGCAGTGGTCGTGGACATTTGTGAGCCCTGTGAGGTGGAGACACCACCTACAGGATTGGTAGTCGTAGTGGTGGCTGGTTGCAAATGAGCATTGTTTGGTGGTCGTTGTGACAATGAAGAAGAAGGTTGCGTGGTTCCTTTCGAACTTTGTTTAACCATGCTTAGAAAAGTGTTTTTGTCTACCACATACGAAATAAATAGCTTATCAGGAATGTCATAATAGGAGGCCTTACTGTTTTCCTTAGATTTGAGTGTCTTATACATTTCACTCGTGATGAAAACTAAAAATCTGACATTTGGTTGAGACTCTTGCTGTTCGTTGTCACGAGGAGGCACAGTCACAGGAAGAGCGATCAAAAATTGTTTGTCATTGACAGTCTTGTAGAAACTTTCGAATCTGGAACTTTCATCTTTCGTTTTCCACAAATAAAAGAAGGTGTGCTTATCGAGACATGCTTTGAGATTTTGAGGAATGGATTGATGGGCAACACGTTTGATGTCACATGTTTTTGGTGCCTTTGAAATGAACGCCTTGGCTTGATCAGGATAATCTGGCACATTGAGATAATTGTTGTGAATAAGATCGAGTGTGAAGAGAGCATTACTATTAGGTTCCACTGAGAAGACAATTGAGTGAAGAGGAGTCGAGACAGCGCTATGGACAGAGGTGTTATCCGATGAAGTGTTCGATGCTGTCTGAGGTGGAGAGATGGTCGATGTGGATGATTTTCCTTGTTGTGACGACGGTGGTGGTGTGCTGCCTCTTGTTGGATGGTGTTGTTGTTGTTGTGGAGGAGAAACAGTCACAGGATTGGTTGCAGTGCCACCACTGGTAGCCTTCTCCGGAGAGCTTTGTGTTGATCCCTGTGTTTGAGCAAGCAATTTGGGAGCTATGGTGGTTTTGGATTGTTTCATTGTCGTCGTTGTATTTCCAGTGGTTTTCACTTGAGAGGTTGCAGAACTAGTTGGAAGGTTGTTGCCTGAGGAAGGAGTGGTTCCTAGAGGGGGAGATGAAATGACAGTTGGCACACCGTTGGCGGTTTTGAGTGGAATGAGAGGTTGAGCAGAAGTAGTACTGCTTGATGTATTTTGCTGTGAAAGGTTCAGTTGAAGGCCTCTCAGCTCAATAAATGCAGGCTTAAATTCAATGAGTTCCTTCTTTGAAGAGGTAGTTTTGGCTGATTTTTCTAGAATTAAGCGAATAATTTTTTCGTCATTTGATGCATTTCTTGAAAGATTGGTACCCTCAATGGTTCCATTCACCACTCGTAATTCTGTTGTTTCATCTTCCATCGCATTTTCTTGCTTAGATTTGTCCTTCTTAGAGGAACTGCTGGTGTGAACAATTTGGCTATTCTCAAAGAGAGGTTTCCAATTTTTGTTAGTCGAAGGAGCAACGAAGGAGACAATAATTCCTCTCTTGTGGGCCATTTCTCGTGCAAGGTAACTTGCTGTCTTTCCAGAATAGGGGCCTGGTAAAGTACAAGGATGGTCGACTGGAGTGGAAGAGCAAATTAGACAATATTTGAGACATTCTTTTTCCCATTGTAAATCAGTGAGCGAGGCAGCTAAAGCTTCTGTCACACAGCTTTCACATACACCTCCTGCATGAAATTTCTCTTTCAATTCTTCTAAAATGCTCGTAAATGTATTGTATTGTCGAATGAAGGGAATCACTTTAACCATAAAATCTCCAAATGGTGGATGATTTTGAAATAATACAGCTCCATATTCCGTATTGTTGTTTTTCAACTGCTCCAAATAGGGCAGGATAATTTTCTTTAGAAAATCACCAAAATATTGTCTCATTCCACCTGTTGTATCAATAAGAATGCACACTTGTTGAGGGATGTTTGTTGGAAGATAAAAATCAGCTGGTAAAGGATGAGCAAAACCAGCAGAATTACTACTTGTTCCGCTACTATTACTATTAGATCTTGATAAAATAGAGGGTTGTTGTTGTTTGACAAAGTTAGGACCTAGTCCGTTTGCTGCTACTGCAGTACTATTCGTGTCTGTTATAGTGTTTCCGCTTGATTGCATTAAACTCAAAAGTGAAGTATTTGAATTCGGTGAAGAAAGTGAATTTGCAAATGCAGAGGCAAAGCTTGAAGCAAGTGAAGAAGGCCTTCCGTGACTCGTGGTGCTTGTGGTGGCGGTTGGTGGTTGTAACAAAGTTGGAGAAGAATCAGTGAGGAGTGAGAGCATGGAAGTTGGTTGTTGGGACATGATGATGGCTGTGTGGTGATGATGATGATGAATAACGTCAATTCGGGAAATACAAATATTTGGAAAGGTGTTGAAGTAAAGTGCCGAATAAATAAAAGAGGAGGTGAGAGTAATCGTTTGGTAATGATGGTGGTGTTGGTGTTGGTGTTGGTGGTGATGATGAATAAAGTTCTGATTCCGTGGTGTTGGTGGTGTTGGTGTTCTTTAAATCCAAGATCTCAGGTGATGATCAATGCGCAGCGGGTGTAAATTTGCAAAGACCAATTCGGAAGAGAGAGAATACGGATCTAGTGAAGACGATAAGAAGAGGATTTACAATCTGATGTCTCAATGAATTGGGCTAGATTCAACAAGACTCTCTTTTGAGAGGAAGAGTGATCGTGGAATGGAAACTTTCGATAGATCTATCGGAAGAGAGAAAGTTCTTTGTGATGATGAGAGAGATGATCAAAAAAAAATTGCCGTTGAAAAAAATTTGTTTTTTTTTGTTATTTTCTTTTGCATGATTCTTGTGTTTTCGTGAAGGAATGCATTCTAAGTGAATCATGGAACTAGTCTGTTTTTGACTTGACATGGTCATCATGGGGAGTGCTAACGGAAGATGGTAGATTGTGCACATTTCTAACATAAATTTGAGCAAATGAGAAGAGTAAAAGTAGAATAATAATCATTGCGTTTCCGATGGCAAATCGACTAATGCTATTTCCAATTTCAAGCCAACTTCCAATGTCTGAAACAAGGAAAAAGAAATTAATGGTCATGATATCACTGAGAGCTAATACAACTAGAAGAGCAGCAAAGTGAGGTGTTCTTGACACTCGCAGAATGATTACAAAAATTGCTGTGACAGCAAGTAATGGAATGGCAAGTTTGAAAATCAAAATTGCAGCCATTGTGAACGGGCTGAATATGGAAATAAATCGATAGACAGAGCTTAATTCAAAACTGGCAATTGTAGCAAGATTCCCAGTTCCAAAGAATCCAACATTAAAGAGGAAAATGAAAAATATGGCGGTACTGAACTCAGTTTTTGAGAGACATCCAGGCGTGAAAGATAGATCCTTCTTTCTCTTCTGCTTTTCTTGTCTCATCCAAAATAAAAAAGTCACCAAAATTCCAGAGTAGAATAAAACTTCATAATTTACACTCAACAATACAAGTGGAGTGACAAATGCAGAAAGAATGCTTTGAGCTCTTACTTGGTAAAAGTTTGAGGACATAAATGGAAGAAGTAATGACAAAATCGATAAAGTCCAAGCAGCTAGTTGATTCAGGAATGGTAACCCTTGCTTCTTTGACAAAGATATATCTGTGCTTACTGTAACGCCACATGCCAAAAGAATTAATGCAAGCTGGACATAGAACAAGATTTGTTGGAAAAGGCTCTGAGTTTCCTTTGGCGGCTTGATAAATCTCCATGTAATTTGACACACGCAGAATACTATTGCGCCACAAATCACCAATGTCATATCATTGCCGTAATCGGGTGGCAATAGAGTGAATAAACTCATAATGATACATGTTGTGAGCCAACCAAACCTATAGGTGAAATTCATTTCAAGTATGGTCGGTAAAACTCCCAAAACAATAAAGCAAACAGAGAAAATATCTCTGGAATAATAGCCACAGACCATGACTTCGAGAACAGTAATTATCACCAATAGTGAACATCCGTCAGTGCCAATTGAGAAATGCCGTGTGAGGAATGCATAAACCAGCTTGAGATGATTGAATATATATGCAAAGAAGTAAATGGGGAATATTATGTACATGTGATAGTGAATTGGATCATGCTGTACAAAGAGTAGAGCGCTCAAGACAACAAATAGAGCAATGGCAGCACATGAAACGGCGAAAACATTCTTGTCACTCTTAATTTCATGACCAAGCTTGGTGTAATGACGTAAACAAAATACCAGCAAGTAGAACATCCATCCAATATATCCCAAGATAACTGTTGACATGAGTTGGGGCCAATCATAGGTCATAAAATAGTTAAGGCCCTTAATTCCCATATTAATCAGTTCATAAATTTCATCTTGCGCTTTCTCATAATTTCCACTCAAAATTAGAGAGGTTATTTCTCGAGATTTCGTTTCCAAGTCTTGTCGTTTCATGTAATGGCGAAAGAAAAGTAAAGTTTTTTCTTTTTTGACCTCTTGCTTCTTTAGAAATTGTTCTGCTATTTGTTTGGCATTGAGATGCAAATTAATACTTCTAAATATTTCATTTCCATTGAGATAGGAGAGAGGCAACACCCCAACATTGTTCATGGGAAATGGGATGCCCAACAGAGCACTCATGAGAGTAGCCATATCTGCCTGTTTGATGTCCTTTCTGTATTTGGGGTTAATCATCCAAGTTTGTTTGACATACTTTTCTTCTGCAGTAATGGATGGAAAAGACCCATCTGAAATGATGGAACCTTTGCCTTCATAAAAGGGACGAACTCCTTTTCCCCAACAGACCAAAGGAGTTCTTGTACATTCAGGATTTCCATCACCATGTGAGCCCTTAGACGACATTCCATGGTCGGCTGTGAAAATGAAGGCTGTTTCGTTGTCACCGAAAAAGTTTGAAACCAAATTGTGAACTCTTTCAACACCCTCATCAACATATCGAATGCTGTCATAGTACCCCTTTCCCATCTTGTATGCATGACCGCTGGTATCTATACCCAATAAATGTAAAAATATAATAACTTTGTCTTGTTTCAGCTTATTCTGGACTGTTTCATTATGAGATATCAATTGTTCAAACTTGTCAAAAACCCATCGATCTAAACTGGACTTGTCATGCATGGCGAAGTCTTCCATTTCTGGAGGGTAGTTATACGTATCGATATGATTTCCTTTGAATAGATGCACAACATCTGGTGATCCAATTTGAAGCACATAATTTGTTTGATTAAAGACGCTATCAAACTCTATAGGATTTTCCTTCCAACCTGTGGTCACAGCACTCACATCTTCATAAAATCCTGCAATCATTGCCACGTGGCATGGTCTCGATTCTGTGGGAACTCGCGTGTGAGAAATGCCAAAACTTGCCACAGTTTCCATCTTGGATCGAATAAAAGGAGCTGATGTTTCAAGATCCGAAAGAGAAGAGGTAGTTTGTGAATCAATGGCTCCTTCATAAATATTATATGGAGAATTACCCATCTTTCTCTTCTTCTGGATAACAAACTGATGCCTGTCATCTCCAACCATTTTATCCTTGTCTCGGACTATTTCAAACAATTTATCTGCTCGTAAGCCATCTCCGACAATAAAGACCAATCGTTTTGCAAACAAACTGGACTCTCCTTGAGAAGATGTTACCGTCCGTAAATTAATATTGTTATCATTCAAATATCTATCGAAACTGTTCTGATCCATTCCATGTACAATGGGTGATTTAAAATAAATATCAAAGATACTCATCATGTATGCAAGATGGAACAATATTCCCACAACAATAACCAAAATATATTTGCTTTTATCGAAATTTGATTGGATGGATGCTGATGATGATGATTTTTGAGAAGAGCTTGAAGATGATCGTACCGCTGCAGTGGCGAATTGATTGGCGGTTGTGGATGAGGAAGAAAGATGATCATCTTCAGCCTCCTCCTCCCCCATGCCATTATTGTTCCGAGAGGTTGAGAAAGCCGAGGAGGAAAATCGTCCACGATCGTGATCATCCTCCGTTTTGTACCGAGTTGGAGATGAAGAGGAGGATCTTTGCGTCATTTTTTGAGATCTGTGGTTGATTGTGAGGATAGCGGGTTGATTCTTGTTGATCTCATTATTTATGTCTGTGAGGATAAATATATGAAAAGCAATATAGGGTTGGTAACCATGAACCTACAAGATCGATCTTGTCCCCAATATTGGCTTTTTTGAAAACAAATAAAATTAAATTGTTTTTTGAATTTCAAAAAAATGCAAGAACATCAAGAAAATGGTTCTTCTTCTTCGATCCTCACAACAGTTCCTTCATCATTGGCCTCATCTTCGGAGGATGTTTCTTCTCGGGATAGCACTCCAATGGGGGTAGCTGCTTGTTCATCACCAAGCAATGCTCCTCCAAAAACGGTTCACCCACAAGCCTGGCTTCAAGCCATGTACAGTGCTGGACGAGGAGGACTACAACAAAAGAATACCAGAGGAGGATATCACCGTGGAAGAGGAAATAGAGGTCGAGGCTCAAGAGGAAGATACAACAACAACAATCGATACAATAGAGGAGAGAGCAGAAAACGACCCAAAGATGACGATGAAAAATCGAATGAAGAGTCTGATAATGAAAAGCCATCATCGGATTTAAATGAAGAAAACGTACCAGAATATATCAAGTTTTTGCAAGATTACAAGAAAAATTACAAAAATCCAATTTTCTCAATGCTTTATAAAAAACCCATGGAAACACCAGAAGATATTGAAAAATATAGAGAAGAACGAAGAAAGAACTATCCAACTCGACAAAATGTCATTGAAAAGGAGAAGGAACTGTCAGAGAGGAGAAAGAAAGGAGAAATAATTATTGGAGCTTCAGAAAAGGTTAAATCTCTCCTAAAAGTAATGGGAATTGAGAAGGATAAAAAAGAGGAATCCAACCAAGACGATAGTAATGCAAAGGCAGCACAGTCACTCATTAGAAATTTATTGACTCAAGAAATTTCACAGGATAAGATTATTTTATTGCAATGTTTTAGGCATATCATTCATGAACGATTTTATTGTAGTGACGATGAATTGAGTGAAGAAGTGAAATCCAAGATTGATAAACTTCATGAACTCACAAAAATTGAAATGAAAAAGCTAGAAGAATTCAGAAAGAAAAAACTAGGTCTTCTTGATGAAGAGCTAAATGCCAATTCGGAAACATCAACCTCAAATGCTGTTGTTTCTGAAAAAGCAACAACTCAACAAGTATTAGAAGAAGCAATTTCTGATGAAGAGTTTGGAGAGTTAAGTGATGACGCCCAAAATGATGAAGATATGGAGGACGATATTCTTGGAAATTGTGACGCAAGTGAAGAGCAGAAATTGGATACAATCTTGAAGGAAATTACAGAATAGACTAGTATTTGAAAAATCTCAGATTGACCCAATTTGAGCATAGAAAGGCATGGAAAGTTGTGTTATCCACTCGAAGGACAATACAAATCAATTCAGAGAATTGTTCACTTCGAAAGAAACGAATGACTTCAAGTCAAATAATCTTTCAAGCCGTTTGAATAAACTGTCAGTTTTCATCTATCTGCAACAAAGCAAAAAAATGTCTACCCCTCGCTCTGCATCCACCAATCATGTTCATCACGTGGAGCACATTGAACTAGTAGACGAGGTGATTCATACACAACCATTAATATCCATGAATCAAAATAATAATTATTCAAATGGTCAATCTCCTTCATTCCGAGAATCCACTCTTGACCTGTCGGAGATGAATCGAAGCACCACCACCAATTCATCATCAACAAGGAATAGATCTATTCCAACAACAACAACAACCAACACCTCTATTCCCACCTCAACAACAAGAAATCCCTCACATTCATTCATTCACTTCCCTTCCATTCGAACATTGAACAACCTCTCGTCGGAATCGAGCGTTGTCGTTCCATCCTCCTCATTGACTCATACCTTTCGGCCATTTGAATCATCACCCTCCTCGCAACCACAAGATCACTTTTTGAATTCTGTTCTATTGTTCAACAATTCTCCTCCATCTTCCATGATGGAAGTCCACACAGAACTTCCGACTAATCTTTATTGGGAAAATTTTCAAAATTTAATTCCGAATGATTGTCTGCTCATCATTGCAAGTTTTCTCGACGATTCCTTCACTCTCGCTTCCTTACCTCACACATGCTCGATGTGGTATAATTACCTTAATTATCAACCTCTTTTTTATTCTCAACTTTATTCCATCAAAATTCGAGAATTACGTGAGTTTTATTTGAAAGATTTTGATTTACAAGTTCAGGAACGAGTGTGCCGTCGACGATTGAAAGCCATTATGGATTTGCAACAACATTATCAACAGAATAGATTATCTCTTCGAAGTGGACTTGAAAATAATACTTTGACAAGTGATCCTTTGATATTTTCGAGAAATTATTCACAACAACCACAGCATCATCACTCTCATGAATTAATTTCCATTCAGAATGATACTCATGACTTGCCACCAACAAGAATGACCCTATTAGAAGGATCTTTACATTCTTCATCATCGTCTCAACTCGTCGTGCATTCTCCAATCATGATGACGTCGGATATGACAAGTTTCAATCGGAATGAACATTCCAATCAATTACGATTAACGACTGAATCAAATGCTCTTGATTTTCATCAAAATCTTGTCATGAGTGAAGAAGAATTCGAAGTATTAAATACACATTCATCCTTTTCAGAGAATTCGACGGCATCACAAACTTCAAATTCTTCCTTTTTTGATCTCATGGATCAAACACAGCATCTCATTCCTCCTTCTGTGTTTCGAAAAGTCAGATTATTGAACATGGAAAATGTATTGAACAATACGACCACTTCACCCATCATTACAAATTCCAGAAATAGTCCGAGCATTAATTCTACCGAATTCGAAATGCCTCATGACCAAACCTTACCTCAATCCACCATCACCACCAAACCACAACCACAACCACAACCACTGCAATCACTACAACCACAACAGTCACAACATTTGCGTCACAATCCTTCCTTCCAACCTCCCCAACCCTCCTCTTTCCACATTTTCGAAAAAGATTGCTATCTCGAACTCCTTCGAATGGAATACATGGTCCGTCAACACGGTCGTGACATTCTCTCGAAACGACGAATGGGTGGTGGCGGAAACTCCGAAAAGTCCGATCTCCCTGCCGTTCCTCTTCCCGAACAACTCCTACTCGAGGCATTGGATGCACGATTGCGATGGCACTTTTTTTCTCGCCATGCCCATCACGTGTGTCCTTCTCACCATCTTTCTCGTGTGTGTGGCGATTAAGGGAATTTTGATGGACATGGGTGCCGATTATGAGAGTGAATGGAATTGGTGTCTTGTATTTTTACCCTTATATTTGGCATTTGGAATGGTTCTATTCTATTCTGTGATGGACACACGGTTGTCTCTAAAAAAGTATTACATTATTCATTACAAAGTGAAAGAAAAAACGAAACGAAAACAAAAGGCAAGAACTGTCTTGAAATTTAGAAAACACTTCTTTGATCATTTGATGACTTCCATCTTGAAAGTGAAAATGACCATTTTGGGATTATTCTTTTCAGGTGCTTTTAATGCATTCCTATCCTTAACCTCATACTGAATTCGGTCAAAACGGTGGATGGTATCTCTTTCTCATTTTGACATGTTTTCTAATATTGATTTTCATTTATTGCTTTATTTGGTTGATCATTCGACAGAAAAGATATGGATCTATCATTAGTGTTGGATGTGCTTGTTGTAATTTGATTTCACTCGCTGCGTTGTGTTTGTATGTGATTTTGTGTGCTGCTTTGATTGCTTCTAATCTTTCCATTCCTCTGAGTATGCCTTGGAGTGTTGCAATGATTCCAGTGTTTCTTGTGGAAGTGTTGATTGTCATGGTGATTGGAGTTGTGTTGGTGGTGTGGTTCAAGTTGGAATGTCAGGTGTCACATTCGAATTTTCAACGATTGATTTATGTGGTGTTTCATGTGATGGTGGTTGTTGGAGTCATTCTTTTGATTATGCATCATGTGAGTGTATTGAAAATTCAGGAAAATGTGACATTTGGATATGCAACTCTATTTCTCATTCCAATTCCAATGATTGTTTTACCCTTGTTGGCCATTACAGCAAATTATTTAATGAAAAAACAAGAATTCAAGTATGATGTCATGTAATGATGCACAATAAATCACACGAGGACAAAATTCGGTTTTTTCTTTGGTGGCAAAAATCGAAGGGCAGAAATTGCATCTCAACAGAAAACCATTTTTTCAAATCCTCCGCCTGTTAATTTGTGATTAGTGAGTGAGCGAGCGAGCGAGTGGATTTACAACAAATTCTCTACCTTACTAATTTGTGGCAAGGTATTTACAGTAAAACGACGATCTTTGGTTTCCAATACATGACGCGTGATTTTTGGAAGCAAAAATTTTGGAGTTTTTTTAGAATTTAGATTCAACATTTGTTTTTTGCGACAACAGGAACCAATATTCACGTTTTCGCAAAGAACTGAATTCCTTTCACATCTGCTGAGCCTCTTTCACGACGCCAACATCGTGAATAGACTTCCAAACCTTTGCAAAACACTATAAATTGCACACCATGATTACACTCTTTCCTCATCAAAAAAACAAACACAACAACCAACAATCAAAAACAACAACAATTCATTCCAATGGCACAAAGAACTATCAAATTCTTCTTGTACCTCTTGATGCTTTCCCTCTTGCTATGCGTTTTTTATTCCTCCCAGAAGGTTCAATCTGCAGCTCTCACTTGCAGTGGTACTTTCATTCGTGCAAGTGACAATTCTGCATTCGTGTGTGGCAATCGTAATGGCTATCCCTATGTCATCGAGTTGAGAGATGCCTACAACAACCTTGTCTATGAAGGAACCATGGATGACTCTGGTTATTATAATGTGGCTAGCTCTGATAAGTTTTATCAGATGTACTGGGAGGATTTGACAGTCACAGATCCTTTGAAGAGAATGAATATGGCAACTTCCATGTAAGTAATTTTTGTTTTGATATCAATGGTTGATGTTCTTTATTATTTGATGGTTTGGAATTAAACCCTTTTCTTGATTCAAATGTTCATATGAACAATAGAACTACCGATTCGACTGGTTTGTTCTTGTCTGGTTTTACCATTCCAAGCATTTTAGGAAGAGTTGGCTCTCAATATGTAAGTTTTTTCATCACCGAGTTCACACATTTATTCTTCTAACACCTTATTCATGATGATGGAATTTAGTACAAATTTTATCAACCAAGTCGAGAGGTTCAATCCACCAATGCTACCAAAATCACTTCATCACCAACTCTCAAAGTGAATTCCACACTCCTCTCTTCCAACTCTCCAACAAATTCTTCATCTACCACTCAACTTCAAAATAGAGCTCTTCCTCGTCGTGTCATGTCTCTTCCTCCGTACTACAAGGAAAATTCAGGAAAGATTTGGGAAGTCTATTCCTCTACTCCTGATCAATTCAAATTGAGATGTTTGGATGCCTATGATCATCGAACTGCATTGGTTGGATTCTCATTCAATTCGAGAGTGGATAAGTTTTTGAGTTTTATGAACTTTTTTGATGAATCCGGAGTGAATAAGCTTGACATGTTAGATGCCACTGGAGATGATATGAATACTTTGTATTTGGCGAATGGAGATGTTTTTAGACCATGTTTTTACTTGCAGGTTTGTTAGTCTCAAGCAGGAATGAGAACAAGGACAACAATAGTCAAATTGTAAATTGATCGATTTGTAAATAAAGGTTGGACTCACAAAACAATATTCTGTTCATGGTGTCGTTTTCTGATCGTTGTTGTAAAAGATTGAACTCAACGAAAGAATGAAAGAATGGACAAGATGGTCTTCTTTTGAAGACATAGAGAGTGAACAGAAGAAAGAAATCAATTTCATTCCAAATGAACATCAATGGCATTGATTGATGAGTGCTATTTGAGACAAAGAAGTTTCACTACCATACCATGATTTTCCAAAAGGAAAGAGAATTCAATCACTCCAACCGTTGCCACTTTGTTGAATGTGGTTGTTGATGGTAGTAACAATCTTCGCTGGATAAGTGTATGTAGTTCTCTTGGTAATCAACATCAGTAGTTCTAAGGCAGAGCATAAGAACGATGAGAAAAGAATTCATTTAATAGTATTTCAATGCTCAGAAATAACATTCATTGTTGGTTTGTGCACAAATCCAAGCTTGTGGGTGTCTCGTTATTTTCTCTCAAGTTACTCAAATCGTTGTTATGGTTGTCAACAATGCATTGAGCGACTTCCACTTGCTTGTGATGTTTTTCATTCAACAGATAGGCTTTTACAAGGCCCTTTCCTTTCACTTCCACCTCACGCTCTTCGAACTCATAGCCAAGATCGTATACTCTCTCATAGGTCGATCTTGAAATTTGTATTCTGTTTGGCAAAGAGGTTGATTCCATTCTGTGGTCGACAATTTAGATCAAAGACGTCCCATTTCACACACAAAAACAAATAACAAAATGAATTCAAAGACACTACCCAATTCAAAAACTAAGAAACAGGTCACATCGTTAATTGCCTCAGCAATGAATGAATCACCTCCAGTTTTCAATCGATTGGCAACGGCTGTTGGAAGAATATTCTTCAATAAATTTTCAGATCGTTGTTTTTCCAATGTAATATCTTTGAATGTTACCACAATAGATATTCCAATTCTTCCTTCCAATTTCACACAATGAAAAGTAAACTTTCCTGGGAACTTGGTCCTATTCTTTCTGATGCAATCCACTTCCACTTGCTCATTCTCAATTGACGTCGACTCCTCGACACTATTTACATAACTGGAGGCTTCACCCATTTGTTTGGCTTTTCCTACCAATGCATCGACTCGTTTCTTTAGCTCTGCTCTGGCGGATTCATCGAAAAGCTCGTATATTGAACTACCCAAAATATCGATCATCTTCATACCAAACATTCTCAAACCTGAATATGATTCCAATAATTGGAAAACATGTGCCAAATTCCTACAAAGCATGCAAAGGTGAACAAAATTCCAAATATTCCTGCCACTGTGACAATGGTGGAAGAAGGTTGAGATGAACTTTTTACAAATTCTCTGATAAATGAGGCAAACTTGTTCAATAGTGGAGCAGCAGTTCGGAAAACAGTGTAATGTTGCATTGCAACCTTGACAGGACTCAATAGAGTCATATTAGCAAGTGATTCTTTTTGAAGGAGGTATGCCTTTCTTGAATCAGTGGCCACTTGAGAGGAAAGTGTCACAAAATCTGCCAGCACCTTTTCCATACCTTTACAGTACAATAGATTGCTTGTGAAAGTGAGAGTAACATTGTTTTTTTGTATGTAATCTGTGCAGTTGTTCGTACCGACTGTAATGATCATGTCAACGGCAGGATACTGTCCAATAATTGGATTGAGTCCTTGAGAAGGGTCTCCGTAAATGAGCGATGAAAATTGTTTGGTCAGCTCCTGAGTTCGCCTGGAAAGTCTTGTGAACAAAAAATCAAAGTTGGTAGTATTCCACAAAAGAGGATCTCCAAAATTCACTGTTCGATTAAATAGAGGTGCCAATACTGAGTTAGATTTTGTAATTTCTGATGCTCCAAAATATGTAAATGTTTCACCAACGCTAATACTTGCTCTGTCCACAGATGCTGCTGCTTGAATGCTTAATCTGATCCTCGACATGGCCAATGATGATGCGATCGAATTCAGTTCGCTCTCCATGAACATTAATGCAACACAAACTACCACACATGTCACTGCAAAAATAAAAAGAGGTAGTAAAACATATTTTGCACTAGCTTTGCTCACTGAAAATCTCTTTCTTTGATGTACTGCTACACTCTCTGCTTTCTTGCTCAATGTTTGGAATATTTTCCCTACGACATCTTTTTGGATTTGAGATCCAAAGAGTCTTGAAACCTTTCTGAGATATTTGAGCTCATAATAAATGTAAACAAAGAATAGAATGCTAAGTAGAATGAAGAAGCCAAGTATGGTTGAAAGATAAATGACAAACTCATTCATGGATATATTAGCAAGGCTAAAAGATCGATTTAAATATGAAGTGCAAAAACTGTCGTAAGCTGCTGCTGCACTCTCGCGATTAATCCAAAGAAACATAAAGTTATAGTCTGTGAATAGAGATGATATATTTCAATCATTGAGATGAGACCGATTTCAACAGTTCATAATAACAAACATACCAGTTAATGGATTGAAATAGCTATTGGCAGCAATTTGATCAAGAAGTGTCTGTGTTCTACTAAACGAGTTATTACCAACGTATTGAGTGGGTAGTTCGAGATGACATTTCGAGTTGCTGTGATGAAAGCATTAGTTAATTCATAGATAGATGCATTTTTGGAAGAATAGGAGCCAGTATATACATTTTTCTTGTTTGGATCTTCATTAGGAAAGTACAATGGATAATTATTTTGTGAATAGTCAGAATAGACATCATTACTGAATGCATTTGATTGAGATGCAATAATCAGCCTATTGAACAAATCAATGGCCTTAGTCAACTGAGAAACATGATCAGTGACATAAAATAATTTGGAAACCGTTGGAAATCCATCGTTGGTAGAGGGCCAAGGATAGCCGAATAAATAAAACACGTTCACCCAATTTTGAGTCGCTCTGATATTTCTTACAATTGATATGGGAAAGGTTACAGGAAAACACACCTATCAAGTACCGCCAATGATAAAGATGGATCAATATCAATTGTATAGAGGATATTGTACATCCACAACACATACCTGTTCCACATATGGAATTATTTGTGACATTACAGATTGAGAGTAGTAAACGCTTAAGGCGATGGATACAATCATGATGCAAAACGCGATAGCAAAATAAACAATCAGTGCTACACTAACAATTTTGTGATCTCTAGAATTGAATAACGCTTGACGAAAAATGGTTTCCTTCTTCATCTGTGGATTGTCGAAAGCACTCTCCAACTCAAAACCTTCATCCTTAGTTTCAACTCCAATTTCTGTTAAACTTTCATCCAATGGAATAGCTGAGCCTGAAACTTCGTACTTGTTGTAATAATCTGAAGAAGCAACGGGTGTCACACGATTACCTTTTTTAACGCTCGAATTAAATCCTCCTTTCCGTTTTTCATTTCGTCATCTTCGATGGAGTTTGCCTCTTTGTTGAATTCAAAGCTCTCTAAAAAGTTTGCATTCAATCTAATGATAGTTTTGTTTCTTGGATAGCTTAATAACAGGTTCGAAAGAGTGCTCTTACATTCACTTTTTAAAGCATAGATTGATCTTATAATTTTTTCAATAGCGTCATAATTAATATTCTCATTAGCACATTCTTTCCAAAAGTCACGATGTAATGTCAAACGAGCTGCTTGATTTTTCTCCAAAGTCTCAATTTGAGCACTTGCTTCAAAAAGCGCGTTATTAGTTTGTGACATGGTTTCTAACTCCTTCATTCTTTCTTGGATGAAGAGTTTGTTAAAAATATTTGGATGTTGCTTAAGGGCACGTCTTAACAAGCTTTGAGCGAATATAGAGCAATTAGATTCTCCTTGCCATTTCACTTGAACTAATGATCGTGTTGTAATACATTTAAATATTTCGATAAGGATCAAAAAACAAGTGCAACAAATACTTACTAATCAATGCGGATAGTAACAACAAGCTAATATCATTAAATGATTTCTGATGTGCAAGTCCTTTGATAAATGCCAAACAGAGATCAGAATCTGAGTACTCCCTTCCTCTGACATTTCTCTGTCCGCTCTTTAGAGATAGCTTTAAGAATATGTTGAGTGATGGTATTGCTTTCGATTCTTCTAAATCGTTGAAAAGAGAAGAAGCCGCTTTTTCAATTCCAAATAAGAGATGCTTTTCAAATAGATCGAGATCTGTCTGAGAAGTCACTACTGAATTCATCAAGTAGTCTCTCATTTTCTTGGCATGAAATCTTAAATAAACCTCCATGAAACAGGTCCCTGCGACAAACAACACCACAATCAACCCTAGTGTCATGCTTGCAAAACTGCCACCCAGAACATCAAAAGTTGGCGAATCAGAATCCATATTAGCTGCTGAAGAGATTAAGGAACCAATACTCGCTCCAACTTTGCCACAACACGTCCCAAAATACAATGAATTGTCATATCTTCTCAAAAACGGAATATAGTAGAAAACAACGCCACATGATACAAGGCTAAGGATTACATTAAAAGCAGCAGAAGCATAGGAGTACTGTTTTGGAACAAGAAAAGAAGCTAACAATTGAAACATGGCAAATTCTCCAACCAACATGACCACCAAAGAGTTGTCTCGTATCAACGGAACCTTGCTCTGAGGGTTAGAATTAGTCAAAATTAGTTCTGAAAGAGGATAAAGAATCAATAAGGCCAGTACACCGACAGCACTAATCGCCATCATAATCTCATTAATCGTCTCTGTACAAGCAGTTCCAGAAAATCGATATAAAGGGGCCATTTGGCTCACAGTACTTGATCCAGCAGAAGTGATGGTGACTGTGGCCAAGTTGCTCACATTACAATCGAAAAATCCAAGTAAAACAAAAAGCATGATCAATGAAAAGGTTCTCAATACAAAGCTGCATAATCTGAGAGCTGTTTTCAACTTTTTGAAATACTTGCTAGGTTTTAAGGTAAATCGCAATGCCATGCTGAAGAGAGCCACATTCAAAAGAATGAATAAAACCGCAATGCAAGCTAAAACTATATTTGCACGATAGGGAATCATGTCCAAAAGAAATGAGGTCGGAAAGTTCAATGCTTGAAAAACATAGGCACCATATTGTCCTCATTGATAGTCACGAATGGTTGGACCATCATTTGAGTCCAAATCAAATGTGCGTACATGAGTACATAAACAAAATACAACCTCCAACCCTTTTTGACCTGTCGATCTTCCAAAGAGACAATCATTTTTGTGATAATATCTAGGGTATGGGACGCAATAGAAAAGCCGTCTGAACTAGTAGTATTCGTTGCGGTATTGTGGGCACTCTCAGAAAGATAGATGGAACCAGCAGGATTATTTACATTTTGCTGAGCTTGTTGTTGAGCAATTGGAGAATTGACAGCTGCCACCACTGGCATTCCTTCCAGAGACGAGGAAGCACTTGTAGGGGTCATATTTGGTGTTGGTATCGTGCTTGTTTTTGTTGTGTTTTGATATTTTGAAATCTAGTTCTGTTCTGAAAATGCCAGGGTATGGAACTTGTTGCAACTACAACATCACTAAAAGTCGAACCTAAAACAGAAGATTCTTGTTTCAGACGTTTTATTCCTGGCATGGAATGTGCGGTGGTCGTGCTTGGTTCATGACTCCAAGTTAACTTGTGCAACAATTTTGATGTCTTACAGAATAAATCTCTAATGTGCTTTGATGGATGATTCGCTATGAAATCCAAGGTTTAAAATCCAAACTCATCCAAACCTCGCTTTTTTAATTTTTCCGAAGTCTTTCTAGTTGCAATGATGATGATGATGATTGAGAGAATTCTTTTTACAAAAAACTCATGCAAGAGAATCACACTGGAACTCGCTCCAACAACGAATGGTGTATTCTTGACTGTTAAATGGCGGCTTTTAATTTTATTAGGTTTTGTAAATGACGAATTGAAGAGAGAGAAACAAGTTGTGCTAAATCCTTCATTGACAATCCATTTCCAGTAGCTTCAAAATGTTTTCGGTTCTATCGTTTGTAGAGTCTAAACATGGAAGGAAGCTCCGATTTGTCAATACTTTGAGGAAATTAAGGGGTTTGTTACATTTCTCCAACCATTCCGTACTCTTGCACTTTCAAAATTTTGACTTACGAAGAGTAAAACTTGTTAACACACAAGCGAGTCAGTCAATTCCGAGACAAGTCTATTTCCAGTTCGAGTAAAAATAAATTCGGAATCAAAAAAGTCATCTCGGAAGACGAGCTCAAAGAATATAAATACGAATGGGTGTTTGAGCCAGAACTCTCAACAACAAAAACAAAATACAACTGTACCACTAACAAAACTCAGCAAAGAAATCATGTCTCACAGACAATTAGCCAAGACTCATCCAAGAATGAATCATTGGTTAAACACATTCTTTGATGATCCCTTCTTCACTGCATTCGACAGAAACGACGATCGTTTGTTCGCTGTATTCAGACCTACCACCGACGTTTCCGAGACAGATCGTGAAGTCAAGATTGCGTGTAATGTACCTGGTATGACCAAAGAAAACATTAAGATTGATGTCGATGAGGAACATCGATCTCTCACAGTCTCTGGTGAAATGAAGAAGGAGTCTCGAGAGGAGAACGAGACGTATCATTGTGTGGAGAGATCGCATGGCACCTTCTCAAGAACCATCTATTTGCCATCGAATGCAGATTTGGATGGAATTAAGGCGAATCTTGAACATGGTGTGTTGAGAGTGAGTGTTCCAAAGATTGTTGAGGAACCAAAGAAGAAGACAAGATCAGTTAATATTGAATAAATTTGTCAAATTAACTTGGAAAATGTTTTTTGGATGTAACTTGGGACATTATGAGTCCTTTCTCAGGTATTACAATGTCGATTTTGTCGTTGGATCCTTCTAAACTGACGTAAGTTTTGCGCCTTACTAACGAATTGAAGTGTATGGCTGTACCGTAAACATGAGTCTTTTTCTCGAGTGCTTGTTATCTTTTAGTTCTTCTTTTCTTCTGAAATATCTCATCACGAAGCCTTTGTTCTTCATTAATACCACCACCCACTGCAAATTAGTAGGCTGGGCGTATAAAAAATGGTTTTCTGCCGCGAGATTCAATTCTACCCTTCGATGCTTGCACACACTCGTGTCAAATTTTTGCCAACGGAGAAAAAACCATTTGTCCTCCTGTTGTTACATTATTTCATTGTGTGAGACTGAAACATTTCCAACCTCCATTCTTGTGTTTCTTATTATATCTGATCCAATATTGGTATTAATATCACCCAATGGATCCATTCTCACAAAGGATTCGCGATTAATTGATTTCAACGAATCATCATGCACCTTCTCACAAATGAGACAAAAAAACATTCACGCATTTGTGTCAACAATTCACCCAGAAAGAAATGAATCCATCTCAACACCAACGCTTGGATATTCTTTTGCTTCTTGTTGTCATTTTGTGCATGCTTTTAGGAGGAGGCATCGAACTTGTCAACCAGGTTCACGCAACATCTTCGCCATCTTCATCAGTTCAAGCCATTCCCTTTGTTTCGCTCATTCATGAAGAGAATCGTGATCATTCTTCTTTGATTGAACAAGAGAGTCATTCCTTTCCACTCTCTTCTGAAAATCAATAGTGTCAATATGAATCATCGTAAAATTGTTGGATATGACACAGTGACTGTTATTTCAGGATTTAGTTCCATCTCCTCGGATGGTCAAGACGGAGTGAATGGACATGGAACTCATGTGGTTGGTTCTGTTTGTGGAAGTATTCAAAATTTGACTTTCAATTCGAATGCCAATCCAATCAATGAATATCATGGAATGGCTCCAAATGCAAGAGTTTATTTTACAGATATACAAAAAACTGGAAATCCACAATTATTGATTCCTGCTTCATATGAAAATGACATTTTCAAACCTGCTTATAATAGTGGAGCAAGAATTTTTTCAAATTCATGGGTAAACTTTGGTCCTGACGATTTCTTTTCATGTCGATACAATTGTAAGGATTGTGTGTGGAAGAATCCATTGAATGGTTATAGAGCTGGTCAGGAAGTGACAGATGAAACTTGTCGAGCCTTGTTTGGAAGCGATTCATGTTGCTCTGTTTCTAATCAATATAATTCTCACTGTCAAGATGTGGATCAAACATTGTGGAGTTACCAAGACAGTGTCATTCTTTTTGGGCAGGTAAGTGTGAGAGTTTTGAGAATGGAAAAATAGACCATTTTTGATGTCACTTTTACTTTGATAGGGAAATTCAGGAGCCATTTCTTCGAAAGGAAATATTGCATCCCCTTCAACGGCAAAGAATTCAGTCTCTGTGGGTGCCAGTATGACCTCAAATTCTGCATTCGTGGAATCAGTCGATTATGAAGATTTTAAAAAGAAAATTCAAAATGGTAATTTTACATTCTCAACCACTGATGAATGTTGTGCCTATACTGGAAAAGATGAATTATATGGTAAGTTTTTTCTGTCATATTTTTGAAATCAATTGGAATTCTGTAATTGTTGTTGAAAATTTACAGTCCATCTTGTCTGCTGTCCAATTACATTGAAGACCATATACACTAACATTCCATCCATCTTCAACGAGTTTAATTTGGCCTCTTGTAAGTATTCAGGTCATGCTCTTTTGATTCTCATCTTTCCTATCTTGCTTGTCATATTTTATTTCATCGTTTAGTCTCTTCGAGAGGTCCAGCAGTTGGAAATCGTATCAAACCTGACGTGACAGGAATTGGTTACAATGTTGTGAGTGCTCATTCCGATGGTAATACCAACACCAATCAATGTGGAACCATGCCTCCATCTCAAGCCAATACAGCTGCTCTCATGACCAATCAAGGTTTGTACTTTTAGATCTCTTTAAATATCAAATACATAATGTATCACAGGAACCTCCATGGCCACTCCATTGACTGCTGGAGCCACTGCATTGTTGAGAGAGTTCTTTCAAACCAAAATGAACATTTCGAATCCTTCAGGTCCTTTATTGAAAGCTGCACTCGTTCATAGTTCCATTCCAATGAGTGGAAGTGTGGCCTATTCCATGCCAAAAGGTGATTTTCAGCCAAGCCGCACGGAAAATAGTGACCTCTTTTAGAAAGGAGACATTTCCACAAATGGAAATACCAAACAACAAAAAATACCATGTCTGATCAACACCTTAATTCCGAATATTTGCAATCGTTTGTGGAGCGTGACTTTGATGAGAATATACTTCCTGCTTTGAAGGATTTTATTCGAATTCCCAATCAATCTCCGAATTTTGATACTCATGTTTTAACGAATGGTTATATGGAACAAGCCTTGAGTTTGATTGTGCATTGGATTGAAAAACAAAATATTAATGGATTGAATTTGGAGGTGATGAGAATTGAAGGAAAAACACCTTTGATCTTTGTGGACATTGATTCCACCATAGAAGGTATGTTTTGATCAAATGGAAAATGATTTTTTAGTGATGATCACTTCCGATCATCCCTCTATTCACACATACATGTTGTTTTCACTTGCAACTCGCCAATTAATTTCTGTCTTTATAATTTAAATTGAAAATGATTAGGAAAGAAAGGATGGAAAAAGAATGTTCCGATTGCTTTCTTGTATGGTCATGCTGACAAACAACCGCCAGCAGAAGGATGGGCTGATGGCCTCTCTCCTTACATTCCCGTTGTAAGAAGTCGATTACCCTCCGATCATGGTCACATTGCTGACGATTTCACGTATCTGTACGGCAGAGGATCAAACGATGATGGTTATGTAAGTATTTCAACGAAGATGGACCGAGTGCATTCATTCACACACTGCATCAGGCCGTGTTTTCTTCCATTCTTGCAGTCAAGGCATTGCAAAAACAACGAGTGCCTCATGGAAGAATCATCATTTGTTGCGAATTCAGTGAGGAATCTGGTTCTTGTGATTTGCCCTATTATTTATGTCATATTCTCCCTTTTGAAAAAAGTAAGCACATTAGAGAGACACTGGGAGAGGACGCACCCATAATTCCAAAAGACTACCAAGGTAAAATTGAGGGAGAAGTGGATTTGATGATTTGTCTTGACTCTGGTGTCGGTAATTATCTTCAACCTTGGATAACACTTTCTCTGAGAGGTATACTAGTTTTTGAAATGCATGTGAGCTTGATCACTCAAGGTGTTCATTCTGGAGGGTAAGTTATATCCTGTGTTGTGACACTTCTAACAAATATTTCAAACAAAATAATTATAATATTATTAATACTCCACGACGTTTGTCGAAAATTTGAATTTTTAAACGAACAACAGTTATTCAGGATTAGTAGCTGACAGTTTTAGAGTTTCACGAATGCTCCTCTCGAGACTTGAAGATGAAAATACGGGAGAAATCAAAATTAAAGAGCTTTATGGAAGCTCAGCCTCAGAAGTGGACGAGAATGAGCCTTACATTCCAAAATGGGTCCTTCAGAAATTGTACTTATCTGCCAAGCTATTAGGATCTGAAGGAGTGTGTGAAGCCATACCCTTGGCAGATGACGATATTGAACTCATGAATGATGATTTATTGCAGTTGCTACTAAACAAAACATGGCGCCCTACTTTAACCGTTACAGGTGCAGAGGGTTTGCCTAAATTCTCAAAAGCTGGTAATGTTTTACGTCCTCGAACTGCTTTGAAGCTGTCGATTCGTCTGCCTCCTCACGTATCCCCTTCAATGGCTGAAAGGCGAGTTATTGAAACTCTCACTTCAAATGTTCCTTACAAAGCGAAGGTAGACATTAAGAATGTTCACACAGGATCAGGTTGGTATTGCCAAGAGTATAAGCCCTGGTTGTTAAAATCTTTGGATGATGGCTGTAAGACTTTCTTTGGAGAAGAGTATGAAACTGGTTTTCTTGCTGAAGGAGGTTCTATACCATTTATTAAGGTACTTAATGACTGTTATAAGAATGCACAATTTATTGTGACTGGAGTGGCTGGTCCTGGATCTGGTGCACACGGTCCGAATGAACATCTTTGCTTGGAGTACACAAAGAAGGTCATTTGTTATGTGTCCAAAATATTGTCAGATCATGCTTGTGATCACAATGAATGATAATTGATACCTTAGATTTCCACCAACCTTATTTATTGTTCAACCAATTAGACCGAAAAACTTTGAATTGGTTGTACCTTGTGATATATGAAATGGGACGTAGTAAATAGATTTAATGACCCTCATTTTACACTATTGGAGGGAAGTATCGCTGGACAGAATATTAATGTCTGACAAGAAGAGACTGTCGCTATGATAGTGACTATTCGTCTCTTTGTTTGTGATTCCATTTGCGCGATTCAGAATGGACTGCATGAAAATAAAGTGATTACCAATACAATCCGAGGTTGAATAGCAAAAAGTATAAAATTCTCCACAATCAAACACTGTCTTTTCAGTGTAAGAAGTTATGAGAGGGTGCGGAGGAAGACATGTGATGTGATTCTGATCATCACAATTCGATGTGCTCAATTGGCCTGTAAGACGTCAATAAGGATTGCAGTTGAAATTACAAACGTGAATGTCAAAATAAATTCGTCACATACCATAGGTGTTGGTTCCACAGACATATAATTTCATGCTCTCCCCAAGACAAATGAAAAATTGCCACCCAGCACCCATCGCTCGAATTGGCTCATTGATATCGAGTTGTACAAAGGTGTCTGAGGAAATATTCTTTCCACAACCCCAAATTTCTTCATTCTCAAGCTGCACAAGTGTGTGAAAACCTCCACAAACAATATTCCTAATTTTTTTATCCTTGAAAGGTGTGTCAATCACTGAGAATACATCAGAGGTTGAGTATCCAGAAGAAAGCTGAAAATCTCCATTCGATCCACAACCTGTATTCGCATCAACGTGGAGCAAAATTTTGGTAAACTATTGGAATATCATCAAATAACTTACCATACAGAACGTCATCAGTAGTTGCTAATACAGAAAATTGAGCTCCCAAAGCAATACATTTAATTTTTCTGACATCAAAGTCAACTTCTTGCAGAGCACCATAAGAATCAATTTTTGTTCCAATACTAAGAAAAAGTTAAAAAATCATACATGTCTACTTATTGAGACTATGATAATAACCTACCTTAGTTGACCATGCGAATTCCAACCACATGAGAAAAGCTTGCCATCTTTAAAAAAAGGACAACAATATCGAAATCGACAACAAATTGTCAGTTTAGTCATTATTAGGAATCCACAACAAATTGTCATTATAATAAAGAATGTCAGAAACTTAGTTAGATCAAAATACATACGTGAACTAATAAAGCAATGGACAGCATTTGAATTTGTCACAAAATAGTCTATACTTTTTATGCCATCCATATTTTGCATTTTGAGATAATTCTTCTCACTATGAAGATTTTCCCATCCTGACCAATATATTTTTCCACATTCAGTAATGACATAGGTATTGATTTGTGTACAAAATACATCTACAATGGTATCCCCAACTGAAAGAAAAGAAGAACTGTCAATTTTAAGAAATTCAGAATACTGGGCTTGTGTTTTTCCGAAAATTTGACCGTGTTGATTGTGTCCAATACCGAACAATCGCCCATCACGAAGTAACATCATGGTGTGTTCTCTTCCACAAGCAATTTTCTTTACATTAACGAGAGAAACTCCCTCCGGTAATAACGTAATAGGACTCAAGGTTGTAATTTTCTCTGATCCCTTTTGGCAACATTGGGAATAAACATTGGATCCGCATGAAAGTACAAAGACCATCCTCGACAGATTGATGATGATGATAGGGGTTTGATGAAAGGATGAGCCTATAATTATAAAATACACGATGGAAAATTCTGCAGAAATCAACACCAATCAGTATATATGGGAATGTTGTTCAAGAATTGATAAACACTCGGAATGGTGTTTAGATGAATAATGAGCCTGGTTGATGTTGTTATAAGTGGTTTTCTCCTTCAAGAGAGTGTTTTGATGAAGGATGAAATTTCAACAAGTTGTTGATTTCGGTAAAGCTTTTGAAAAAGTACTTTGAACAATGTTGCTGAATGTATGTAGATATGATCAGAATGGAAAGGATGAAACGATGGAACGACGAAAGAAACTCAGTACTGGAATGGATTCGAGAGAAGTTGTGGAGGAAAACTCTGAGATCAAATTTTTTCTTTTTTTAGCACTTGATTTCATCCAACTTGAATGTGTGAAATGTTGTTGAGTGAGAATTGAAGAGAATCTTTTATTACAGAATTCAAAGACAATTGAAAAAGTATCATCTTGTGTCATTCAAGTAGTGTGATCTCCATGTCGCTGTCATGTTGTTGTTGTGGTGGTGGTGGTGTCTGTGGATCGATATCCTCTTGTTCAGCATGATGACTTCTTGACAGGGGAAGAATGGCCTTCAAAGTGGTGGAAATTTCAGAATGATAATCTAAAAGAACTTGAATCAGAGAATGGCCATCATCATCAAGGTCATCATCATTCTTCATAGTCTTCAAACCTTCTTCTTTTAATGTATCAAGGACTCGTAAGAGACGTTTCGTGATGAGTGAATCTTCAGGGAATTTCTCCAAGTGTTCTTGAAGGAGATTTTGTGATTGAGAAATTTGTTCCATGACTTGATGCACTGTCGTGAGTGAATGAATGAATGGTTGTTGTTGTTGATGTGGAATGTTGACGTTCTTGTGGAAGCTGTTTGAGTGGTAAGCATGACTTTCAAAGAGAGAAAATGCGCTTTGGAAATCTTTGAATCGTTGATTTGCTTTTTGCTGTTCCAATTCATACATCCATTCTGAACATTCATTCGCGGTCATATGTTTGACATGTAAGTATATCGAAATATCATTAATTCTTTCAAACTTATCTCAAAAGATTGAATTTCACTTACCATCTTTTTCAACGACATTTTCCTTAATGACCTCAAACACCGATTTCACACATTTCTGATATTCTTCTCCCGATGAAGACACAGGTCTCACCACAAACTGAGATTGTGCCTCCGAGCATACAATGTCCGTGAGAATTTTACATTTCAATGCTCGACATAATTGTGACATCTTTCTCGCATTACTCAACAATGGTCCAACAATGGAGTACACTCTCAAATTTGAAGATCCCAAATTTCCTACATTCGAAATTCCCGAAGAAATGCCAATCGAATACTTTAACTTGTTTGCATTCTTTCTGTTCGATTTTCCAATATTATCCAACACTTTAGAAATCTTTAAAGAACTCTCCAATGCCACCAAATTGGGTTTCTTCTTATTGAAAGATCTTGAACCTTCTCCTTCCTCAGTAAAGGAGAGTTGAAATTCTTCAACGCTGTGAATTTGCAAATCGGCCTTTAAGGTTTTTGCCAATGTACTCAAACCACTGGCAATCTTGGCGAAGGTATGAGTAATTTCCAGAGATGAATGTGTCTTTACAAAATCGTGCAGATGGATAAAGACAACACTGATCGATTTCTGAGAGGAGAGTGCATCATGATGATGAGAAGATGATGGACGATTCTCTTGTTGTTGTTCTTGTTGATGGAGGGATGAGGACTTCGTTTCAGGTTGTTTGTCACTATCATTGGTGTTGAGTTGCAGATTTTTCAATTGATTGAATACATTCTCTGGTAAGAAACTTTTGAATTCATTCAACCATTGAACCATTTCATGAAGATCTCTATAAATACTATCCACTTCTTTGAATTTGCTTGAAATGAAGATGACTCTCTCCAAATCAAACGTTTTGATTTTCATAAATTGTTTTTCCAAATATCTCAATGGTTGAGAAATGACATAACCAATCACAACACTACACAAAATACCAATCGTAACAACACCTACAGCCACACCCACTGAAATGTACGTATTAATATTCGTCGTTCGTGCAATTTCTTCCTTATAGACCACCAAAAAGACATTCCATTGAATATTCTGAAAGGAATATTCCATCTTTTGAATGATGTAATCCACACCAAGACTATTCACTTCGATTTGTCTTGGCGTTTGGTTCAGAGAACCATACAAGTCTTTCACTTGTTGCATTAATGCTCCTGCATTCTTTGAAGTGAGTGAAAACAAGGATATACGAGATTTTCCATCCAAGGCGGTCGTATTAATGGATCCACCAATGACCATGTCATTTCTCTCTGCCACCAGAACAAATCCATCTCCAATTAAGGAGAGTTTTTGTAAAAACTTTTGAATATTGTTTAGGGAGAGATTGGTTTTGGAGAGACCAATGACTTGTTTCTGACCTTGTGCATATAGAATGGGATCGTATAACTTGACTGTGTAATAAATACAAACACCTGAATCTTTGACGACGTAGGGTTCTCCGAAGACTCCATCCACACCCAATTGATTAAAGAGTTGAAAGGATCTTTTCCAATACTCTTGTTGAGAAATGATGAATGGACGAGTGTCGTTGTTGAAAACACCCATGAGACTTCCATCGGTAGAGTTGGCATACATGACAGTGACTCCTATGCATTGTTGAACAAGAGGATGATTTTGAAAAATATTCCAGTCATTGCGATAATCGGGGCACCAAAGGTTAGCATGTGACAGTTGACATTTATCAGCGTTTCAAAAAGGATTGGTCATAAAATGTTGATTCTAACAAAAACATACCTGTGAAATTGAAAGGTTTGTAACCAAAGGTGAGAACTTCATTGGGTGGAGTGCCACTAATCAAATAAGTATATAATTCCAACGGAAAGAAAACTCCAACAGCAAATGGATTGTAAATTCGATATCTTGAAAACAAATATTTGAGCGATGGAGATTTCCCAATAATTCCATTATTGAAATCATCTGCCAAAGTCCAAGTCAATTTCATATAGGGAGACAATTCAGAATCCATAAAAGTCATCACCTTCTCACCGACACGTGAAATTAAATCTCCACTCAGGGCGTTCAATGCTTGAGTGGAACCAATATACGAGGCCAACCAAATGAACACGGAACAAGCAATTAAAAGTATCAAAATGAGTAAAATGATGAAGAGTCTCATGGAACAGCAACCGGCAAGGAGAGTGGGTTGTTTGGGTTGTACTTTGCCAGAGTTTGCCACATTGGAGACTGAAGCCGCATCGTCACTTTCGCCGAGAACATGAGCCACCATGAGTTTGGCTGCTTCATCTAATTCACTGCATAGTTCGTCTTCTTTCTGAAACTCCGTGTGTGGAGATTTGAGGGGTTTGATAATGACCAATTGAATGAAAGGTCCAAGTGACAGGTAGGTGAGGAGGGAGAATGGATGTGAGTGAATTCATTACTTACAAGAGAATCTTTTGAGGAAGAAGAAGAGAAGGAGGAAGGAACCACTTTGGGGGCCATTAGGAATGTTTTTTTGTGTTGATGGTTTGGGATTTTTAAAACACAGAAGAGTAGTGGTGTTGAACAAATGTTGTCAAATGACATCAAGAATGTATAAAACTGAAATGTCTCGTGACAATAGTCGGCATTGTTCTGATTGTGATTTGATGGCATTTGAAAAGATTGCATCTTTAGAATTTCGAAATGATTTGAAACAAATGTAAAACATGGACATTTTTAATCATTTCTTACTTTTTGTGGTGGATGGGCCTAGACAGCAAAATAGATGCAATCACCACTCGAAGTGATGGCACAATTTCTGATCAAGTTAATTCGAAATGAATAATTATTGCTGAATATTGAGATCATAGCTTCACATGAGTTGAAATTAAGGGAGAAATAGAGCATTCATGGGTTGAGCTCAATTGATCTTACTCATTGATGAGAGTTCTCTTGTTTGGATCGTCATGCTCGCCACGTCTAATCCTCTTGTCCACTTTCCAATGTGGACTCATGAATTTTGGTTTTAAAACGTCGACAAAATGCTGTCTCCACATTCTACAAAAGGCATCTAATTTGTTCAGGTAATCCTCATCGTTGGCCGATTGTTGCTTCAAATTTTTGATAACACCTTCACCATGAGAAACAAACATGGTCTTGTCGTTCACTTGTAGTGTTAAAATCATTTCAAGAACATGCTTTGGTATTGGTTCTTCTGAATCTTCCTCGTCGTTGTCATTATTACTTGGTTCTACCGTGACAGTACATTGCTTCCAAGATTTAAGAAATTGCCTCAATCCCTTCTCCAACTCCTCGACACGATTTCTTGGAAGTGTGTCACGACATTTGAGAAGAGCGTTAGCAGCTTTCTTTGCAGATGCATAATGCAAATTCTTTGTAATTCCAACTCCTCCAAGTGGCGAATTATATTGTTCTGAAATTTGTTTTCTTAACTTGAATGCTTCTGTTTCGTATTCTTCGTGGCAATGAGCACACAAAAGACAAATGTCATGACTAGAGTGAGATCTGACAAATTCTGGCATACATTTTCTATATTCAAAGCTTACAATATGGTGTCGCGTTAGCTCCTTGTCAGTACCACATACCACACAAATATTATCCATTTTGGACATGTAGAATGCATCATCTGTGTGACCATATCCCTTTGGTTTAAACTTGAGTTTGATACTGTTTTCATTGATTTGTTCAGCAAGTCCTTTGTTTAGATACCAATTAAATTTTCGTTGTTCGATCTTTGCTAAAAGGACCATATCATCCGAATACAAATTTAAATCATCATAATTATTTCTCTTTAATGTGGCATGTCCGTGGCGTTTCTTTTTCTTTGCCCAAGATTTTCGTTCTTCCTCAATTTCCTCAAAATCCACCTGTTCATCACTACTACTTTCATCAAAATTATCCTCAAAGGGCTCCTTTTCATCATCATACAAGACCGAATAATCCACAATACCCATTCTTACAGCTTCATCAATTTCGGCATCATTTTGCGCAATCATCTCTTCCAGAGTTAATGGACGTGAGTAGATAGATCTTACATCCTCAACTGTATCCACCTCTTGATGATTCATAACATTCACTTCCGAGGTAGAAAAAGTCAACGGCGAAGAGTTTGAAGGTGATGAAATCATTTTTTTGGTTTTGAAAAAACAAACTTTTGCAATTTGAAATTGCATCATTACATCTCATGACAGTGCTTTTTTTGAAATGAAGATTCATTACGCTTTCACTTGTTCAACCCATCAACTTTATGATTTTGAAACACACACAGAAAGAAGGTCCAATGGTGTCTCTAACTTACTTTTTGGTTCATCATTTCTCCAAGAATGATGGGTGCTTTCAAATCATCACAAGAACAAGTGAAAGCTGCTGAACCAGTTCATTTGTTTTTTTAGGATCTCGAATTTCACTTTTATTGCTCATAAAACGCCACACAGAACACTCAAACACACACTCAACATCAAAAAAAACATTCAACATGCAAATCTTTGTGAAAACCTTGACTGGTAAGACCATTACCTTGGAAGTAGAGTCCAATGACTCGATCGAGAACGTCAAGAGCAAAATAGCCGATAAGGAAGGGATTCCAGCCGATCAACAACGATTGATTTTCGCAGGAAAACAATTAGAGGATGGAAGAACCTTGTCTGATTACAGCGTTCAGAAGGATTCTACCTTGCATTTGGTGTTGAGATTGAGGGGAGGTTCTCTTTAAGGTTAAGCCTTTTTCATCCAGGATATACGGATGCAATGAACGAACTTTGTCAATAAATTTTTTTGTCTTCATCATTTCTTTCATGCCTTATTTGGCACTTTTTAGATTTATGATCATAAAAAAATGTTAAGTACGATGAAAACTGTTGTTCATTATCGGAGAGTACCAAGTTTTCATTGGATAATCATTGTGTTTCTTGTCGGAATGAACGCATTCTTAATGCTTGGAGATCATTCAGTGATCGAAGCGAAGAGAAGATCTATGGATGATTTGATATTTCCGAAAGACTTTAGATTTGGCGTTGCTACAGCAGCCTACCAAATTGTATGTATTGCAATGTTACGTTCATGAACGGTAGAGAGGATCAATGAAATTAAAATTAATTACTCAATTATAATCATCGACCATATTGTATTCTCGATTTTGAAATTTTATTTATTTTTATTTATTTTTTTATGTTTTTTCACGCATTAGGAAGGAGCATACAATGAGGATGGAAGAGGAATGAGGTAGGTTTTCAATAATCCTGTGCTCCATTTCACAAAATCTTGAAAAAGTATTTGGGATATATGGAGTCACATTCCTGGTAAAATTTATATGAATCAAACTGGTGACGTTGCTGATGATCATTATCATAAAGTTAAAGAGGACGTGGAGTTGATGAAGTATTTAGGTGTGAAAAATTATCGAATGAGTATCAGTTGGTCACGATTAATTCCAACAGGTCTCATTAAAGATGGTATTAATCAAAAAGGAATTGATCACTACGATAAAGAAATTAACACGTTGGTGAATGCAGGAATTAATGTTGCAGTCACACTGTAAGTGTGTTTGTTCTTTTGAAAATGGAATTTGTTTTGATGCAACAATCGAACATAGTTATCACTGGGATTTGCCTCAACATTTACAAGGTGAGTATGAGCATCTTTGAAACGTTTTATTCATTGCCTCAGATCTATATGGAGGATGGCTTAACTCCAAGGAAGTGGTCGAGGCCTTTAAAGATTATGCAGATTTATGTTTTGCAAAATTTGGAGATCGTGTCAAGGACTGGATCACTTTCAATGAACCATTTGTGACATCCGTACTAGGTTATGGCAATGAAGGCTTGGCTCCTGGTAGTTCAAACTCCTCCACAGTAAGTACTTTGCGTACTCTCTCACAACTTTATTGATCCCTCTATGTGTTTGTATAATACTTGTTCTAAGGCCCCTTATTTGGCAACACATTCCCAATTATTATCACATGCTGTTGCTGTTAAAGTGTATCGTGACAAGTATCAGAAACATCAAAATGGAAGAATTGGTATTGCATTGAATTCAAATTTTTTTTATCCATTAACCAATACTCAGGCGGACTATGATGCATGTGAGAGAGCTCTCCAGTTTGGATTTGGTTGGTTTGCTGACCCAGTTTTCTTTGGGGACTATCCTCAAGTAATGAAGGACTTTGTGGAAGGAGGCAGATTACCCCAATTCACACCCGAACAAAAGAAGTTACTGAAAGGATCGGTTGATTTTATTGGTCTTAATCACTATACGAGCAACTATATTGGAAATAGAGACACACCTCTTCCGCCAGTTTATCAAAGAACTTTCAATGATGATCAGAGAACCATTGGTTCAAGGTGAGTTGTTGTTGTTGTTTGATTGACATGCATCGAGTACAAATCGTGCAATGAAACATTTCAAAAAAACAATTTTTGTGTAGCTACAAGAATGGAGTCCCTATTGGTCCTATGGCAGATTCTGATTGGCTCTATGTCTATGCTCCTGGAATTCGTTCCATTTTGAATTGGATTCAACACAGATATCAGCCCAAGATGATTTATGTGACAGAAAATGGAGTTGATGTTCCAAATGAAAGTGAAATGCCCATTCCACAAGCATTGAATGACACGTTCAGACAAAATTATATTCATGATTATTTGGCTGAAGTTTCCAAGGCAGTCATGCAAGATGGAGTGAATGTGAAAGCATATTATGGTGAGTATTGTTAAGTGTCTGTGTTATTAATTGTTGGACAAATAATTCTTGATCACCACATGGAAACAATTTTCAATGAATGAATTGATATATACGTGTGTGTGAATTTAATAGTTTGGAGTCTCATGGACAACTTTGAATGGGCCAATGGATACAGATGTCGTTTTGGCATTGTGTACGTCGATTACAAGAGTCCTAATCTTGATCGTCACATTAAGAACTCGGCCAAATATTACAGTCAAATCATCAGACCCTATAATTAAAATCATTCATTGAGAATATAATAACTTTAATTTAATTAAATTGATCCATTTTCAATGAAAATCTCCATTAACGCATCGATTTTCGTGTGAGCCAAAATTTTTTAATTCCATAAAAGTCATCACACCCATTTGCGGTTTTTGGAACAAAACAAATCCATAAAAAATTTCTGAAATGAATCCCTATGCCATCAATCCCTACGATGGCACTTCGATGGGAAGTAACAGCTCGAATTATCAATCATCATCATCATCATCAACAGCCAATAACAACTTTACTCAACGTTATCCAATTACAACAATGAGTAACTCCAATGTAGAGCTCGATGATTTATCGGATATGATGATTACCTCTTCTTCCAATAATTTGAACAATAATAACAACATGATATCGACGAATAGTCAATCCTACAATAACAATAGTGCTCAAAAAGTCATTGATGAAGTCATTATGTTTGATGATAAGAATGAGAAATTTCATGAGCAAGGAGTTTCGGATCATCGATCCACCACCAGCAACAACGGTTTGAAAAGTAAAATTAAAAACAAATTGAAGAAGTCAAAGAAGAATGGGAAAATACGATTTGAAGATGAAGTGGATGGTACGGATGATAATGATGGAAATGACTCATTAAGTGAGGAAGAAGAGGCCAATAACAACAACAATCATCATACGACTTCAAAATATAACAGATCGGGAATCTCCAACTCCACAACTGCCAGAACATCACCTGCAATTCATTATTCTCAAAAACATCATCCATCTCCATTGGTGATCGACGATTCCGAGCAACAACCTACACCTGCCAAGGCTTTGCCAACTCAAAAACAAGATCAATACGGAAAAGGATTTACTGAAGTAATACTTCCACCTCTTTCGCCTCAGCCCCCACAAAATACCTCCAATAAGAATTACACTAATAGTGATCCAGCAACGCAAGTGAAGGAAGAAAATCCTATTCCAAAGAATCCATCTTTTGCTGCATCTTCAACCAATGAACCTGTTGAAGACCCTAATTCAATTTCTGCCAAACTGATGAAAGGAGATACTCCTCATTGGCTCTTTCTTCTTACATTTGTAATTCCGACAATTGTCATTTGTTCAATTCTCGGAGGTGTTCAGTTAGGATTGTGTGGATATTTTTTCGAGGTCATTGATAATGATCCAACGTTTAAGAGTGACCCCAATGCTCTAACATGGGAACATAATTGCACACTCCTCGATACTAGTTATAATTGTGCGGAAAGAGGAAAGTATCTGGATAGAGGACTTCATTGCTATTTTAGAGTACAATTTTTATCGTTGAAAAATTCAACTTTAGGATTGTCCCAATATATTAATTTAACAAGCAATTTACCTTATAATATGGCTGAAACAGGTCTGTATTATCCAATGAAAGAAGGTGACGTTGTAAAATGTTACACAAACAAACAAGAAGATCAAGTCAACATTTTGGAGGCCATCTCTCCACTCTTTGAAACTTATTACATGGTTGGAGGAATATTGGGAGTTTTTGGAGCAATTTCTCTCGTGGCAGCCGTCTGTGTTATACCCACCGCTTTTGTGAGGCCCAAAAACAGAATTTACTGAGAGCAGTAAACACAACACTAAATTGTCTCAAGAAGTGTTTATTTAAACAATTTTACAACACGATACTAATATTGTTCGAAAAAAAGATATTTTTATTTCTGGATAACACTCTCCACAATATTTGCAATGATACAATAAATAATAGCAGCAACGCCGAACAATATGCAAATGACAGCCAAAATTGGAGAGCTGATGATAGATCTGGTATATGGGGTTTTCTCGGTGCCAAATTGCTTGCGAGCTTTGTATTTTGAAACCAGAAATAAAGTTGGAGGAATTACAAATGTAATGAGGAAGCCAAATAATCCAACATATTTCAAAACTTCAATACGAGATAATGCAAGAACAAACAAACAAGGAGAACATAATGTCACTCCCATTAATATTTCAAAAAGGCCTACTTACTAAATTCCAAATTAGAAACAAATAATGCTCCAATAATTGGTGGAACAGCTGCAATCAAACGGAACACCACTTGTACCTTTCGACTATCCATCCATTTAGTTCCTGTGAAAAAGGCAGCATGAATATTATTTCCGAGAGTGATTGCATTCTAAATATTATGAATATATTAAGAGTGAAAATGAAAAATTTCAGGTGAAATTTTAATATTAGAAAATAATTCATTGAACGGGTCATGATAATTAGTTGTGCAAAATGAGAAGAACACTTTCGACTTACCAATGGAAAGGCTGACAAAACATCAATGGCAGGGAATAGAATAATTACATAGACAATTAGTTCGGCCCAAATAGGTGTACTCATTCCAAATGGTTTTCCTCCTCTGTAATATCCAAAATTTAGAGAGCATGTTCCCAAAATATTATCTCCATAATACACAGCCAGAACAATACCTAAAAGTGTGTAGAACAAATAGGTTGTGATAAAAGTGGATGTAAAAATTGCAGGTAAATGCTTCTTATTTCTCACTGGTTCACACTGTGTAATTTCAAAAATATCAAATATAAAAATGGTATGTCAACGTTGTTCAGTGTGATAAATATGGTCATGATGAAATTGGATGTCAATAAGTATTGCAACTTACCAAACCAGGAACTGAGTGGTGCAAAATTTGAGAATAAATACAAATTGGCAACAGAATGTAGATTCCTTGTCCTCTTTGCTAGATAGGTTTCAGACACGTAAGGAGGATGCCTCTCCATGGCTGTATGTGGATTTGAAGGATATCTCGAATAAGGATCTAAAAACATGGAAATAAATGCCACTCCAATCATGAGTGCTAAAGCCGCATATCTAAAGATGGTGAGAATAATTTCTAGAGCAACAGACAAAGATTTGGAAAATTATTCAAACAATAGGCAAAGGTTCAACATGATATTTCAAAAATCACATCAGAAGAATGCATAAAGAATGTACAGTTCATGTCAATATGAATTATGGTCAAGAATATCATTAAACTTACGAACTGGTTTTTGTTCAGTCAAATTCAAACATGTCATTGGCACAACTACAAGAGCATAAAGCCCCACATAAATTTTGTACAAGGCGTCACAAGTGGAAGAATTATCTGAATACACATTGCACGTAAACCATCCATTAATTGGTAGAGGAACATGTGAAGCCATTGACTCTGCAAAAACTGTTGAATAACTCCACAAAGAACCATACAAGTAGCAACACAATGCAATTTCATAAATGACTTTTCCAATTCTTCCCAAAAACAATCGACTCAATTCATTCATTTCATATCTTCGTTGTGGAAATTCAAAAAGCTCACTTGTGGTCGTATGGTCCTCGATGACCACTCGTTCTTGAACGAATGGCGAATATTGAGTGCCAGCAACTGTTGAAAGAATGTTTTCAGTGTCAGAAGTGGCAGTAGCAACAACAGTTCCGTTACCATCAACAGCAGCGCTACTAGTGCCCATTGATGCATTGTCATGATGAAGAAGAGATGATTTTTCTTCCAATTTTTGTTTTTCTTGTACTTTCATGAAGGCATTTGCCCGACACAATGTCTCCAAAATCCAATTCAAAACCAATGCTGCAAATATTGTGACAATAAAGAGAAAAATAGGTCCAATTAAAACACCACCTTGTTGAAAACCATTCGGAACACCTGAACATTTAAAAAATGGTAAGTATTTTGTGATTCATTGAATGTTTTCAATCAAACGAGAAGTGGACCATTCATTAAATTGAAAATAGTTGAATGATTTCAGGATGATTGCATATTTGAGCAAAATGCATTTGAAAGAGTTCAATATAGCACCATTGCAACAACACATCAAGAAGTACCTACCCAAAACACCAACTCCTAAAATATAATTGACGCAAAAACAATAGGCAACAAAAGATCCATATGTATGAGCCTCCGATGATTTCTTTTTTCGTTTCATGGGAGCATCTATGTAATTAATGTGTTGATGCTGATGATGGTGAATTGGTGCAATCCCGACCGTCTCGTTGTGATTGGTTTCATCGGCCGTTCCATACGAATCATCGATCGACATTTTTTTCTTCATCTTTTTTCAGAAGAGGTGTTAGAGTTGTTGCCAAAACGGAGAACACGGAGAGGGATCATTAAATCCACTCAAGGTTGTTGTTCCGAGTTGATTTATACATGATGATTTGAGATTCAAAATAAATGTTTATACAATTTGTTTTTAATGATGATGATTAGAGAGCTCTACTAGATCTAGGTGTCATTATTGTTGTGAAGTCCATCGGGAATGATGTAAAAAAGCACTACTGAAAATTCAATGACACTCCTTCAATTATTTAACAGCAAGCTTCTTTTGTTTTTCAACTGCTGCCTTCTTCTTGTTTTCAGAGAATGGATTGGTTCCGTCCTTTGAAACATATCCAATAAAGAGTGGATACAAATCTGATTTGGCATCAGGGAATGGATGGCTTGGATTGTCGAGGAAAGCCTTGGTAGCATCTTGTTTACCACCGGCATACTTCATAATTGCTGAAACACCACCTGGGTGAGACTTGAGGAAGGGAGTAACATTATAAACGCGAGTAGCAATAACAATCCAACAATCCTTCTCAGTATTGTGCTTGGAAATTTCTTCAGGAGTGAAGAATTTGGCGTGTTCCTCTTCCTTCAAAGTACCAACAATCATGTCCTCAATTTCAACGAAGGCTCTCTCGGGATGTTGAATGCCATAAAATCCTGCAGTAGCATCACCACCAGCATTACGGGCAATAACATCACCACCAGGATGAGAGGGAGCAAACTTGGTCAAATCATACACCTTGTTATCAATAATCACCCACAAATCGTCCATCGAGTTGTGTTCGGCCACCTCTTTACGAGTAATTCCAGTTCTATTGGAGTGCACAATTTCATCACTTTCATTGGTTGGAGGCTCATCATTATTTCCAGTAAAGAAGACAAAGTAAATAATTACAAGAGTGAGCCCAATGCTGAGACCGAGTCCAAGAGGTGAAGTGAGCAATTCAACAAGAGCCATGCTTCAAAAGGATGACAATGATGCCGAAGAATTTTTTTAGAGAACTTTCGCTCTGCTTTTGGGAAGAAGTCTTCTGCTCGTGGTCGTACGGAGAAAATTTACTTCAAAAGTAAAATTTGTAAGAGTGGAGTGCGATCTGCTTTGTTCCATTGTCCCTCTTGAACTTCCTTCCACATTCAGTTGCTGTGATGAGTGATGATGGAATTAAGGAGTAAAGTTATGGCCAGTAACTGAATAAGGAAGCTCAATGAGCCATGTTTTTCTGAGTCGTGTCACTCACATGATTGCTCGCTCTTTTGGTGGAAGCAATGGCTTCTGAGCAGAAGATGAGGCAACTTCAGCATCAAGCAACATTTTCGTTTCGAAATCTAAAACAGAAAGCAACAATATCATCAGTCGATCAAGTTGCCAAGCGAGCAATCATGTGAGTGACACGACTCAGAGTTCAGTTCTTCTTTTATTAGGCAGCTCAATACCGTCCTCCCAAGAAATCTTCATTTCCAAAATGATCTGGAACAGCAAAATGCAATAATAACTGATTACTTCTTTAATCTCTGCAATTCAGGTAAGCTGACCTTTGGTTGTTGTGCTGTTCTTGTTGAATTTTCAGAAGAACTGACATTCGAAGTTTCTTCTTTCGTTTGCTGCTGTTGTTGTCTCTCGGAAAGCCTTTCTTTTGCCATCAAATTCACAGTATTTTGAAAAAACTTTTCTCTCACTCTTCCACTTTGATAGACTTGTTTGTAAATATCGTAGGCATCATCACTAATGTAATGAAGTGGAGTGGTAGGTTCTTGTCCAACCTCGGAACGTAAACATTGCAAATAGGTTGAAAATAATTTAAACGACACGAGTGGATTAAATGTTTTCCAAGTACCAGCATAGAATTCTTCTAAACGAATATCACACCGATGAGGACGAATAAACTCTAGCGTTCGACTTTCTCGGATTTTCTGTAATTTTGAATCTTGTTTGGATGGTTTTGTTTGTTGTTGTGCTTGTTGCTCCGACGACGAGGATGATGATGTTGTTTGGTGTCTATTTGATTCTGATGACATTTTTTTTAAATGTTTTGATTGAATACTTTAAATTCACACTGTAACCTATTTAACCTATTATATAATTGAAATGTTTATATTCACACAGAGAAAAGTGAAATGATTAAGGGTCGATTATAGAAGAAGAATCTTATTTTACACTCTATCAATAATTACAACATCTATCTTTGAGTATAGTAAGCATAGTCTGAGATGAGATTCTCTCGAACACCATCAAAAGCAGTTCTCTTTTGTGATTGGTGTCGTTTCACAATGAAATACACCACTGCTACCACCAAAGCCACAACCAACACCATTGCCAACAATACTCCAATCACAATTCCAACAATAGCTCCATATGAAATTGAGAATGGTAAATCAGTGCTATAGATACAAGAAGTTGGATCCACTGCCTCAAACATTTCATTCGGATAGGTCAATAAGAGAGCAAAAAGTTGTCTTTCTGTTTTCAAGATTTTCGACACATAGACAGCCACACTCACATAGACTGAACGATCGCTGGAGGATGAATCTGGTAATTGATTCACCACCACTCGCTCCACATTGTTTGTCCTATCCACTCGGTTTCCATAATTTCCAGCAATCACTGAAAGTTTTGAAATTTCTGTCGTGGTGGATGAACTGCTACTACTACTACTACTACTACTCACATAGGTATTGACGAATAAATCCAAATCACTCAAAAGTTGAGGCACAACTGCAACACTTCCTGGATAATCATACCATGCCAAAGTGGCCTTAAAAAAGGGTGAAGTTTGAATGGTACTTTTGTTTCCATTTCTTCTCTTGAAACATAATTTGAGAGAGTCTGAAATGTTTTTAAAGGATTGTTCTTGGACGAGAATTTTCAAAGGAGTGCCATCTTGATTTTGTAACAAACTTCCCAAATAAACTCTTCCAAAACCTTCATAGGGGTTTGGACTTCCCAAATCTGAGAGTTTGAATCGTTGAGTTTCATCGGTGGAATAGGCCACACTTCCACTCATTGGAATGGAACTATGAACGAGTGCAGCTTTCAATAAAGGACCTGAAGGATTCGAAATGTTCATTTTGGTTTGAAAGAACTCTCTCAACAATGCAGTGGCTCCAGCAGTCAATGGAGTGGCCATGGAGGTTCCTGTGATACATTATGTATTTGATATTTAAAGAGATCTAAAAGTACAAACCTTCTTTAGTAATGAGAGCAGCTGTATTGGCTTGAGATGGAGGCATGGTTCCACATTGATTGGTGTTGGTATTACCATCGGAATGAGCACTCACAACATTGTAACCAATTCCTGTCACGTCAGGTTTGATACGATTTCCAACTGCTGGACCTCTCGAAGAGACTAAACGATGAAATGATTATTATTTTGATCAGAAAGGTGAAACGATAATTAGTATTATCATGATAAGGAAGATGAGATGGATATGGAGATTCGAAAGGAAAGGACATGAATACTTACAGTAAGCCAAATTGAATTCGTTGTAGATGGATGGATTGCTGGTGTATTTGGTCTTCACTTGACTTGGACAGCAGTAACCACGAACTGTTAAAATTTCACAAATTCCCAAAAATGGTTAAAAGAGAATTCCAAATGATTCCATCATTGAAAAAAAGACTGGTCAACTTACCAATATCTTGTTTCTCTCCATTATAGGCACAACATTGATCAGGGGTTGAGAATGGTAACCCAGCGTTTTGAATTTTGTTTTTAAAATCTTCATAATACACTGATTCCTCGAATGCAGAATTTGAGGTCATACTGGCACCCACAGAGACTGAATTCTTTGCCACTGCAGGAGATCCAATATTTCCTTTCGAAGAAATGGCTCCTGAATTTCCCTATAAATAGATATAATGTGACAGGAACATCAAAATGGTTTTGTGAAAAAATTGTCCATTCTCAAAACTCTCACACTTACCTGTGCAAAAAAGAATGACACTATCTTGGTAACTCCACAATGTTTGATCCACATCTTGACATTGAGTGTTATACTGATTGAAAACAGAGCAACAAGAGTCGCTTCCAAACAAGGCTCGACAAGTGTCATCTGTCACCCTCTGTCCAGCTCTATAACCACTAACTGAAACCCTCCACACACAATCTTTACAATCGTAACTACATGAAAAATAAGCTTCAGCACTGGCTCCCCACGAATTTGAAAAAATTCTTGCTCCACTATTATAAGCAGGTTTGAAAATGTCATTTTCATATGAAGCAGGAATCAATAATTGTGGATTTCCAGTTTTTTTGTATATCTGTAAAATAAACTCTTGCATTTGGAGCCATTCCATGATATTCATTGATTGGATTGGCATTCGAATTGAAAGTCAAATTTTGAATACTTCCACAAACAGAACCAACCACATGAGTTCCATGTCCATTCACTCCGTCTTGACCATCCGAGGAGATGGAACTAAATCCTGAAATAACAGTCACTGTGTCATATCCAACAATTTTACGATGATTCATATTGACCTTATTGGTTTTCACAATGGGATTGTTTGAATCTCTAAATAAACAATTGTCCCAATCAATTCCAGTGTCTGAGACTCCCACAATTTGTCCATTTCCTAAAATTCCCATATCATAGAATGGAGTGGCAGACATTCCAACACTTGGAGAAAGACCAAATCCTTGCATCATGACACTTGATTTCTTATTCAACAATTGATACTCGTGTTTTCTTTCAATGAAATGAACATGTGAATGTTCTTTCAAAATTTCACTCACACGTTGAGCCACAAGTGGAGAAAAACTCATTTCCAGTTTATCCTTTGAAGAAACTTGAACTGGAGAAATCATTGAAGAAGGATGATGATCATTCTTATTGAAGTTCCATTCTTGTTGTTGTTGATGTTGATATTGATGTTGTTTGGATAATAATTCTCTGAATTTGGAATTCAATTCATTGGCAATGAGATGAGCTTCTTCGAGTTCTTGATTGACAAGAATGGCATCGAGAGATGGAAGAATGGTAATAATGACGTGTATCAAATGGTTCTTGTTGTCATTCTCATCAACAGAATTTGCAGTGTTCAATTTGAAAGAACTTGATGAGACGTTGAACACTGCAAATTCTGTGTTTTGTTGGATTTGAGCGAATTGTTGAATTTTTTGAAAATTCAAAGCACTTTTGAATCTTGGTTCATATTCAGCAATCCATTCAATGGCTTTGTTCGAAGATGAAGAAGAAGCAACATGTGAAATGATTTCTGACGTTTTGGCAACCACTGCAAAGACATTTGAAATTCCCAAAGGTTTACCAGATTTTATGACCATGGTTTGAATCCATTCAGAGTTAGTAGTTGTTGTTGTTGCTTCATCCATTGGTGATGCATTGTGTGCTTCATCTTGATTGAATTCATTTGTAAATTCTTTCAATTTGACAATAAACTGACTTCGAGGTTCATCCAATTGTTTCACAATCTGAGTATATTGTTCTTCTTCATTGTTGTTAAGGTTGTTCACACGTTTCAAATTGTTTACAGAAAATGAATGAATCATTTCTCTTCGATTCATGAGTGTGTGCAATCGATTCAACTGGTTCATCAAATTATTTTCAGAAGAGAGTGGAAAGGAATGACTCTCTTGTTCAATCAAAGAAGAATGATCACGATTCTCTTCATGAATGAGCGAAACAAAGGGAATGGCTTGAACTGATGAAGATGGCGAAGATGTTGCGTGAACCTGGTTGACAAGTTCGATGTCTCCAACGAATAGGAGAAGTAATAGGAGAAGAAGAAGAATACCCAAGCATTGTTGTTGGTGCGGAGATGAGCTCATCTCCGGCGTTGTTGTTGACATCCTTGTTTGATGCGGTGAGTGTGAATGTGAATATTTTTTTTAGTTTCGACCTTCATCATCCTCCAAGTGAAGAGAAAGGATGATTTATTGGAGTGGTGGAAAAAGCTGCAACAAGCCACTTCGCGAGGGCAAATTGGTTGACTTGTAACGTGATTGGACGGAGCATTGTTGCACTGTTTTGAGAAGATTTTTTGAAATTGAGGTTAGAAATGCCAAAATGTCAACCTGCAAAAAAATTCCAGCCTGATTGGCAATTTCTGCAACTGTAGTCCCTCGTAAATGGTTGTGATTCTTCGGAAAATTAATTACAGACCCCCAACAAAAATCAAAGGGGAGCAATGGGAATCGAACCCATGGCCTCCTGCACCCAAAGCAGGAATCATACCACTAGACCATGCTCCCGTTAAATACTCTAAAATTCATCGGGAGCCTTAAACTGGAACGTTTACCACCAATGTGTTGATCTTGGGTTCAGAGAGATATTACAAATCAAAGTCAATTAGGATCTGCTGTTTGAAAGGTCAAAAAAGAAGAATTTAGTGAAAAACCAATTCCTCTCTTACTTCTTCTTTAGTATATCTTTTCTGAATGTCAATTAACCAATCATTTGCATTGTCTTAAATTCCGAACTTTTGTAGTACCATTGTTTCAAGAACTATATTGTTGTTCCACGTGAGAGTAAAACTACGTTTATTCCATAAACTTCGATTTATCCAACAATAAACATGTTAAAGCAAACTGAGTAGTATAAAATTCTATCAAACTGTCTGTGAGGGAAAAAAATGGTCACAGATTCTGAACATCTCTCTTAATAAAAAACCAATTCATATCGTTGATACACTTCATTCAATCTCAGAGCACATTTACAATTCGCGTCAAAGGTCAACACTTCCATCTGAGTCGTCTTGTACATGGCTCGATCAAAGGATGGACGACAAAAATCCTCCATATTCGACGAGCTTTCCAGAATGAGATGCTTTGGAAGTATCAACATGCTTGTGCGTTCCTCTTGGCTTGGAAATAAACATGGAGAGTACGAAATGGATTCAATATTCCATGAATGTGAAACGAATTTGAAAATCGGTGCCTCATCATAGTAACCATAATAATTAAAAAGAGCTTCCGTGTGGTCTCCTTTGAACTGGAGTAGTCGTCCTTGATCGATAAATTTGGCACATACTTCACATTCACCATGATCGTACCACCTCTTAAATGTTTGTTCCTTGTAAATGAGAAATTGAGAGAAACGCTTCCATAGTATGGAGTATGGTGAAGATGTATCATGTTCTTTGCAGATAGTATTGTTGTTGTTATTGACCTTTTTGGCAATAACTGTATAAAACTTTTCGGCATATAAATGACCTTCAAGACCATCAACCATCTCGTGACATGCCATCTTGATTTCCAATACCACAAAGTCAGAATATTTTTCAGGATTGGCCAATGTGACGCCTTCTTGTTGAAAGGCCTTTGTGAAATTAAAGGCAATTGCATCTACTAAAGGTCGGCTTGAAACTGAAAAAGTTTCAAAAGGGATCACTTGGAGAGGTGCATAGAGAGGGTCAACCTTTTTGTGAACAATGCTTGTAAATCCACATAAGCACATATTCTCAACACAAACATATACAATTTGAAAAACATGATCAATAAATAGAACAATGTCGAATGTGTGTGAATCCCATTCTCCAATATGAAATGAAAATTGAGTTTTGTCTCCATAAATATGATTGTGCAATTTCATGGGTTTCAAAAAATTGCTGACATCTTCCAAATAATCCACATTTCCACTCAAATAGTCACATATTAAATACTTTTTCAAATAAAATATTCTATCAGATTGATACAATAGATAAACTGAGTAAATATAACATTCTCTCTTTCCATCAATATTGAACTTTTTCTTGTATTGTTTTTGAAATTGTGGATGATAGGTCATTTCTATTTTCAACACAATAATGGAACTTTTGCTAGAAGCAACAGAAATTGGTGTAGAAAGAAGACTCTTCTGTGTCAATGTACAAGTAATGTCCAAGCACAGTTTCGTATCAAGTACTGAAAATGTATGAGCCATTAAATAATGACAAATGGAAAAACCGCAATCTTCTTTCAATTTAAATTTCCAATGAGTCAGTGGAAACGATGGTAACTTTGCATCTTCTCGATGTTTTCTTAATAGTTCTGAATTTTCTGTTGAAAGTTTCAAAGCTCTTTCTGGATGTCGAATCATTGGAATGAGCTCACACACCGAGTTGATTGTGAGATATTTTCTTGAACTTGGTTTTTTCTTTTTCTTTTCCGTTTTGATGAGCAGTTGAGAAAAGGCTGTTAATGATTGTTCATTGTTTTTCAAAAGGATTGATTTAATGTCATCAAAATGAGAATACGTTTCCTGTGAGTAAGAATGATTCCACTGATGTTTTAATTGCATCTTTTGAGACATATCATTTAAATAAACAATTTTGAGAAGTGATTTTCGGAATGATTCATGATCAAGACTCGGATCAAAAAACAATTGATACCATTCTCGGCAAACTAAACTACAACTTTTAAAGAGCGTGCGAGCATCAAGATTTGAAAATATCAATAAGAGCATGTACGGATTGTTATTCAATGTTGACCGCCAAAGCTCACGAACTTGTGTTTTCATTTTTTTGGAATAATAAAACACAGAGCATGAAGATGGATTTAACTGTTGTGTAGCTGAATATTAAGGCCTTAATATTCTCAATGGATAGGACCGCCAGACAATTTCCTGAAATCCCTTGAAAAGAGGGAGCTGGAATGTTTTTAAGACATTCTGGTCTGAATCCTTGACATGCAAAATTTGGGTATACATTTTGGAAATGAGATAATTGTTGAGCAGAAATGCCTTGACATGTTGTTGGTGTCAATACTTGTAACTGCTCTGATTTCACACCAGAAAACGCAAATCCAGAAATATTTTGTACATCTTGTTTGGACATTAACTGGAAAATATCCAAAGGGAAAGCGGAGAATCAATTCAAGCCAAAGAAAGATTCTGACCGCAATGCTTGAAACAGCTTGACTGAGATTACCATCATTCCACAACATGATGGATGCAGCGGCAATAAGAAGCAGAAGGAAAGTAAAATAAAAATTCCAGGAGTGCTGCATCTGCAGATGAGATTTAAAGCATGTGCGCGGGTTTGGAGAAGGGTTCCTCTCTCGGAATGGAAATATAGGTTTGTGCTTGCGCAAAATAAGGTTTTTGCTCCCTCAACTCCAACTCCGGTCAATCTTTGTAAAATGTTGATTCGACCCATTCTGGAAAGATAGCAGAGTCAACTGTCAGGTCAAGAAGTAGTGATTAGTGTCTCTCAAAACCTTCACTATTAAATCTAGTTCACAATAATCAAACAATTCACCCCAATGTAAATGTAAACGTTAATCACCCAAATCCGCTCATTCAAATTTATCATAATTTTCAATATATGGAGAAACATTTTGAATTCTACTATCTTCCACAGGTTTTCCAATTGTGAAATGATACAAATCTTGATAATTTTGAATTGCATCAATGTCTGAATTTTCACTATCATCAATTTCATTCAAAACAGAATATGAGTCTTCTTCTTCAACTTGTAAAACATTTTCTAGAATGGTATCATCAAAGAAACATCCGATACCAGTTGCTCTCAATCCCATTCTTTCTGCTTCTAAATACAAAATGTGACCAATATATCCAGCTTCCCAGTACAATTCTTTAAATCCATATGGACCCTTCTTTTCAATATGAGTTCCAAAGTTAAATGTGACCATTGCCATACTGAAACAACTATCACTTGCAATATCTTGCACACATGAAGAAAGTTTTGCAAATTTTCTCAAGTCGTTGGAGACAAGTTTGAAAAGAGGGAGTTTTTGATCTATCATGTGCCAATCAAAACTCATGTTCCAATCCTGTTTGATCTTATTGAGAACGTTCTCACTCGTTATTTTATCATTCATATTCTCAAGTCCTCTATATAAAAGATACATTCCTCTTTCCAGTCCTTTCACTCGATGAACAAATATAACAAGATGAACATTACAACCATTTTGGGTAAAGTTATCGTATGGAGAGAGACATCTCCATAATGAAGGATATCGAGATGGCAATAGTTTTTCCAACATGGAGAAAAATTGGTCCTTATTTTCAATAACTGTGACACCGTCAAAATTTTGAGCGCTTCTTCTTGTTCTAATTACTTGTTGAGCGGTGAGCGTACAGGGAAGCGCATCTAAAAATTGGATCGGTGTTCTCTTGAAAAGATCATTCAAGGATCGATCATGATTAGACAACAATGACCATGGATATGGCTTCGTCAAGTTGCACAGTTCTGGAATTGGCTCCATTTGAGGCCAATGTTGATGCTCGCTGCACAATAAATTTGGTTTTCCATATCTTTGTGCTTTGATTTTTCCATTCATCATGTCATTACAGAGATGAGTTTTTTCGTGTAAAATGGAAACGTGATACATTGAAACTGGAGGAGTATTTTCGATGTGCAGTCCTTCGTGATTGAGCTTGAATTTTGGTTTTGTGTCTATCAAAAGAATTGCTTCGAATTTTTCCTTTTCCCTCTCATACTCTTTCATTTCAGTCTCATTAAACTGGTCTAATCCTAAAACGGTTTCCATTAATTTTGAAGTCACAAGAGGGTGATCATTGAGGACAATACAATCCCAACCAAATAACGAGGCGCTATATTTCAATGCAGCAATGGCGTGTCCAGAATCCAATTGAGAATATCGGTATGAACGAATTCCATACTTTTGAAAATTATTAAGAAAGCCATTGTCATGATCATTGCTGACCTACCTTCCAAGTTTCTCGATAATTCACTGTGCATAATCCTACTGCAAAAAATCTATTCCAATCATCATGTTTGACTTGATTTGGTTTGGATGAAAGTAATAGATCGTTCACAAGTGAAATCGTCTTCCATTCACTTCTTAATTGCAATGCATGATATTTTGGATGATACGAATAGACATGAGTGGAGGATCCTTGATGCTTCTCAACTGCTGTTTTTGATGGTGATTCCGTCATGGCACTCAGGTCACAATCTAAAATACAATACACTTCGCACGGATGAAGATTTCCACTTGATGGATTCACTCTCAAACTAAGTTAAGATTAATCCACAAAGTGTGACCACGTTTGTTAAGTTATAAATGTATATATTGAATATAGATATGAATGCAATAATCTTTCAAACCATTGATATATTTACCTCCAACTATTATGCTTGTATTTCTTTGTAGCAGACAAACTCATACTATAGAACATAAATTCACTCAAACTCTTTTCATTCAATTCTACCGAGCCACTCGGAAGAAGAAATTCCTCTGATGATGATTCCTTCGAAATTCCTTTCTGTTCCAAGTATATTTCATCAAATCCTTTCAAATGTTTAGCCTTGTTCAAGATTAATTCTTCGTTCAATGAAAGCGTTTGTAAAGGCTTTGCATCCTCTCCGATAAATGATCGGTACGGATTTGGTTGGTTACTCCAATCTAAAAAGCCTTTGGAAGGTGCATAATTATGAGGATATTCATGTTTTGTCTGAATTTGAAATTGAACAAGCAACTTTTTCATGAGAAGCGATTTGGCTGACGATGAGTGCGTGGAAGAAGAGTGAGTGAGAGGCTTCATTTTTGTTATTGATTTAATTCTCAATTCGTGATTTCAGGAATTGAAGGCCTTTGTTTGATAAAGATCTGTGCCTATTATATTGTCAATTCTGTCACCAAAGAATGATATTGCAACGTTGTTGTGTGATCACAAACCATTCACTTTTTCATGGAGATGGAATATCCACCCGAGTTGGGATCTTTGTTAAGTGAAAAATTGTCCAAACTAAGTCCAAAAGCTCCAAGTAATTGATTACCAACATCTTTCAGTTGACCTAACATGTCATCGAGTTGTTTTTTCTGCTCCTCTTCTGCTTTTTTTCTTAATCTCTCGGTCTCTTCGAGTATTTTCTTGGCCATTGCCTCAGGAATTATATTTTCTGAAGTACAAGCCGATGATTTGTTTTTTCGCTCCATGACCATTTCATTGAGCTTTTTCATGTCTTGATAACTCGACTGAAAATTGTTGACTTGTTCAAAACATTGTGATCTCTTATACAGTGATTTGTAATGATTTTGATCGAGGTAATCCAAAATAATGGTGCAATATTCCAAACTTCGAGAGTACAGGCTTAATTGATAGTACGTCAAGGCTAAATTTGAATAAAGTACAACAAGTAGAGCTTTCACTTCATTGCTTTTGTTGCTGACATCCTCGAATACATTTAAATTTTTTGCTAACAATTCAATACTTTCCTTCTCAGTAAGTAACACATCATCTTCTTTAGAAATATTGTTGCGATCCATATCGAGTGTTTGTTCAATTGTAGGGTTATTATTCAATGATTGCTCCTCATTCTGTGTTTTATCGGCACTATTATTTTCTTGTTGTTCGTTTTTTGGTTCTGCTTGATCTGTAGTCTGACTACTTGTACTCCCGATAGACTTGTAATATTCTCGTATAAACACAGTTAAACGACTTAACGCTTGTTGATATTCCTTTTCAGCCAACTCCAAATTCCGAGATTTGAAATGAGCATTTCCGCGTTCCTTTATTTCGTTACATTCAGAGAGGATTTGAGAGAGTTTGGGAATTTCTTGCAATGTTTGCATTTTTTTCAAGAATTTCCATCAACAGCTTTTGTCTCCATGTAATGAAAAACGATGGTTCAAGATCAACATATTCCTTGCTCATAGAAAAAGTTGGAACAAAGGTGAGCAAGGAACCTATTGACCTAAAACCATCAAAGGATTGTTGAAATGCTGTTTTTTTTCACTACGTGGATGCTTTTGTTGCAAGTTCTAAATAGTATTGACACTTGATGTCAATGATCAAAGCAATGAAAATCGAGAACTGAACACTCGTTTGTAAGAATAATAATTTATTAGTTATTGAGATAAATTAAGGGAAATAGTAATTTGTTTGCAGAGAATCTATGTGGTTGACCTAGTCATCCCAGTAGTCACTGAAATTTGTGAATTCTTTGGATGTATCAAATCACTCTTCATCTTTGTAATAGGGATCTGAATAGAATGGATTGTTTGCCTTAAATGCACTATTAGTAAGATAAAAACCAGAGCTATTACTGTGTCTAAAGGTTCTAGAAGTTCCTGATGGAATTTCTCGTTGTTGTCGACTCAAATGAGGACTCTGTTGTGTGGCCATCATCATTACAGGTGACCCTCTTGGACCTGTGCCTTCAGTAAATCGATTGGGGGATGTTCTTTCAAAAGTTCGTGCCGATGGAGATGATCCAGTCATGGAGCCATAAATAACAAATCCTAATACTCCAATAATTAATGAAAGAATGATATAACCAAAGTATCCTGAAGACTCCTCTTGCTCTTGTTGAGATGGAGTAGATTCATCGATTCTATTCGAAGTTGGTTCAGATGTTTTGCCTGATATGAATTTGGCAGAGATGGATGGTGTCTTGAGTGTTAATTGATCACGTGCTGCCTCTCCATATTTGACCTTAATGTTGAAATACAAATCTTGGAAGCCAGATAATTTTTGTAAATCTCCAGAAATAAAAGACTGGCGGTTGGGTTTCACAAGACATTCATAATTGTCGCCAACTTTTTCTGTACCAATCACATCAAGCCATGGAGTATTGGATGTACATTCTACGATGGTATTTCTTCTTACTCTTGGATCTTGTGGTAAATCAAAAACTTGTTGATTGTTATCAAATAATCGAACAGGTATGCGAAGAGGTGCAATTTTGGATGGATCAGTACTAGAGCTGAACTCTGCCTTTGATGACATAATTCTGGCGCTCGAGATTGTGACAACCCTCACTCGGATTTGAGAACCGTTTCCTCCCTTAGTTGTGAGGGTGACCATACCTGCTTGATGTGCAACAGCACGTCCATATCGATCGATGGACAATATAGTGGTGTCGTCACTCTCCCATTCATTAGAAAGACTCGGTAAGTCAATAGTATCACCCACATGTAAAGTCAACGAGGAAACTACTGGCTTTTCTGACACACCAGCTCTCGAAGAAGAAGGAACTACGGTGAATTGGCAATAATAGGCTTCTTTGAGCTCAGATGACTTTAGCTCTACTGTGACAACCCCTACGGAATGAGCATGAACAAGGAGTACCTCTCTGATTGCATCTACTTTGATTGAAACTACATCATGGTAATTCATGCGTGAGTTAAGATTAATTCCAGTTATAGACACAAATTTTTCACCGCGCATGGAAAGAGCCGACAGTGGAATTTCAATGTCACTGTCCACTTGTACTTTAAAGTCATATCCAAATGTGTGTCCGTATTGATTCATGTACATAGATAAGAAATGTGGCGTTTGTACAGATACTTTTTGGGCAACAGTTTGTCCTGTAGCTACTTCTTCGATAATAACAATTGAAATACCTTCTGTGGTGTGGGTGGTGATTTCTCCATTCTTGGCCACAGAGAGAACATTTTCATATATATCGCTCTTTGCAATGGAATACTTTTGAAGTGAAATGTTGTCCTTGTTTGTCTTTAAACGGAAGGTAGAAGATTTTGGTGCCAGGATGAGATCCTTGTGTGGGAAATCGATCAATTTCAATTTGTCATCCACCTGAATCGAAGCACTTGTCTGTACATGCCACGAAGAAAGAGAAGGGTGTCCACTGAAAACAGCATTGACATTCAATTGTGTCTTGCCCACTTTCTTTCCTGAGATAAACACGGAATGACCAGTATGGCTGTAGGGTTGATTTACAAGAGCCACACTACTCTCTTGCGAGTCGACCGTCACTTTAAAGTAAGGAGATTGCATGAAGATTGGAGAGAGTAAGTGCTTGGTCTGAGAATTTCCTCTTGTATAGACTCCATAAATTGGGACAGGAACAAAGTTGTATTCAAAAAGTGCCAGCGGAGATGGAACCTTAAGACCAACAAGTTGCACAACATAAACAGACACTGTTTTTCTGGAGTAAATGACATTCGTATAAGTGCTCTTCTTTTCAACAATTAATGTTTCTTCGCCATAAGCAATACCAGTCACAACACCTTTTTGATCTACCGAAGCGACATTGGATCTTTCAAAGCGGAACACAGTAGAAACACGTTGTGACTCGGCTGGGCCTCCTGAAACATAAACTTGATAGTTGGCCCCTGGAATCAAGACCAACTCTTCTGATTCAACCTTCATGGATTCGAAAACATTCACAATGAAAGGAGCGCTGAAAACTCGTCTACCATCTGAATTCAATACACTGGCTACAAGTTTCACAATACCAACTCTTTCACCAGTGAGTATGTACTCGTCAGAGCTCGAGTCAGATTGCTTAATAACGACCGTGCGTGTTGTGTCAATATCAATCGAAGGATTCATAGCAAAATGTTGATATTCTGGAAACACTGCTCCGGTGTCATCGAACACCTTCAACTTGAGAGAAATAGATCTATCCACTTGAACGAAATGTTCGCCTTCCAAAGACACATCATGTGCATCAGCAACCTTAACAAAACAGCTGGCGGCAGGACTCACACGAGAATAAGCATCAACAACATCCACTCTCACATATCCTGGAATAAGGCCAACCACCTCTGCCATCGAGTCCTTTGGAACCAAATCAGCAACATGAGTGTTGTTGTGAGAGAAGTCGTATTTGCCTGATCCACCACTTGCTTTAACGGTGAGAGAGATTTTTCTGTGTCTGAATAAAAGGTAATTGGTTGGAGTGATGAAAACGTTTGGTGCGATTCGTAATTCAATTTCGTCCACTAAAGGAGAAGAGAATGAGGAAGTGGCAGAGGATATGATTGCATTGGAAACGTGTCGTTTGAGTTCATCTCTGCGATAGCCAGTAATTTTTCCAGTGAGTGTGACAATACCCTCGTTTTCGTTGATATCTAACAATCTGAATCCTGGTGCTTGCTGTTTTGGAGAGAATTTAACAATATCATTATCACTCAAATCCCATGTATCTTGAAGAGTTGAGAGTGTAATAAATTGATTCTCCTCCCTATCATAAACATGCATGATTGCTGGTATTGTTTGATTATTTCTAACACTGTAGGTTCTGATATTCTTTTTAGAAATTAAGCTCAGTTCTTCCATAGTAGAGGGATTCAAAGGAATAACTTTGAGATGCGCTGGTGGTTGGCAAGAATACTTGACCTTAATGGAAGCTGAACTTGGTAAAGCATCTTCCGTTGGAATATGGTGATGAATGTCGACAGATAATTGTTGTTTTCCGAAATCTAAGCAAGTAATATAAAATGATCTCTTTCTGTTCTTGTCACTTTCTAAAGTATTTGTATCTTTAGCAATTTTAAGACGATCTGGATCTTCAGCAATAATGGCATCCGTAATTCTTGACTCTCCCTTCACGAAATTATCCCAAGGTTGAGGACCTCCACTGATACTGAGCTGTGCAGTGGCTCCTAATGGTACAAGGAAAACCTTATTGTTGTCAGTGTAGGGCTCTGTGATTTGTAGTTGAGGATAAACTGCAACATGAGTCTTCTCTTGTAGCTTTCCATTTTGATATTTTGCTTTTACAGTAGTAAATCCTTCCTGAATAGCTCGAATGGAAACTTCGGCAAAAACGCTTTTTCCGACTTGACAAGAGTGAGATGAAATGGTATACACTGACGTGTCTGTAACACTCCACTCATATTGTAGGCTAGAAATGTTGTGATAGACGTTGCCATTGCTATCAAGTGCCTTGAGACGTAAACACAAACTGTCATCAACGGCAACTTCACGGAATCCCTTTTCAAAACGCAAGCTATGAGGTTGAGAAACTGATACAACACGAGAGTCACCATTGTACAAATTCTGCTGATCGAACACAATAACATCAGCTTCGCCATTTCGTTTGGAGGTCAAAATACCATAAACTTTGCCTGGACCCTTTTGGCTAACGACGTCAAAGGAGGAGCCAGGGTTAACAGCTGTCCACATTAACAAACCGCTACCACCTGTGGCTTCAACTCTAAACATTTGCTCAACACCAAAGTCATGGGGTAAATAAATAATGCTATCTTGCAGTTGAATGGTGACCGGAGGAACAATAGAGATAGGCCTTGATTGGGTAAGTTCAATATTTTCGTGAGCAGAAAATGAAGAAGCCCCTGATGTCAATTCCCCTGTTTTGAGAGATGCTTTCAAAATAACATCTCCAAGTTGGTCGGCTCTAATCAAAAATAAATCTTCGTTCTGAGAACGGCTTAATATCCTAATCGCCGAAGTGTTGTCGCCAGTAGCAGATTCAATTGAAAACTTGAATTTAACATTTTCTGTAATATCTACTGGCATGTGATGTTGATCATACAACTCAATCTTCACTTCATATTCATTGTTAACAACCAAGCTTGAATGTTCATCATTGTTTGCATTTTTGTAATTTTTCAATACGTATTCATAGCCCTTGTAGAGTCTTGCTTTCTTTGGGCTGATCAAAATTTTGATAGAAGCAGGTTTCACAACGTGAACTAATGCAGATGCTTTGTTCAAATTGAAGGTTACATCTTGAACAATAATATTGGTTGCTCCAAGATCAATAGCTTTAAACACTCCAGTAGTGGAAGCAATTTCACCTACATCTTTGTTCAAAGATAACCATTCATAGTTTCTATTAGGCATTGGAATGTGTTCAAATTGATTTTTTTCAGAATACTTCCTAATATATAATTCAAATGGAATTATTGTACCAGGTACAACTCTCATTTCGTTTTTAGGTTTCAACATAAAGCTGTCAGTTACAGAAATAGTGACCATGTCAGATAAGGTGGCACCTTCTTTTTGTGTGCTCTTCAAAGAGACAGAAACAGAAACTTCTCCTGAACGTAAACCTTTTGCAATAATGACATCGTGACTTCCAACACCTCTCTTAATTCGCTTCTTTTCATCAAAGAAATGTACCGACTCATCATTGATGTCAATAAGTTCAATGAGTCCTCTGTTTTGGTATGTGTCAAAACAACCACACGTTACCAATTTTGGTCAATGTAGGTTCAGAATGTTTTCGTCATCGCAACATGTTAAAAATGTAAAAAGGTTTGACATTCATGACAACAAGTGTTAGAAAACTAAATTTGCAAAATTGTTAAAAAACGTACGGCTTTTTGTGTCCTGGCAATCCTTCAGATTTCCACACAAAGCTTAATCCTGTCAATGAAGAAAAAATGTTTCCTTCCGCATCAAATCCATCAACTTGTAGTGTTTCCAATTCATTGATAGTGAGTTTTCTGACTGTAGTTTGCAATTTCAATTGGCTGATAGAGTCTATGAAAACCTCGCAAAAAGCAGTGGCGCCAGTAGATCCCGAAGAAGGATGGAATCGATGAGCTGTAACAATTGCCACTTGTGGTTTCGAGTGAAAGCCTTTTGGAATAACCTGTTTGTAATTAAATATGCCAAGAATTAAAATATGATCATTGTCATTTCATCATGATGGTACGGGATCAATTTAAAAGAAGCCATCATTCGAGGTGAATACAAATATTCAAAGATTGATTCATCATAGAGATTAGCGTGAATCAGGACAATGATAATATTCATCGAAACATACTTGAATTTCTTGAGAACATGTCATGACTGGGGAGCTTCCTAGTTGTATTTTCTGGTCATCCGAGATTTTGTTTACAGGCACCAAGGATACCAACTCAGGATGCAGGGTTGTCCAATAAAAACAATTTTGCTTATCATCTTCACTGAGTCCTGATGTTGTAGCCTTCAAGGTTACACCATCACTGTTCCATGCAATCAGTGCACTGACCCTATTTAAAGAAATTGGAGCATTGGCTTCTACTGTGTGGTGTTGTTGTTGAAAGGAAGAACCCGCAAAAACTCCAATAATAATTAAAAATGTAATGATTAAAAATTGAATGGAAGTGGCGGAAAGAGTTTTTGATGAAGGCGAGTTGGTTCCGACTGGTTGCCTCCTGCGTGTTGTGGTTGTTCGGGTGGGATTGCAGGATGTTGGAGAAGAGGAAGACAGCTTGCTCCACATTTTTTTTGTTGAAGACATGTCTTTGTTAGGGAGGGAAAATGCTTAATACCTAACAACTCACTGAACATTATTGTTTGGAATGTTTATTAATCAATTAGGAAATCAATCTTGTAAAATCATCATCATCCTTTACTGAAGGACAAATCCAGCAAATTTCGCAGCCTCAGCAAAAAAAGAAGAAAAAAATGAGCAGCCAATCATCACCAGAAGCCACCACACACTCGACCACCTTTACACCACTCAGACAATACAACTCCGAGACTGGAAGAATACCCACACTCTACTCTACTTTCCATAAGGAAGAGATTCAAAGGACGGTTGAGGAAAAACAACGATTAGGACAATTGCCAAAATCCGTACCAAAGCCTCTGAATCCTATTCAGAAACTGCTCTCCTACGTTCCTCCAATCAAGTATAGATTCGGAAGAGAATTCTTTAAATTTGCATGGTATCTCATGTATCCCTTCGGAGTGGTGTTTGTTATTTCACAACCAGCCATCAAAGAATGGATTGTGTCGAAAATGCCTGAAACAAAGAGCTACATGGATGAATGGGAAGCGAATCGATCGGAGGAAGAAGTTCACTTGGCAGAAGATATGAAACAAAACGAACTAGGAAATGCCAATCACTACAATTTGTATTGGCAAGAAAAAGCAAAGAACGACGAAAGAGTGAAAAAGTTTTTGGAAATGCAACGCGGCAAAGTAGAGGAGGATATGAAAAGCAAACGAGTGAACGAATAATTTGGTTCGATAATGTAGCAATAATATGAAACTTGGATGCACATGGGGCAAATGTTGCCTCAATTATCAAATGACGTGCTGGTTCAAATATTCTTAAATTTCAACTTTGGGTTTAAGAGTTGAATTGGATTGGTTGCAAAATTGTGCCGAACTGACGAGAGGAATGTTAACTCATCGTTTGGATCGAGTTTCTCTCTTGTCGGGATCTCGACATCAAGTAAAATGATCATTGAGTTTTATGAAAAGACAAAAAATCATTCAAAATATTTTTTAAACCACAACATGCACAAACACAATCCCTCTTTTATTGATTGTGTTTGTAATGGGCCAAAATCTTTCAACACAGTAAAATACTCACATTTCTCTTACTTTCCATCTGACTATCAAAGATGGATCGTCTTTGATAGTGTGACATAGTAAGTTTCACGATAAGCAGGCTTTACTCATATGCTCCTAAAGTAGAATGGGTGTTATTATGCTTACCACATCTCATCACAGGACGTTGAACTTAAATCTACTACAAGAGTTCTTTTATTCGAACAACTGGAATTTCATGTTGTTATTCCAGTCCCAACACGAAATTCATAGAGCTTCAAAAAAATGGTTTCTTCTTTGCCATCACCGTCGCTAGAAGATTACTCGTCATTACTATCCTGCCATTTAATTTTGTTCATCGGAAATAAATGTTCCAATAAAACACTCCAATATCATCGATATTTTGCAGCTAGTCATGAACGGGTTTCATTGGATGATTGGAATAAGCGAGAAAAGTTGTCCTTACACGCCATGTTCAAGAAGATTATCAAAAAATTAGAAAAGGTAATATGTTCATGAATATTAAATTATATAATATAATATTTGATATTTGAAAATTAATATATCTAAATAATTTCAAATATTATAATGATGATTCTCAAAACACCTCTTGCTCACATGAACACGCATTTAGCAATGCAAAATTGTAATTGAAGATGAAAATTTAATACCCGAAACTAGAAAATCATTGATTGAGAAAGTAAAACAAAGCATTCCACATTGTAAAGTCGGGGCTCTGTGTTTTACGTGCAACAATGAGAAAGTATTGGAATATCAATTCAACACGAACCAAATATTGAGCTATTTCCTAAAGAAAAATAATGTCAAATCTCCGGATATTTGTCTAGGTGGACATACCTTTCTGCTTCAACCCGGGCAAGACAAAGAACACGTGATTCCCTCCAAAAGTGAAGGCTTTGACACCATGTTGGAGAGTAAGGTGAAATTGACCAATGTGAATAGGTAGGTGTTTCATTTGATCACGTGCATGCATTCGTAATCATGCTACTACTTTTTTTCAATTGATACAAATTTCACTGCAGAGAAAAAGTTGAATTCATTCATCAAGGATTAATAGTGGATGGCATGTTATTGGCTCTCAGATTGTTGGTACTTTCTCCTTCTCAAGAAAAAGATATTTCTAATTTTGCAGATCCTCATTTACATTGGCTTTTCACACAGTGGGTTAAAGTCAAGCCCAATGGAAGGATCATCATTATATTGATACAAAAAGACTATGACAAACTTTGTGACTTGCTTGGTAAAAAAACCAAAACATTTGAACAATTTGTCATGTGGGTGGAGAAGACTCTTTGTAAATATTTCCCATTTCCTATTTTTACTGTGGAGATCAAAGTGACGAGCTCAATGAATCATCAACAAATGAAGAGAGACGAAACATTATTGCTTTCCTCATTGATGTATTTACACTCTCTTGCGGTTAGTGAGGCTATTGTGGTAGTTTCTCCGTTCAATGCTCAAAGTATTCAAAATATTGGAAGCTCATCATCAATGAATAAGCACAAAAAGTTTTTCACCAATGAGTGTAGAACTGAGAATAATTTGTACATTAACAATGAAATGTATATACGCATGGCAAAACTAGGATTAATACTTGTAGATTTTTCAAGTTTTTTAGATATTTCCATGCAAGAATTAGAACACTCAGAAACTTCTACTCTTCGTATCGAACAGAAAATTGCATTGGTTCAACTCGATTATCGATCAAATCAACCTGAATTTTTGAAAAATATAGAGTTTGTGCAAATGGATTCATGGAAGAGCAATGGTGAAATGTTCAGCAAGTACATTGGAAGATACCCTTTCATTACTGAGCTTCAACGAAATCATTCAAGTCAATATAGAGCTGGAGTTTTTCAGGACTCTCAACAACGTGAAATCAATCATGTGCTTTTCGGCATTGTTTGTAATCCAAGTGTCATTTCTCAATTTGCAGCACAAAATGATTTTTCGAGCCATTTACAATTTTACCAGAAAATCAATGGGTACAGTGTATCGAATCAAATGAACATGAATTTGGAATCAATCAATGCAGAACGGAAAAGGTTTTCTCCTAAACAAACAGAAAAACTCTCCAGAGGTATTGAAGGAAGCCCCTCAGGAGGAACGGCCATGAGAAAATCTGTCAATATCCTGATGCCTAATGTTACTACTTCCCAACCCACAACGACTAGCGATGGAAAAACATCTGACATCTTTCAGTTTCCTGTGACAGACATGTCACTCTCGTTTATCTGTGATTATTTTGGATTGACTAAGGTATGTTATATACATGACAATGATTTTAATATGTTTATAGGTCATTCATCCAAATTCTGCATTCATCCTTCCCATAGTTCCAACGAGGAAAAGATTTAGAGTCTTCTATTTATAATGTGATGGTTAAACTCATTCCAGAAAAGCCCAACTGTTTCAAAATGTATTCCAAGTGCACGAGACAACAAGCACCCCAACCTGGACAAGAGCCAATCTTTTATCGACAAGAGGTATTAATGAAAGATAAAAAGCTTAACAAGGCTGTATGTACATGTCCTGATGGAAGTCAAGGACGGTGCAAACACATATGTGCCGGTGTTTTGGCCTATATTTCGATCATTTCGAACAGAAATCAAGGAGATGAGCAAAAACTTGAACAAAAAGAGAAGATGTTGAAAAGTGGAGAACTCGATTCACAGGAACATACAAGTCAAGTTAATGAGCTCTCTCAGAATTCGCCTCCTTCTTCCAACGCAACCAATACTCCTGCCTCCTCAAGTCATGCAAATGCTTCTGATGAAAAAACAGACCAGAAAAAAAAGAAAACATTACCTGCATGGATGGTATTGAATTCAAAGTTGGAATCTCAGAAAGAGTCAAAAAAGTCAACAAAGAAAAATTCATCCAAGGAGTCAGAGCTCAAAAAACCAAAAACGAGTTTCTTTTTATATTGTGATGATTATAGAGAGAGAGTGAAGGAGGAATTGGGTGGGAATGTTTCTGCATCTGAAGTTGCCAAAGAAGTAGGCAAACGGTGGAAAGATCTTTCAATGGAGGAAAAGCAAGTCTACATTGAAAAACAAAAAGAGTTACAAACAGAATATGAAAAGAAGAAAAAAGAAAATACCAAAGCAGAGACGAGCACTCAAATTGTCAATGATGAAGAGCATTTCGACAAGAAACAAAACGAAAATGTGAAAATAGAGTCAGCATTAACAACAGATGAAATGGACGTTTCAAATGAAAATGACAAAACTCATCACCTGGCAGAGAAAAAGAGAGGTGATTCTCCTGCCAAAAAGAAACCACAACCATTACTGTCTAAGAGAGTACAATTACAACACAATGACAACAATCCCGAACACTCTGTGGTGGTGGTTAAAAAGGAAGTTCAGAATAATGTTGACGAGATCATGGATGACACTTCAGCATCAAGCAACATTTTCGCTTCGAAATCTAAAACAGAAAGCAACAATATCATCAGTCGATCAGCAGCAGCATCTAAAACCAATCCCACACCCACTCTCACTCGGATCAAAGGTGAAGCATTGAGCCCTGTTAAGAACAAGTTGTTGGAAAACAAAACGATCTTGTCACCTCAACAAATGATGTCTTTTAAGAACAACCAATCAATTCAATCACCACGAAAAGTACTGAATACAATCGAAAAACCTGCTGTTATGGATGATTACATCGATGAAGAAAATTTAACCATTAAGGACATTTTCTTTACAAAGAAGAAGAGAAAAAGTCCATTACCTATTTTGGAAAAGTCACCCTCCGCGGTCATGTCCACTGCAATGGATGACAAGAAATCTTCTTCCAAAGAGGATGATGCCTTATCTGTTACAAATGTGTTTTTTTCCAAGTCCAGCAAGAAGCCAAAGAAAGAAGTTGACAAACATGTCACAGATAGTAGTGCAGAAAAAGTGCAAAACTGTCCACCATCGGCATTCAAATTCAGTATGTTCTCCACCACATCAAGCACTACTAACAATAAGGATACGGTGGACGAAGAGGAGGAAGACATTAGTTTGACCACCATCTTTTTCAGCAAGTCGACCAAGACATCATCAACCTCATCTTCTGCTCAGAATCCATTGCTTCCATCAAAAGCAAACCAACCACAAGAGAAAGATCACCATGTGACAGCATCGGGATCATCGATCAGCACAACAAGCGTGAAGACAACAGCAACCAAGAACTCTTCCTCATCTTCACCACCCAATCAAAACAAGAGCAAACAAACTTCTCTTAAAAGTATGATGGATGCATTCTTTGAATTTTAATAAGACTAAGGTGAGTTGATTTATTTGGTGAATGCGTTTGTTGTTGAACTAATTTGGAACATTTATTCTTTACAAAAAAAATGACCCAAATTCCCGTTACATTTGTAAGCCGATTCAATTTACAAGTAGTGAAGAAGGAGGAGGGTGCCAACGATCATCATCATCACTCCTCCGAACCTTTGTGCCATCATGAACAGCATCACCATGATGGGTGTTGTCATGAGAACCAGGGTTTGAAACAGCCATCATGTTGTAGTCATCATCATTCTGAAGAAGGTCGTGAACATCATCATCACTACCATATCTCATCGATCAGCGTCTTGTTTATGGGATTGAAAGATGGTAGCATTTCATTTTATGCTCCTGGCGCTTCCTCTCTCACGCAGTTCTCAATTCCTCAACACACCTCTGCCATTTCCAACATTATTCAAGTGAGCCACAAAATTATTTCCGATGTCGATGAAGAACATTTATCGAAAGGTGCGACACCAAATCATCAATTAAATATTGAAAAAAGAATCAAGAAGGTTGCATGCAAGAATTATTTTGCATCATTTTCGGAAAAGGATTTGTGTGTGAAATTTTGGAAGATATATGCAAAGGAAAAGCAGCAAGCACATCAGTACGTGCTCGATGACACACGAATTGAGTTAGCACCAACTAAATATATTGATTTTTCGATTGAGATGATCGAAAGTGTGTCACCAGACTCCACAACCTTTGATTCACCGATCGTCGCTTTGGGAAATTCACATGATTTAATTTATGCAATTAGTGAAAGAGGTGAAGTGGGTGTTTGGAAGTTTGGCTTAATGTCTGGAAAAATTATTCTATTATCAAAGTTTAATTTGGGAAGAAGTCATCACAAGGTGAAAAGTGTGTCCTCAAGTCGAAAAGATCGATCCAATCCCAATCGACTTTTGGCTTATAGTTTTATTGCCATTGCATGGGATGACGGAATTATTGGAATTTTAGAGCCAAATTATTCACTCTTAAAGAAACGAATTTCTTTGATTGGTCTCGATGATGCATCTCATCAAGATTTTCAATTCAATCGTTTATTCCTATTGAAAATGGTCATTCATGCATTTAGTGCCTCCATTGCATTGGCTGTGGACTCTGAAGAAGAAGACTATGACGAAACACATGAAGATACCTCAGAATCTTCCTCACAACAACAAGCACTCTTTTCCTATCCATTTGAAAGTCCACTTAATAACATTACCTACGAGTTGCATCTTGTTTCTCTCCCAGAAAACAGTGAACATCTTCATGTCTTGGTCAAGCAAGGTGGTGAATATTTGGTTCGAGTATTTAACACAGCCGAGTCCGTACCTCTCACCAGTGATCATTTTCTTGTGGAAGGGGCACTACGAACCATGGAAGAAGAATTTGCCACAGAAGCCATGCGTGAAGGCATTCATGACAGGATTTTCAATTTGAAATTTGTGGGCGATTTGATGGTCGTTTCGAGCCAGGATTTGATTGAAATTTACTCAAGACATGAAGATTCAAGTTCATTCTGTTCGTTGATTCATGACGAAGAGAATGAAGAACAACAACAGAAAAATTCTAACTTGATTGATGATGGACAAGATCCACCTGCTTCTTCTTCTTCTTTCGAATTGTCAAGTATTGAATTCGATGGACGAAGAGCTCTCTTGTTGGGATGTACCGATGGTAAAATTCGTGGCATTCTTGTGCCACCTGCTCCAGTTGGTGGTGTTGTTCATTCCCATTCTGCAAGTACAAGTGGAAGTCATGATGGAGATTTGGAGACCTTTGAAGTGGAAATGCCCAAGCATTGCATTAGAAAGTAATCAGTCTATTTTCTAAATATGTAAATATATTGATCGTTCGAGTAGAAGAAGGAATAGAAGTACAATAGAAGTAATGCAGTTTGTCACTTTTCTGGGATTGAGTAAAAACAAGAGAAAATGTTCCAATATCGAACTGTGTTTTAATCCAAATCATGCGTTTTTTTAGAATTTGTTGTATTTTTGTCCTTTCGTTCGTTAATGAAAGTTAATGAAAAAGCGTTGCAAAATGAATATGAAAATGAAGAATTTGATTAAATTTATTTTAATGCATGTGCCCAAGAACGTACCTTACTACATTTCTGGACCTACTTGTATATAATACACTAAAGTTATACGCCTAAACGCGTTTCTCCTCACTCACCACGGAATTCCTTTCACCGGCGGAGGCATTGTGTTTAAATATCAAACAATAAGCATGGGTTTTCCTTTTAAAGGTAGTCCCTCTCATGGTTCACAGACAATACAAGCATCACCACCACGCTCTTTATGTAGTGAGAGAATCACACAATGTCGTAGAGATTCACTTCGTCATGTTCAAGAATAAAAACAACGTGTTCCCAATATTTCAACTTGTTGTTGTTTTGGTCCATCTTTGGTCAAACAACCATCGCGCATTGACATTAAATTCAACCTCGGCAGCAACTTGGAGAAAATAAATGATATATTTGGAATTTAGATCCAAATGCCATTGTCGCACGGGCTATTCATATCCTCTTCTATTTTTTGTGTTATTCCAACAACATCGACAAGTTTGATTGCTCTTCCTCCTTCCAACACCCGTACAACAACCTTCTTCCCTAATTCTTTCATCAAAAAAACAATCATTATTACTCATTCAATCCACTAAACCCAAACATGGAGAAGAAACAATCTCAGCAACAACAAGCAATTGACCAGCACGACAACCACCTCCTCTTTACTTCAACCTCAACAGGAACCTCTCTTTCAGCTTTATCACTACGTGCGCCTCAACAAGATTCCAGAAGCAGCACCAGCACCACGAATTGTTTTTCTTTCCATGACTCTCACCACCACATGAGATCCAAATACTTCACAAGAACTAGTACTACTGCATGTGGTGGTGGTGGTGATTGTTGTTCTGTTATTCACCACCACAAGAAAGAAGGTTCTATTCCATCTGTAGCTACAAATAGGTGTGTATGTCGTGGAGGAGATCCTGGTGCTGAATCATCTACATTACTTTTAGATTCCACCGCTTCAAGGAAGGATCAAATGAAAAACACAAATGTTCGATTGCATGTGGTAAGTGATTGAATCTTTAAATGTGCAGAGAAGGTTGAATACAACAACAACATGCGTCTATTGACCAAATGCATGATAAACACTTCAACCGTATTCGCATCATTCACTTGTCCTCACAACATATACTGATTTTCCTTTTTTGGTCTCAATGACCATGCACATCGAATGCACATTCGTCCATAACAGACTCACAAAGAAATGGTAAGTTCATAATATTCCCACTCAAGATCGTATCAAAATGAATCCACTTTCTTGCAATCCTCATCTTCATGTTCGAAATATTTTGAATATTATCGACAAAAAAGTCTCGATATTTCAATGCCTCTCAAATAACTGCTGCTCGTCTCCTTGGAGTGAGTATCTCAACTCTGAAGCGACGTTACAAGGAAGTGAGTAATGGAAGTCGTTGGCCTTATTCAAAGGTAAGAGTTCAGAGACATTGTTGTTTTGAAACAATGAATATTAAAAAAAATTCGATTTATAATTGATGATGGTGTGAATGATATGAATTGAATACAATTTGATTTCACACATAACGTGTTTGATGTTGTCTGTTGTTGTGGTGGGGAATTTTTGTTTGTCGCCTTGTTTCATGTTTTTTGCTTGTTATTGCTTATTTTGGATTGTGCGTGTACTAATTTCATGCATTTCTTTGTGAATAATATATATAGCTTTCCACTTCTGAAAAAAAGAAGAGTATTTGGTTCTATATCAATGATGAAGATGAGAATGAGAAGTCCATTTCCAAAGAGTGTCAACTCGTGTTAGCAAAAGCCTTTCAGAACTGCACATTGCCTTCGACATTCTACTTTTCAGATTTGAGAAAACAGGATCGAAGAGTGATCTTTTACAAGTACATTCCTGAACACTCGAACACAACAAATCAATCAACCTTGACGCACTAGCATCAACAAGAGAATGAATGAAATGAACCAAAACATGGGGCTCTTCCTCCTCCTTGCATTCCGCAAGAAAGTACTTTGGAGGCAGCAATCAGCTGTAAGAAGTGAGATCCGTCATGTAGGTTGGACTCTCGTAGAAGAATTCAAATAGATTCAACTAGAGGGGTACTTCCTTCACAATGCTTGCTGCTCAAATGAAATGACAACACAAAACTACCCTCGAAACAAAACGTAAACAACACACATCAGCTATTGCAAAATAAAAACTTTATAGAAAGATTGCAATCATTGAAGGTCTTTTCCTTATCTCTTTTCCCAACCATATCTTTCAGCAACTCTGAAGAAGGCTTCCTTTGCTTCATGTTCAGTGTAAGGTGTAGTATTGGAAAAGTCCAGACGAGCCTCACCAGCAATCATCTCAGTTCTGATTTGAACAAAGATTGATTCGAGAGAACACACAGAGCTCCATCCTGATGAAGTCAACAATTCCATACAGATGGAACCACCAATGGTGACGTGACCAGTACGGAAAGCAAATCTTGGTTTGAGAACTCTAATGAATGGAGGCTTGAATGGGAATTCAAGTGGGAAAGTCAAGTCTAATGTAATGTAGCTATTCACACAGAGTTGATTTAGTCACAAGTATGAATGGGACATGATTGGAAGTGGTTGATCAATGATTCATGATTGGAACATTCGGCAGTCATTGCTCGACCATGAGAACTATGTCGAAAAATCGCAATAATACTTACTCAATGCCAAATTTCTTTGAGTATTCAGCGAGGTCCTTTGCAATTTGACCATCCTCCTTTGGATCAAATTTGAAGAAACGAATTTCCCAATGGAAAAGATCGTCATTGACTGGGTTAGCACTAATTCCTAATTTCTCAACGTCTGCTTGTTTGATCTTCATATACTCCTTCATGATACAATTGATACAACCCTCAGATGCACCTTGTGGCTTTTTGAATTTCTTCTTCATTTCTTCAAAGTTTGCATCATAGCCACTACCCATGCTGCTCACTGGTTGTACAGGCATGTCATCTTGCATGTCTTCTCCAACCTCAATTTCAACTTCTTCTTGATCTTCATCATCACCTTGCTCTTCACCAGCCATCAATGCAGATTCAACTTGGCTATAGATTGAATTGGCCTTTTGCAAGACGTCAGTAAGAGATCTTTTTCCTTGAGCACAATAATCGCTCAATAATTTAATAAATCTAACTCCCTCAACTTCTTCCAATAGATAGTATTGGCTTGCCACTTTCTGTAATTCCAATATTGGAATTGTAAGTGATCCACAAGCCAATCCACACGAACATGTTTTGAATTCACCCGTTTGGGGTCAAAAATAATAATAGTTTTTCAAGCATTTAGAGATTGAATGTGTCGAGTCAGTGTGTGTAAAGGATTTGTTGGTGAAATCATCATATGATTTCATTCAAGTCAATGATGAATAAACATTCCATCCCGAAAATTGTTGATCATTTATCGTTATTCCAACAAATCATGGAAGGTTTCAATTGAAAGCAGTCAGTGCCAACGTTGAATTTTCGTTCGTGTGTGATGGTCCATCAAGATCAATGTAAATTTCAATAATAAATTTTCATTCATCAAACAATGATCATCAAAAGACCAAAAAAAGGAGAGAAATTTTCGGAAATCGCGGTCAGTGCTCGATTTCAAAACATCACCAAATGATCCAGTGTACTACTTACAAATGAATCTCCATTCTTTGTAATTGAAAAGTATGGGTTATCATCCGGATCAGCTTCATTATCAACCACCACATAAATCTTGTCATCGGTACTATTCTCCTTGAGAGTCCATCCAAAAGTATTCTCCTTTGCGTTATTCAAAAACTTTTCAGCCTCTGCCTTGAGTCCAGTCATTTGAGAGAGTTTCAGGTGTGTGGTTCAAAGATTTCTGTACAGAAGAAGAAAGAGTGAAGCCTCGCAGATTTGTTGTGAATTTTTTTTACTCTAAAAATATTCGCGAGTTCACCATATATTCTCATCTTGTAATAAGCTTTTATAGTAATAACATTAATAACAACAATAATGGTGTGTACTCTTTTTTTTGAGTCCTTGATTTTCGTAATAAGTTGTTGTATCATAAGTTGTTGACACATAACTACTTTCGTATGTGACAGGAAAAGTATATTGGTAAGTTGTGTTTGAAAAGGTTACTAAAGAAAAATGCTACACAAACGAAGCAAGATAAAGGAATCGTGACCACCATGATTATTGTTGTATCATGTGATTGGCAAATGACAAATGAGCCCTCACCTTCAATTTCTGTGTAGAACTCCTCATTGGCTTGCAGAGTTCTATTAAGTCTAAATGAAAAAAGAGTTCCATTTTCATGTATCATGTTGGAAGTCATTCTGTAAAGTGAGGAGGGTGACTGAATTGGATTGACAAATGTCAGACTGCTGTTCGAAGGCCATTCGAAGGTAAAACTTGCATTCAAAAACATGGTATTAAATGAGGGCCCATCCCATTTTGAAATTTGGCACTTGTGAACGCAATGGGTCAGTAATGTCAGTGGATGCTTGTGCTGACGTTCTTTGGAGCATGGATGCAACAATAACTACTGCCAGTAAAGACAAAAGAGAACAATGACGATGAAATAATGTCTGCATTAGGATCGTGTAATAGTGACGAACGGAGATGGGATTATGTTTCGCTCCGACTTGGAAGGTAAAAGAGTTTGGAGAGTGACCTTGGCTGTAGACGTTTTCCAAACAGTATCCCAATCATAGTGTAGTGGGATAAAGTTATTCATGGGCGTGTGTGTGAAATTGAATCAATTCATTCATTTTGTAAATTAGCCTTGACATCTATGTTAGTATCTTTCCAGTTTTGTAATTTCTTTTATGCAATTCTATGGAACATGCACAATAATAATTGTTAGAAAAAACAATAGTATTTCGCAACTACTGTTGCTGCTCATTCGTGTACTTGTCTTGGTAATAAATGACAACGTGTTTGGTACCTCCTGCAGCCAGTAAAGGAAAGCGATCATGGAAACAGCATGCACTAACAACTTCGCCATCAAGATCCACAATAAAACCTAAACATTGCGTTGATCGGTAATTGAAGAGAAGTAATCGACCTCGAGAAGTTCCTGAGACTAAGAACGGAGTATTTTCTGTATCTTTGACAACGTCCATGGATGTCATAATGTCTGATTCTGTCTGAGAGAGAACCTTTTGTGGGGCGTCTTTTCTTTCAAAAGTATGTAACAGCGCTGTGGTTTCGTTCAAGAAGAAAAGACCACAATTTTGTTGATTCTTGTCAACATTATTCGAAACATTCTTGTAAATACACATGAGAAGTATTCCTTGGTTGTTGCCGCTTGTCAATGCATGAATAACCGTCGTTCTTATCATTGAGAAGGGAGAGAGCGAAATTTTTCTCACCAAGGATCCATCTGACAGCTTCCAAATACCAAGGTGGTAAGTAGAGGTACCAATGACAAAACCTGACAATGAGCTCACAAATTCCAATTTTGAAACAACTTCCCTTTCATTAAGGGAAGCACAAGTGATAACTCCCTTTCTACTTCTCAAGCCTTCTCCAAGTGAATATTTGAGAACATCTCCATTCGTACTTGTGACGACAAGTGTTTTTCCACTAATTTCCATTGTGGATATTGGCGCTCGGATATCATCAAGACTCAATACAGGCTTTTTTTCAATTCCTGTTTGCTTTTGATGTTGTCCATCAATTTCGAAAAACCTCACATGGAAGGTTTCTGTTCCTTCTTGGTTTTTTTCTTCTTGATTTCCATCGTCTAAAAGTGACATGGTCATAATAATTGAAGGCTCAAAGCAAGATCGAGCAATGATTAACATTTCTGCATCAGGAGTGAATCTCACACAATAGAATTGCTCTTGTTCCTCAAAGAGTAAATCAAAGAGTTCTGTTTGGGTCCATTCTGTTCCAGTCAACTCTCGAATAGATACGTCCAACTTGGTGCAGATAGCAAGCTTGGGTTCTCCAATTGGAGCGAATACCATATTGATCACTGGAGAGTTAATCTTAATTTTTGAATATGGTTTAAGAGGATGTTGTCTATTGATTTTCAAAATGGGATGATTTGGAAGAGAGTTTTGTGAAAGAGTAACGATAGGAGGAGTTGCATTAGAGGAAGACGAGGATGGCTGTTTCTGTGCTTCCTCAGAAATCTCTGTAACTTTCTTTTGTTCAGAGTCCACAGTAGATGAAGTTTTGGAGGATCGACTCTGATCTTTTTGAATTTTTTCTTCTTCGTCATGGTTTTGGTCAACACCTGTGAGTAAGGTTGGTGTCATTTCTGGGGTTGAGATGTAATTAGAATTGTTGGTGAGGACAGGAGAAGTTGGCTTGCTTTGCTTCTTGCCAGTCTCCATGACAAAATCGTCATCAGAGTCAACATCAAAATCAATTTGCATGGTTGGCTCAAAAACAGGTCGAGCCGTCTTTACAACTTCTTCAGAACTGTTGCTCTTGTTGAAAATAACGGGCGAGGTCATGCTGGTTTTTACAATGGGCGAAATGGTGTTAATGAGGGGAGGAGATGAAAATTGTTGATTCAGACCAAGTGTGGTTGGTGACGGTGTGGTAGGAGATTGTTCCTCTTCGTCCTCGTCGTCATCGGATGGTTCATTTTCATGAGCAGGCACTTGCATGAAGGGATTGTTCTTTTTAGATGGAGAGAGGACCAAGTCAAAGTCATCAATCTTTATCGCTGGATATTGAGTTTCCTCCACAGCTGCTTGACTTGAGGCTGGTCCATCTTCTCCTCTTTCTGAACGAGGAGTTGTATAGGAAAGTATTCGACTCGTGTTGTTCGGTGGGGTAGAGGCCGGTGGTTTATCATCTTCGTCATTGGCAAACTCATCCATTTCTTCATCGTCGGCGTCTTCTCCAAGCTCCAATGGATCTAACACAATCGTGGCAGGAATCATCGTTTTACTCGAAATCTCTATGGCTGGAGTGTGTTCATGGGATGGTGTTGCTTTGTCACTTAGAATTTCGCTTCGAGTAGGAGAAGAGACACCACGTGTAAGCAGTGGTTTGGCAGGCGTTGGTGTGGCTGGGACCTCTTCTTCGTGGTGTGCCATGGTGATTTGATCTGTCTTGGTTTGTGAAGCTATTTTCTCTGTGTTGGGAGTGATTTGGGCTGGGTGATTGAAATTCATTGAGACGTCCTCAAAAACTTGTGCTGGAGGAGTGAGATCTTTTGGAGTTTCATCATCGTCCATATTACTAGTGGTCGCTATAGGAACGGCCACAACTACTTCTGCTGTTGTTGTGGAAGGTTTTACACTCATTTCATGTTGATCATTTTCGAACTGGCCTTTACCATTGCTATTAGCAGATGATGAGGGTGACGGCGTCTCACCGCTAAATTGAATTTCTAAGGTTGGCATCAAGGCATATGAGGTTCGAACGTTCGTGCTATTGATTGTTGATGCAGTGGTTTGTTCTGTAGTTGCTGCTGTTGTCGTGTCCGTGTGTATGTCTCTCGTCGGAGAGGATGAACCAACTTGTGAAATCACTCTTGTCTTGGTCAAGACAACTTCTTGATTTGCGTTTTGCTGAGATGAGTGTGAATCATTCAAAGTTTCTTCTTCTTTTTGAGATAATTTTGTTTCTGCCCTTTCTTTGAGAGAGGTACCAAATGCATCCATTTCCATGATATCAGTAGGAGTTTCATCATCATCATCAACGTGTTTGCTGGCCATGTGATTGTTTGTATCGTTCTGATTTACGATTGGCTGTTCATTATGGTTGGTGTTTGTCAAAGTGGTGTCATTATCATTCTTATGGTCTATTGGAGGTGTTGAAGTAGTAACATCTGTTTGACCCGAAGGTTGCACTTGGACAATCTCAGTTTCTCTATCATCCGAGTCAATTTTCTCAATAATTTTTGTTGATTTTTGCGGCTTAGAATTCTCATGATCGTCGTCTGTCATCGTCGTTTGGACAATATTATGGCTTGGAATTTCCACTCCATAAACGGCTGTATTTGACGTTGCATTCGTATTGTTAACGTCGATGGTGTTCGTCGTATTTGTGACACCTTGTTCGTGATCACCCTCAATAATGTCATCTAATTGTGGAGAGTCTTGCATAATGGGGGAACTTGTTTTTGTTATCAATTCATCGTTGTGAGGTGGCTTTGAAGAGGTGTTACCACCATGATGGAGGAGGTGTTGTGAAATGACATTCTGAGGTTGAGACGTTGTTGAGACATCACTCGCATCAACATGATGCTGATGTTGAGAGGTAGCATTCTTTTTGCGTTGTTGAGAAGATGGTAAAGCAGGAACTGCAAATTCTGGTGAATGACTTCCTTCCATCGAGTGCGCTTGTTGGAGATTGTGTGGAGTTAAGGACGATGGCTTTGGTACCTCTTTTTCCGTGGACAATACGGTAGGTATGTCCTCTACATCATTCAGCTGTAAGGAAATGGTTTTTCTCTTGGCAGGAGAAATGTTAATTTTCTCGAGTTTGGGTGAATTTGGCATATTGACAAGTGACATACGGGTAGGTGTGGCATGATGTTGCTCTTCCTTGTCGCTATCCTCAGCAATGGATTCTTGACTTTTAATATTTCTTTCAGAATTTGAAGTTGGTTGCAGTTGTTCACACACTACGTCAGAGGATTTGGTTGGAGATGGACGATGTGAAGGTGGAAGAGGTGAGCCCTTAAGAAGCCTTAACTCTAAATCGTCATGACTGTTGGTGGACGAAGGTCCAATTTCAATGTCATCATTCTGGAGGTCCATAGCATTATTTGTCGTTGTTTTTGCTGGAAAAACAGCCTCAATTCGGTTTGGTGTGGGTAATTCTTCCGTTGCCATTGCATCCATCTTAATCTTCTTAATGGGAGAAACAAGTGATGATGTCGAACCCACATTATTGGGAGAAATTTGTTGTAGGGGTTCAGAATCCGAGGCAACTTCTTTCAAGGAATCCTCTCCATCAGCAAATGATGGAGTATCTTCAACATCTTTGACAGGTCTCTTTGTTCTCCTCTTCTTTACCACTCTTCTTGGTTTGGTGGGAATAGTACCACTTTCATTTGATTTTGTAGAGTGTTTCATTAGAGCTTGTTTCTTTTTTTCCAATTCGATAATTTCAATCGTGAGTTTTTGTTTTTCTCGTTCTAAAGCATTTTTCCAAAATTCCTTACTCTTTCCATCGAAATAATTAATTTGATCAGGTAAATATCGATTATTCTGCTTTGCAAGGTTGTTGAGAATGCTTTGTAAATATTGGTCACAAAATCCAAAAGCGCTTAATCCTGTCAAATCATCAATGTCAACTCCGATATATACATAGTCTGTTATTTCTCCATTTTCATTTGTATATGTGACCTCGTCGGGCTGATACAATTGAAATGCCTCTTTAAAAGGGTGAGAGCAGCTACTTCCCACAAAGCGCGGCCCCACACCTTTACTGCTTGAGATATCAGTAACCACAAACTGAGGTCCTACATCTCCTCTAATAATTTCTACCTTAAATTGAATCCTCTCAATTGCTGTATCTGTAATCCAATCTGATCCAGATGATTTTTTCACACGTCTTCTTCTTCGTAATCGTAAAATTGCTTGAAATCCAATAGGATATGGATGTACAAATTCTCCTTTGAACTTTCTCCAAAATTTTTCAACCTGATGAAACACTTCTCGGGCGGAGTTTGATTCAATATTTGAAGGCTTCGATTCCACAATTTCTCCCAATGAAGTTATTTCCAAAGGAACAGATCGTAGAGTAAACGGTAAATATATAGATACAGGTACTTGTTGGTTATGATGTTGCGAATTTTGTGTGGTAAAAGCACTAAACAGAGAATTATTATCGGATTTTACATGATTTCTATGGTACAGTTCAAAACTTGAAAAATAATAGCCTTGGATCTTGTTGTTGGAATCAAAAATGTTTGTATGGGGATTGAGTTCCGATGATGATGATGATGGGGTTATGAGTGCTGACTCGTTGTTGTGGTCTCTTGTTGTTGTTGCTGTTGGAGAAGAATTTCCGCATTTTTGGGGTTGCAGCATTTTTTTCCTCTTTTCTCAAGAACTCAATCCCAATGAAAACCAATAAGTCAACAACACAGGATTGTCATTGCGTAAGCAACAATAAGTTATCAGTAATTTATTATATACAAAATGTGATTGTTAATCCAGTTATTTGGATGACTTCATGACTATAGAAACAATGAAATTCCAAAATTCGAACGTTCCGTGGTCAGCATATTTTAGAGGTGTTGGAAAATCATCATAAATTTGATTCACAAACATCCACATCGTTTTGTTATTGTCATAAATTTATGAACGAAACCACTTTGATATAAACAATCAAAATTATCATTTTCAAAATACGTACGGTATTTTCTTGCATAATCTCTGAGATGGGTAATAGCTCTTGTTGTAAGGCAAGGCAACTTGAAGGTAGTCACCAAAAAGAGAGTTTGTCCACACAATGCGTCAGAATCCATCACACGTAACACACCAATTCCTTCCGAATCGGATTTATCTCCGTTTCTTCTTCCGTATACTAGTGATGGCTTTTCATTGGGATAGAATCGATGAACATCATATAAAGTGTCAAAGAGGAGAAGTCCACTCGAGAAGGCATCATCTTCAGAAAAGAAAATATTAGTGAAGGCTCTGTTGTTTGTTGGAAATGTTGTTGACAGAGAGAGTTGCGTCCGAACATTGTAGAGAACATCGATGTGAATATATCCCAAACAAACGAAATGTTTCCATATGAAGTTGTTGGTAATTATCAGAAGAGGATTATCAATTTAAAGGATGCGAGTTGATTCCAATACCATCATTAAGAATTATCAAAAAGTTCATACAGATCAGGAGGTATGGATTCGATTCGTCATTGAAGTAATATTAATTTGATATCAGCAATAGTATTCATTGTTTCATCGTTGAGTATTAATCGTAGTCACCAAGCAACAGAACATCGGATGATTATAGTGTTTTTAAAATACAATCATCATCACCAAATATTAAAAAATATAAAAATATTAATACAATTTACAACTCAACCATACTTTAACTGTTCTGGAGGTATGGATTGTTTATATTCACTCACAATCAATGCTCCGTTTGAATCAAAAATAGCTGCTCCCAAAATTTCCTTCTCATTCTTACAAAACTCCTTTAGGGCCTTCAAGACACTTTCGTCGAGCTGAACGGAACTCATTTTTTAAAATTTTTTGTCCTTTCGAAACTATGAAATCCATGTCAACTTGATTACTTATTGCATGTTCATTCGTGTTGCCCGTTTCCTATTTTAGAAGAATCTAGTTGCTACTCACAAGAAGCAAAAGATGAGAAAGCTCAAGAGATTGGTCACAATCGAAAAGGTTTATTTGGGTGGAACGGAACCACATACTTGTGTTACCTTAATTCCACTTCTTCTCGAGCATGCTGTAGGGTTGGGAAGGCAAGACCGGAGTCGTCTCCCACATGTTCATTTCCAGTTCACACTCGTTTTGGTTTCTTGCTATCAAAAAATATCCATTCATTCCCCATTCCTAATGTTCGAACATGATTTCGAGAAAAGTCAAGTCATGGTCAAACAACAAATAGAAATTAATTGCAAAACACATCCATACACCTACCGAACTCCAAGAATTTGCTGCAATCCAATAAGGCACTCCTGTACCTTGCTGAACTCCCCATCCAACAATTTTTACAGCCAAATTAAACAACCACGATCCTGCGACATGATGATAGACTCCACTTTTATAGTTGAGAAAATCTCGATAAACTTTCATTCCTGCAATAATAGTTCCACTCGAGAGAATGCTTCTTTGAACTGATTCCATATCAGTTACGTTAAAGAGGCGTGAATGTGTGGTTTTAAATGTGCGCGTGATGGGTTGTCCATTGTTTGAACAATACGAAGGACAAGCCATGTTATCATTCGCTTCAAATGGGACACACGATTCAGTCACTTAGAACGAATTGTAAACACATTCATATTGTAATGACTTTTTTAATTATTCATCATTCACTCGAAAACCTACCTAATCCTACTTGTTCCACGAATTGCAAACCAGTGTCGAATGAACCACTCTCACAACCTCCATCATTCTTGTCACATGAAATCAACCATTGAGGCGAGAGGACATGATTGATGAGAGTCTTTGAGGTCACACAGAACCGATCACCCACTGCTTCAGCAATGGCAAAGGCCCAACATCCGCAATTCATGTCATGGCGAATTGAATGCAGTTGAGTGCAGTTAAAGTATAATGGATCGGAAAGAAGAGAGTATTCGATCGGAAGATTTGAACATCTTTTATGAAAAGATGGAAGAACATTGGGTTGAAAGGGATCTCTTTCGCGAAGAGAAATGCTGTTTCTTGAAATTTGTTGTTGTATTTGACCTAGTGTCATGTTTGCAAAGACATTGTTGACTCCTGCCTGCCATCGTTGGTTTGTGAATTTATTGATCAATTTAATGAAAGCGTTGTCATGAACGGGAATGCGATGAAGGAGTGAGTTGTGATTAGCCTTCACTAAGCAAGTGGAGAGAACAAGGAAAGTGAAAAGAAGAAGTAGAAGAAAAAACCACAAGTGGTGGTAAACGGGTATCATGGTTTTTGGTGTTTTCATTTGTTTTGGAGTTGCCGGAGTTTGAACACTAGACAACCCCTGCCAAGCAGCAACATGAGCTTTTGGAGTTCGTCTGGCTTGGCTATTTGTATTGTGAGGGTACTTTGCGATTTGAATTCTTTTCTTTGAATATTATCAACATGAAAATCGGTGTCCAAATCCTCAATAATTAAACTCACTTGCAAATTTAATCCTAATGTTCTTGTAAGTATATTCCTATTCACAACAACTTTGAATCTTCTTATCAATGTTCCTTCCTTCTCACTCATAAACCTTTGAAGACACTTTTCTGATAGTAACTCTTTGAGGTTGTTAAGGATGGAACGGTAGATTACCAGCACGAAGGATTATGCTCAAAAAAATGCTCGCATCCAATTCTGGTAGTGAAGCTCGGATTGGAAATTCGAGGTCCTGTCAACCACCACCTCCATCATCATCATTTTCTTCTCCATCATCCATTCCAATTTCGTCCCCTCTCATCTCTCATCTTCAGTTCAATAATACGGACCTCGTGTATAGTCTTGATGAAGAGCCTCGCATTCCTCTCGTGTGTTGTTCCGATAAATTTGTATTGAATGCTTTGGCACGTATGATGAAAACGATTGAACCACAACGTCGAGTGATTGGTGCCTGCTCACGTAATTGCACGACGAATAATTTTGTGATCACTGATGATTTTAAATGTTATTCTCATAATGTGATGAGCCGTCATGCCACTCACTCTTCCAATCATCCTAACAGCTGCAATAATCACAATGGTTTTTTTGATATCACGAATGGACTCGGCAATGCATGCCATTCTTTGAGAGTCTATCAAGCAGCTGCAGGCTACAATCATACAGCCTTATTGGTGGATCGATTGTATGTTCGAAAGGTCAATGAGGGTGTCCTTACGACTACGGATGATCATCCTCATGAACACAATCAGAACAAGTGCAACAACACAAGTAGCATTCATTCATCGAGTTATCCGAGTGCCACGAAATATCACACTCTCCCGAATGGCGAATGTTTTGCAGTGCCAGAAAGTTGTAGTATTGTGTGTTTGTTTTCATCGGTCTGTAATTTCACAGAGTCAATTCTCGTGGGAGGATCTCATGCTGTGAATATTCGAACGGGACAAATGATACAGACCTCACACGATGCAAAAAGTATTGCATTGAATCGAGATTTGATTTGGTTGACATCGTTGGAACAGGAATTGGAGGCGAATGAATATGTGACGTTTTTGACCTCGGCCGCTTTTACCATTGTTGCCATCACCAATCGAGGACGTTTGTTGGGAATTGGTTCCAATGATTTGGGAGATCTTGGATTGCCCAAAATCGTCGTTCAGCAACGAACCTTCAAACGAATTCCTTCGCCACCAAATGAATTTTTTGTAAAGGCATGTTGTGGAGATCACAATATTGCAGCACTCACCAGAGATGGCAAACTCTATGTCACAGGATGCAACTATACGAATGAAATTGGAGTCTCTGAAAGCTGTTGTTATGGTTTGACGCATTGCAAATGCGTGGACACTCATCTCTCAGATCCCATTATCGACATTGCTTGTGAATATTACAAAATTTACATGTTAAAGAGTAAGTATCTTGATGATGGGCAGCACCTTAATATATTCACATATTTTCACACCCTCAACTACCAACACTCCATCAACAACAACAAAAACACAAAACGCTTTTGCCTTCATACACATGCATTGAACCACAATTGAACTTCCACTCGCAACCCCTCAGAGAGTAACACTTTATGGACTGTTCAAGACGGCAAAGCTGTTCGCATCGTTTTTTCAAAGCAGTTCCTTTCCTCCTTTCCTTATCCTCCCAACATTAAAATTGAATGTTTAAGCACCACCGCTTCATCCATTCAAGTAATTGCTCACGTGACATGTGCCTCACGATCGTATCGATTCCTCATGTCCAATTCTCTCGATCGAGATTTAATTATTAATGCCATATCTGACATATCATCCATTTATCACTCCTCTAACGAATATACCAATCCTACCCATTCTCAACACTATCAACTTTGCTCGACAGCTTATTTAGGATTCTTCTTTTGGAAACCCAAATATCATGTGAAACCAGAGGATTTATTTAAGAAACAACTCGTTACTCAAACGTATTCACCAAACAGTCGGCATTTGTGTGATCTTTTCGTTCTGTGTAGGGAATGGTAAATTTGAATTATAATTCAACGATCTAGGGAACATCCACTCAATATTTAATTTCAATTCCAAAAAATAGCCACAATTCCATCTTTTGATTTTTCATTTGGAATTTTTCAAGTTTTTGGCCAGATTCAATTCTCATTGTTGATTCATTTTGCAATCACTGGATTACCTTTCTCCAACAGCAGCAATTGTAGACATTGAATACATTATTCTCCCAATTATCATTGATTCCGAGATTTTCTAAATTTCATACACAAAATTCTTCCGAGATTTCTCAATCCATTTCATAAAACATGACTTCTCAACATGAAATTTCAACAGTTTCTTCTCCACCTCTTGAAACGTACAAGGATTTCAAACTCATAGATTCCTTTCAATTCTTTAATTATGGAGCAGTGTACAAGTATCGGTCCACTCGAACTGGCTTGTACATTACTCTCGCCAAAATAAGCTCACCCATCATGAAGGCTTACATGACACTACGAACAAGACCATCGGACCATGATGGTATTCCTCACGTATTGGAGCATATGGTGTTTTTAGGCTCACAAGATTATCCTTTCAAAGGATTGTTGGACAAGGTGGCTAATCGTTGTTTCGCTCAGGGAACCAATGCTTTCACTCAGAGTACAAATACTACGTTTGAATTGACTACTGCTGGAACAGAGGGATTCTATCGGTTATTGCCCGTGTATTTGGATCACATCTTGTATCCTTCTTTGACAGATTCTGGATTTTTGACTGAAATTCATCACATTGATGGAAATGGTCAAGATTCTGGAGTTGTGTACAATGAAATGCTAGGAAGAGAGAATTCTCCTGATGAATTAATTTACAATTTGTTCAATGAAGTGATGTATGATGGCAGTGAAGGTTATCAATATAATTACGGAGGAAAAGTTGCCAATTTACGTGAATTGACAGTCGAAAAAGTTCGAAAATTTCACCACGAGTATTATTCACCCAAAAATTTCAACATCATTGTCGTTGGTAACACAACACCAGAAGAACTAATTGATGCTGTGCAACCAATGGAACAAAAAATTCTTTCCCTTACAAAAATCGAGGATCCAATGTCAGAATTCACAGTGTGGAAAACTCCTCTGCCTCCACTCACACAATCAGTTACAAAAGAAATTGTCTATCCCTCTGATGATGAAACATCTGGACATCATGTGGTTATCGGATGGAGGGCAGCTCCATGGAAAGACCTGTTGACATCCTATGCATTGGATACTTTGTGGAATTGCTTGACAGTTGGTGATATTGCTCCACTTCGAAAAGAATTGGTTGAAAATGAAAGTGGTGATATTTGTTGTGCCGATTTGTACTGTGGAGTGGAGAAGAGTTTTGATAATATTCATCGGGTGTGGTTCCTCAATGTAGAGGCTGATAAGGTTAAACTCATCGTCGACAAATTTTTCGATTTCATGAGAAATATCAAAATTGATTTGGATTATTTAAGACTTGTTATTAATCGAGATAAGCTTGACGTTCTTCGTCAATTCGAAACAAACCCACATGAAACCTTCTCACATGATTTAATCGAAGATTTTCTGTATAGTACCAGCAATGAGGATTGTAGAAATCTTCTCGATGCTTCGAAACATGCCTCCATTCTGTTACAGAAAGATGAACAATATTGGAAAGATCTGATTGAAACATACATACTCAAGCCACCATTTGTAGCATTGTATGCATCTCCATCTTCGGAGAGAGTACGAGAGCTTTCAGAAGAAAACATGCAACGACTCGAACAACAAAAGAAAGCGTTGGGCGAGCAGAAACTCAAAGAACTTGAGGAACGTCTTGCCAAAGCAGAATTAGACAATGCGAGGTCGCTCGATCAAAAAACTCTCGAGGAACAATTTCCAATTCCATCTTTGGCGAAAATTGAAGAAATTCATGTCGCCACCTACAGAAACGACAACAACCCAAACTTTAGCAAGACTGAATACGACAAAAAGTTGGAACAATTACTTGAAAATCACACAATACCATTACCATTTTTCTTCCAATTGTCTTCCATACCGTCTCAATTTGTGGACTTGTTTTGCATGATGGATTCCTCTAACATTCCACTCGAACTCAAAATGTACATTCCTCTCTTTTTGGCTGTGAACTTTTCATGTGACTTGAAATACGACGATCAATATGTGAAAAAAGACCAAGTTATCATGTCATTGATGCGAGAGTCAGTGTCGTACAGTTATGGTTGTGGCTATCAAGACCATCAAGAATCAAGTCGAAATTTCCATGCCTCCTTATTCGCAGAATTATTGCAGTTTCGACTTACTTTTGAGATTGACAAGTATCATCGCTTAGCCGAATGGACAAAACATTTCCTCCATGATACCATTTATACTCCAGAAATTATTGAAACCAAGATTCAAGTACTTCTCAGCGAAATACCATTATCTAAGGTATCACCAGAGGCAGTCATGAGTCAAGGCTTGAAACACATGTTGGTGCAACCTCAATCGAACCACAATGTCACAAGCTTTTTGCTTCAAGAAAAGTTTTTGAATGAAACTTTGGCCAAACTGAAAACACATCCAGAAACCGTCATTGACGATTTGAATCGTCTCAGAAATATTCTGAACAAGCCAGAGAATATTCGAATTCATGTGGTTTTAGATGTCAATTATTTCGGACCCAATAACTATAAGGATATCATGTCCACATGGGCTTCCGTGTTTAATCCAAAGAATAATGATGAATCTTTAAAGCTTGAGCCATACCATAGACTATGTAAATGGACAAATGAATTAACAAACATGTCAGAAGGAAGAGGAATTTTACTTGGAATGGGAAGTGCGGACTCTGGCAATCTCATTAAAACTCACAGGGGAATTACGAACTATGAGTTGTATCATGACAGACACGCATTGAGCGTTGCCATTAATTTCCTCACTATGGAAGAAGGTCCGTTCTGGGTTAAGCTTAGAGGCAAAGGATTGTGCTATGGTTCATCCATTTCGTCGAATGTTGAAAAGGGAACTGTTTCGTTGTACCTCTCACGTGTGAGTAACATTTCAAAAACATTTGCTGAATGCAAGGCGATTTTGGAAGCAGTTTGCTCGGATGATGAGTCGAAAGAAAGCGTGTTTGTATTGAATGAAAATGTGCTGAATTCTGCAAGAGCTACAGTGATTGTGGACAAATTGCATGGCGCGGAGACAATTATTTCTGCGTGCCAAGTGCGATTCTTGTCGAACACCTTATTTGGAGGATCGAAGAATTTTTATGATAGTTTGCAAGACATTGGAAAGGTCACTGTGGAAGATGTGAAAATAGCAATTAAGAAATACATTCTACCACTGTTCAGAGACAAGGAAGGAACTCTGTTCATTTGTGACAATATTGCCCAAGTGAAACAAGAGGAATATCCTCTAAGAGATGCTTTGCAAAAAATAGGTTATCTCACTACCTACCATTCTTTGAAGGAATATTTAGCAGCAGAATTGGGCATTACCACATCGTATTCTAATGAAATGTCCATAGGAGATGATGTAGAAGGGAGCGACGAGGAAGATGATGAAGAAATGGAAGATGAGGAGCAATAGAGCTCAAGGTCACAATAAAGATGCCTGTAACGATTGACCTCAACTCCAACATTGCCTTGATGTTTGGAAATATTTCAAAACGCTCATGAAAAACAACTGAACAAAACAATAATAATAATTAATAGTTTATCTTGCTAAACTTGTTTGACACAGTCAATCAATCACAGGTTTAAAAGTGATACAATAGAGCTTACTCTTGATCTTCATCGCCAGCATTTTCATCGCCTTGATCCTCTTCAGTGTTGTCGGCTGCTGCTCCAGCTTCTGCTGTGACGTCGTATTGTTGATCGCCTCTCAAACCACTTTCTGGAACTATAGAAGCTCCGCTCATGTCGAGTCCCAATCCGTGTTTTGTTTGCTCACTACTCAATCTTACAATACTGCCCCAACCAATCAATCTCCAATGGTTGTCAACTCTTCTTGAGAGAGCCAACTTTTCACCAACTTGTGTACAGACCGGTTGTGTGAGGACAATCTTTGTCAAGTCTGCCTTAACAGCCACAATTTTACCACCAGTGGATGTGGAACCAATGTTGATCATGAGAACTTCGTTCTTTTGCAACTTTTGAATTTTACCCTTCTTTTCAGAGTCAGTCTTAACACCCAAAAGTCTTCTCAACAAGAAGTATGAAATTTCCAATTCAGTATAAACTTCTGGTAATTTACCAACTTCACCCAAAACTTGACCAACCAAACGATCAGCACGAGTAAGAGTTGGATCAATCTTTGTTCCGACACCAATCAAACCTCCTGGAACAGCATATTGCAACGAGTTTTCTTCAGCAAATAAACTCACAATTTTGCTCTTAATTGGTCTACACTTGATGGTACCATCCTTTTCCTTTGTGACAATACCTGGACGAACTTCAATTTCATCTCCAACCTTTAAGACTCCTTGAAGAATTGAACCACCAGCAACACCTCCTTTAAGATTTTCGACAGATTCACCTGGCTTGTTAACGTCGAAACTACGAATGACAATGAGTCTTGGTGAGCTTGTGAAATCACGAACAGGAATTGGAATTTGCTTAACAATATGTTCACATACAACATCAATGTTGTATTTCAATTGGGCAGAAATTGGAATGATTGGAGAGCTATCGGCAACTGTTCCTTTCACGAAGCGCTTAATTTCGTCATATTGATTCAATGCATCAGATTCCTTGACCAAGTCAATCTTATTTTGTAAAATAATAATATGTTTCAATTTCATAATTTCTACAGCAGCTAAGTGTTCAGATGTTTGTGGTTGAGGACATGGTTCATTACCAGCAATCAAAAGTAAAGCAGCATCCATGACTGCGGCACCGTTCAACATGGTAGCCATGAGAATATCGTGTCCAGGACAGTCAACAAAAGAAACGTGTCGTACCAATTCATATTCACCACGAAAGCCTTCAATTTCACAAGGAAAACGATCCACATGGGATGATCCTTGTGATGTATAACATTCAGGCCTTGGACATTTTGGATCCTTGCACAAGTAAATCTTTGCATTGGCGTAACCGAGCTTGATGGTAATGTTACGGACCATTTCATTCTTGAAACGAATGGTCTTTACGCCGGAGATGGCTCTCACGACTGTTGACTTACCGTGTGCAACGTGTCCAATTGTACCAATGTTGATGGTGGCCTGACGAGAAATGACTTCAGGAGTGAGTGGATGTAACTTTTTAGGATCGATATTAATGTCTTGTTCAATCAAATTGTCCTCAGGATTAATCTTGGCATCCTTGAATGGAGGTGGAAGCAAGACTCCTTTATAATTTAATTCCTCTCCAATAATGGGCTCGTAAGAATTTGTAGCCATTGTGTTGTTATTGTTGTTTTTTATAATTATTGATGATGATTAATATTCGCTGGTGATGATGATTTAAATTAGAAAAAAATGTTTGATGATGAAAAAATTGAATCGTGTGGTAAGAAGGTATTTTTTTTCAAGAAGAGAGAAAAAAAAAACTTGTTCAACTTATTGGTTGCGCAACTCTGCTTTCGATGAATTGATAGAAGAAGGTAACAATGAAAGTGAATGATGCAGTGCGAGTGATGTTATCCACACATTCTTCTTCTGCTTTTGGTAATGGAGCATGCTAGAATTGATGGTAAGGCTATTCTAAAATCAGTATTCAAAAATGTATATTTTGAAGTTGAAATTTTATTGAGGCTTGTGTTAGGCTGTCCCTTTTCTTCTTCTTCTTCACTATTGATCAGATGGAATGACCATTCATCACCAACTCTGCGGAGATGATCGGACCGATCCAACCATGAACATGTTTGCTCCATTTTCATTCGTCCATCAAACGCGATTTTCAAAGAAGAAAAAATTAGTGCTGCTCGACTTTCCGAAACGTGCTGCACTTTTAGAATTGAGTTGATCTCTGAATAGAGTTGAATCATCATTTCATTATTCTCATTGTACTTTAGTATCATCCGATCATTTACTTTGTATATATATTTAACTTTATATTAACTTTGTACCCAATATTTGTTATTCATTACTTTACTTTTGTAAATCATGTCCCATTCCAGACCCATTCCTCAACAACAACAACAACATTATCACCAACAGCAACAATATGTACAACACGCAAATCATCATCCTTCCCTTTCTACCTCTCCAATCAATAGTAGTAACATGATGATGAGCAGAGCTAGATCATCCCAGTCCCCCACTGGTTCTTCTTCCGTCCTTCTTGCTTCATCTCCAACACAACAAAATTTCATCAAGATGAAGGCAGCATCTTCCTCAACCACCTCATCGGCCGAAGGACTCACTGCAGAAGAATATGAATTGCTGAATCAAAAGAAGGAACGTTTTCAAACATGTAAAGAAGTGTTAGATCGATTGCATTGGGACGATCAATTATCGGATGTCCTCTCGAATCTGAGCATGATTTATAAGGATCGATTTGAAGGAGATGTACTGATTGCATACAGTGAATATGAAAATTCTGAATTGAAAGAAGATTTACCAGAGCATCGTATTCAAACATTGATTTATCGAGATCAACATGTCTTTTGGGATAAGAACAAACGAATTGACCTCATTTCCAACAAGGAAATATTTGCATTGATCGATTCATATTTGAATCCACAAGACACACAAACTCAACAGGCAAACACTGCTGAAACAAAGAAGAAGAAGAAGAAGAAATCCAAGTTGCCTTCTGTCCGTTTGGACAAATCTGCAGCAAGCACGTTGGTCAAGCATCATAATTATGCCAGTGGAGATAATCTATTGGTCGGTGAAGATGGAGAAGAATACGAAGAAGAGGAAGATGAAATTGAAGAATACATGGCAGAATATGACGAGATGTATGGTCAATATCTCAATAGATAGAGATCATTAGTGAGTTTTCCCTTAGGGTTTGTCCTATCGATCAAATGTTGATAAAAAGACGACCATTGCCACACACCCGAGAAGTGATCCTTTATTTTGAAAAGAGGCAACAGAACCTTGTTCACACCACCACTGTTGTCAAAGAAAAGTGATGTTTGTTTCAAGGCTTGTTGCCCCATTCACGTGGATGAAACCCTCATGTCACTTGCTTTCATCTCAAAAAAAATCATTTCACACACACTTGTTCCTTGTTTGACGTTTTTAACCAAACACAACGAGTTATTCGAGATTCTGAAGAAGAGACCCCGGCAGCAGTGTTGTCATCATCCACAACTACCGCCGCCACCACCACTGATTAGTCGTCTCCCGTTCAACTATTGTGTGATTAATTACCAAACAACACCACCACCACTCTTCACACATTCATTATTCACATCTCATTGACCAGAACAAGTTCATAACCACCAACTCGTTGATCTTCCACAACAACAACAACTTGTCGTTTGCCAAGCTCACAATCCAATAATAACAACCACCATCACTACACCATCATCATATGAGTCCTTCCATTTCCATGCTTGATGACATTCCAGCCTCCGAGAAAGTCCGTCGTTCCAAACTCACGGGCAAACAAATTTGTTGTCGTGTCTTAATTTGTCTCTCCATTTCATGTGCCGTGTTGTGTGCAGCCATTGCAGCCCTTATATTAATTGCATGGTTTTCAGTGGGTTCTGTTTTGTGGAATATTGCATTCGCAGTGGACATTTCATACGATTGTGATGAATTTCGAGGAAATTCTCCTTCGAATTTTACCATTAATTATCGATGTCCTCCCTTGTTGGAACCATTGTCACAATGGCCAACGAGATTGGCTCCATTCTTTGTGAATTCAAATAATTTGGAAGTGGTGAATTTTCCGAGTCGAACACCTGATTGGGTGAGTGGATTTGGTAAGTGTGTGTACAATGATTTCTGAAAATGTCAATATTGAACCATGTCAATAACATTGATAATGGTCATACATACCATGAATCAACACACAATAATGATCAATTGATTTAATATCACACTTTTTTTAATTTGCAGGACCTGCAAACATTACTGCCACTCTCATGAAACAGGACATTATTAATTCCACCTCCAAATTCATCATTACCATTCATGGTTATCGAGTATGTAGATATCGCTCAGAATCCATGCTTCCAAGTACCATGCTCTATCATATGGGATACAATATTTTACAAGTCGATTTGAGAAATCATGGAGATTCAGGAGTTTACGCACCACTTCCGTACGTTAGCTTTGGCAATTTTGAACATTTAGATATTTTAGGAGCAATGGATTACATCCTTGCTAGATATCCATTCCTTAACAAGACCAATAGTATTGGATTATTTGGAACTTCAATGGTATGTTTCACAGAGTCTCGTCTATTATTTACATTTTCAACACGTATTATTGTCAACAATTTCAATTTTCGTAAATGGTCATGAACATTGTAATTATTCACACATGTGATTTATTGACATATTCACCACACACACGCACAGGGGGGAGCCACTGCACTTGTTTCCTTCTCTCTCGAAAAGAATTTCAAAGCGGCCTTTGTTGACTCTCCACCTTGTGACATTGTCGGTTCTCTTCAAAAAGCTGCCGAAGATATTGCTGGAAAAGCCATTTCAGGAGTGGCCATGAATGCCATCAAATCCATGGTCCCTGTGAAGGCTCCAGCCATGGGATTCCCTCCATTCCATTACGATCCTTATGAATTATTGACCAATGTGGATTTGAGTGGAGGTCGAAAAATCTTCTTTTTACACATTGAAGATGACGCCATTGTACCAACTGTGAATCACTTTATTTGTATTAATGCGACAAAAATTTCGATTGCAAAGAATCAATATTCACCCAATAGTATTGAGTCGTATTTGGGAACGATTGAATTCCCATATCCAATTACAAATCGAACACGAACGTATTGCAACAAACACTTGTCGTTCCAGTTTGTGCATTTGGATGAGTTTAGAACTTTGTTATATAATTTCTTTAAAACTAATTTGTAAGGTTTTTGAATCATTGTTATGGTGATTCACCATTGTCAATTATTCGAATTATTTGATAATGATGCATCATCGACTAATTTGTTCCCTGGCGTCTAAAATTATTAATTTAAAATTCAATTTTTTTGAATTTTTATTATCTCTAAAAAAATACCCAAATGGCGTGATTGTCGTGTTACTTGGCCATCATTTTCGTCATCATTCAATTTGTCATGCAGTTTTTCATGAATGATGAAAAGAACGAAAAGAAAAGAGATGGCAACACAACAGAAGTGAGGGATGGTAGAGATTGTGATGACTCAGGCTTCTGACGAAGGTAGAGGGAGAGTTTTATCGATCCGATAGATGTATGATGATTATAATTCACTACAGTTTTATTTGGAACAACACATATATATTTTGGGAAATTTAACTGAATTTTTGTATGCTTTAAATACATCCATCTCTCTACTCGCTCTCTCTCTCGTGATGATGATTCACAATTACAACTCACCGTTTCCTTCCTAAACATTATTTATCCAACTTGACATGTTGTTAATTATTGATTTATGGATGACATTTCAATTTACTTTAAAACATCATCACTTCCAATCCTGTTTGAAGCAGAGAGAGGAAAAGTAAATGAAATTGAAGAATAAACAATAATTTCAACCTTGCATTGATTATTAATAATTCTTCCTAAATTTCTGCAACAAATTCATCATTGGTGAATGGCACATTTAAGGTTCTGATGGTTGTTGTCGTTCCCACATGAAATAATTTGGTGTTTTTGCATCCCTAAAAGACAGAAAGTGATGCCATTTGAACCGATGAATCCAATTCACAATCATGAAATACTTACACACCAAAGAAGGAACAATATTTGTATCGATAGACCAACATGGCCGAAAGAATTCCAATCAGTCCTCCAACCACTATGTCATAGTATGATGGATGGTGTTAAATATGTGAAGGAGAGATGAATTAAGGTCAATGAACACACCGCATGCATGTTAACAAAGAGATGAGAGTTCCGACTTACCAACTTGAGAAACAGAATGTTTAAGAGTGACAATTCTCGTCACTCCAACCCATACTGGCACGAGCAAGAGTAAGAAAAACAAGAAGACTTTCCAGAATTGCCCCTTTCTTCTATTCCATGTCTTTCTCAACATGTTATTCGAAGAAGAAGATATTATGTATCTCAAAATATACTTGTGAGTACTTACATCTGCTTTTCCTGCAAAGTATAGCAAGAAAAAGAGCCATACAGCCATCACTGAACTGATATGTCCACTGGGAAATCCTGAGGTCGTTAAGGGATTTGCAAGCCTGAATTTCTCTGGATGTTGGCACACTTCAGTTGGTTTATAGTATCTGTAGGGAAGAAGTGGATTTCCAGATTTTCGATGTTCATTCACAATCTTCATATCTGGATTGCATTCCAATAGAAAGGTAGGTCTATATCCTCCATAAACAAGCCATCCAAAAGCAGTAATTCCCATACATAGCGCAATTGTTTGAACATATCCTACTAATGCATGATGAAAATCGACCAAGTTCCTGATAAAAAGCAAATGAAAAATGATAAAGCTCACAAAGGGAATGGCAAAAACATATATTGCAGCCACTTCCCACAATGGGATAACATCATGATCGTGTACGGGATAACTCAAAGATGGATCTTCAATGTAGAAATCTGTGAGAGTGAGATGAGGGTTATGAGTGTTGCGTTTACAATAATAAACGAATTCCATTAGGTTTCATTATGTGTACAATTTGAATCCAAAATATTTGTCAGTTAATATACATACATGGAAGACAATATGTGGGAATTCCTCCTGACAGTAAAACTGCCAAAATAAGGGCCAAACATAATAGCGGTATGATATATTCCAAAGCATAGTAAAGAATGAGGCGTATCACACGTTTTCGTGTCTCTCGTTTTTTCTTTACCTCTTGCGATGATGGCTGTTTTTGCTGATTGCTTTCATTTGGTGAAATGATGTCTGACGATGTACAACTACTATTTTGTTCGTGGGGAGTTGTAATAAAATAATTGTCTCCTGTTTTTCTCCTGAAAAGGCTGTTTAAATCTTGTTTACACTGTTTTCCAAAATCTTTGAAAAATTGTATGATTTTGTGAGAGTTGATGATCATAATGATGACAACAAGGTGATTTCGTGTGTTTTTTGTTGTTGTGTTATTATCGGTGTTGAAGGAGAGTTGAGTAAGATGTATTTTGCCTCTCTCTCGGTATTGCACTTTTTCAACCTATTTCCAAATCAAGAAATATTGAAAGTCGACATCAAGTGCAATCCTACCATCTGCCATCCCTCAGCATTGAACCAATATATATTGGTGTCAGATTGGAATGAATTTTAACTCAATTCCTCAAATGTGAAATTTGCTATTTCACACTGTTACCATGATCTCCCAACCATCTTCTCACAAAAAATTGCACAAGATATGCGATAATACCTCGGCTTGTGCCGTTGTTCATCATTCTCTCGCGTCTCGCTAACGCAATGTTTAGCTCATTAAGTTTTCCACTCAATCCCATCATATTGGTAGCCAATGGAATGATCAATCCAACATGCATCAACACCGTGACAAAATGCAACAAATTATCAAATTGAAAAATTCTTCTCATTAATGGCGCTACACTTGGTGAGGCATCCCACGCGTGATTTGGATTGACAAGAGTTCTATTGGGATGTAAATTTTGCTCCAACACAACCACCCATTGTTCATCATCATCACCATCGTTATTATCCTCCACTTGTAAATGAGAATCTGCTGATGATGGTTTCATTAATTTCTGGTTTTTTCTCTTCTGCCTCCTCTTTAATTCACGAATATAATAATCAGGAGGACCTCCTAAATGATCATACTTCAAGGAATGATAAGCAAATTGTTGCAAAGGATCCACCAAATTCATATCCTTCTCATAGAGTGGTGGCTGAAACGACTCGGAAAGACTTCTTCCACCTCCGAACTCGGCTCTCAAGTCCCAAAATAATTCCTCCAACCAAGTGTTCTTTTTCCCTTGTGGATTCTTATGATGATGATGGATGGGTGGATTGATCGTTATGTTTCTGTTGTTGTTGTTGTTGTTCATAATACGTCGTTCATCATCTTGAAAAGATGAAATCATTTTTTTCGGAAAAACGCCGGGAGCCTGAATGAACTAGCAGCGTCATGATACACATATAAGATTCGGAGATGTTTCTAGATTCAACGAAGGTCTATGGGACCTGTGATTTGAATCTATATAGCTTAGGGATTTGCGTGCCTCTCCAGTGTTGAGATGAACCTGTTATGGGAATTCTGGGGGTGGTCCGTGCTATTCACTGAAATACGGCAGGGCAATAACTCCACCCTACATCATAGATCTCATTAACGAACCTACGACACCGGTTGGAGGGTATCATCTATCATAAGCCTACAAAGGGCAGGTGGGAGTCTTACGACGCTAATGTGAAACCACTACCAATGTAATGCTGTGACAAGAGAGGATCGCAACTATGATCCGGTTTCCGAAGGTGAATAATAAATTTTTGGGTTCAATTTTTTTTCGGAAAAACACCCTGCGAGAGCCTTCTGCTTTTTTCATGTACTTTTGTGGTATTGTCTGATGCAACACAAAGGCCTCTTTAGGAGTAGTAATGAACGATCAGCACCGAGAGGCGCTACTACACAGCAGAGAAGTCCTCCTTTCGCCATTTAGAATTTGTCTCCGAAATCCGAGACGACTCCAGAGAGAGCGCATTTGGCGGTCGTAAATTTTAAAAGAAAGCCTTAACAGTCATTAAGGCGGTCCTTCAGACAGACTCACACACCAATCACTCATCTCTCCTTTTCGTCCTTGTTTCTCACAGGAGCTTCATTGGATTGAGGAAGAACTCTCTTCTTTTAAAGGGATCGTATTTTTCAACATTCAACAACCCAGAATCTTCTGTTTCAGTGAATCTCAACAACTTTTAATCATTCCTTCTCTTTGGACACTAGAAATCTCGAATAGTATAATCATGTGCGTAGCCTCGTGAGGAAAATGGAAGAAGAATATCAAGAACAACAACCTCCATCACCTCCACCACAACAACAACAACTAGGTCCACAACATCATATTAGTATGGAGGGACAACAACTTCTGCCCTCTGAAAAGCAACAAGAACACCACCAACGACAACAACAGCAACCACTATCATCCTCATCCTCTCAACCATTTCATCACTATACACAATCAGTTCCGAATGAGCCCATTTCAAATCTAAGAGCCGCACGACTTTATACAAAAAGATCATCCTCCATTGTGGTAGGGAAAGGGAAAGAAAATACAGAAGAAACATATTCGGAAGATGGTGATGAAAACAACACACGAGGAGTAAGAAACATCATTCCATTATTCAAATCGTCTCGTGTTGTACTATTAATACTTGTCTCTTCTTCCATTCTCCTTACGATGATTCTTCTTACATTAGTTTGGGTGCCAACATTTAGCTCGAGTGTTTACAGCCTTAGTGAAAAAAACCGACTGAAAGAGTTCAATGGAATAGTTTCCTTTATCACTCAATCGATACGTGAGGTGGTACTAGTATCCGAAGCAAGCAAGAATCTTTTGAAATACGGATTCGATTTTTCCAATTCAACATGGGTGGAGAGAGCCATGTATCAAATTTATAAGAGCGAGCAGCAGTTTCATAAAGGATCCACAGTCTCAACCTACATTGGAGATGTGTTGGGAAATGTTGTGGGAATTGTCAATGCATATGGTGTTGACATGCTAGTAGTTATAAACAACACTCATACATTGTTGTATCAATGCCAAACAAGTGATGATGACATTTGTGTGCATAACACTAAACCCAATAAGATTCTTTCTGGAGCGAGCATGGAAAACACAATTAATCAGGCACTGCGTTTTCCTGGAGAACCTTCTTTTACGCCAAGTTATGTTGATACCAGAAATTCTGATGCAGTTCTTATAAGCTTAGTGAATAGTATTCAAGTGGAAAATCAAGAAATTTTCTATTATTTTGGCTATGATATTTCGACGAGGAAAATTGGCTCCTATTTGAGTGAAACTTGCACAAATATTGCAGATTCGCTGGTATTTATTTTTGAGTCTACCACAAATAATCTAATTTCTTCAAGCTTTCCAAGATTTTCGTATTACAATGGAAATGAAAGAAAAACATCACTAAATATGCATGAAATTCCTAGAGCTGTTGTAATTTCTGAGACCTTGTTGCAAAAGTTGGAAGGAAATTTCAAAAATTTGCGATGTGGAGAGTACATGCTGGTAGCACATGCTGATGAGCTGATTGCGTCACATCGCATTTGTTTGCAAGAGGATATTGATTGGGTCATTGTATTTTCTGTAAAACAGTGGACCTACATAAGCACACTCGTTATTACTCTCATTGTGGCACTAGGATTTAGCTTCATAATTTTATTATTTGGCATAATATTTGGCATTTTGGCTTCCCTTAAATTTTCTCAACCCATCTATCGACTTATTGAATTGGTTAAGAGTGTAGGAGAAATGGATTTTGACAACATTCCAGATACTCCAGAGAAACTATTCTTTTCAGAAATGCAAGACCTTCAAACGAATTTTTTAGACATGATCAAACGAATCAAGAGCTATCGAGCCTTCATTCCTACCCACATTCTCCAAGAATTGGAGTCCAATAATGCAAAAAGCCAAAGTATGCAGCAAGAAGATTTCAAAAAAACCCTAGTAGGACTTGGGCGAAGGCTCTCATCCCGCAAATTACTTCTTCAAAAAAAGATGGTCGCCCCTCCAAAAGAACTATTTGCACTTGGATTAGAGGGTCGATACGTCACACAAATGTGCATCTTTATTCAAGGATTTGATTCGATTGTTGAGATTTGTGAGCATAAGGATATTCTCGTGGTTTTGGGAGAAATTTATGAGACCCTCATGAACACCACCAAAAGTACATCAGGACAAATAGGTATATTTGAAAACAATTATATAACCGTCTCTTGGAATTCAACAATGCACCAACCCAACCACGAGCAAAAGGGAGTTTCTTCAGGAACAAAATTTTTTAAGAAAATCAATTCTATTAAGGATACACGGTGGAGATCATACGAGCTTTTCAGAAGCAATCCTAAATTATATGAAGATTTACGTTTTAGAGTTACGCTTGCCACTCAGTTGTGTCAATGTGGTAATATTGGCACAGAAGAATTCAAGTCACATACCATTATTGGAAGCATCCAGAAAAATGTGCGAACTCTTATTGATGTGGGAATTCAATACGATATTGGGATATTAACCACTGAAGATATTTTCATGATTTGTAGTACGGATTATGCGATGAGATATATCGATACAGCAGATCTAGCAGCTGACATGTCTGTGGCTTCATCGAAGTATGCGGTAAAACAAACAAAGCTGTTCGAGGTTGGAGAGAGTTTGGATATCATTTTGGATGAATGGATTTACGAACTTGCTGACAAGGAGCATAAAAGCAAATGGGTCAAATATCAAAAAGGCTGTTCCTTCTACTTTGAACACAAATACCAAGAGGCAAAGGAAATATTGTCAGAGTTCGAGCAAGAATATTTCAAAAAGTATCACATTATGGATTTGCCTGCGCAGCACATGATCCAGTTGTGCAACCAAAAGATGCGTGAGCAAGGAATAGTTGATCATCAACAAGTTGGAATTGAATCTGACCACAAAATTGCATCTAGTGTTGTGCAATAGTTGAAGATGTTTCTAAACTAAGATGTCCCTACCGTGGTTAAATATGAGGTTTATAGGTGGTTGGCTATTGTGGTTGATTGAAGGAGAGTTTATAGGAATGAGGATATATCATCCAGGAACAAGTCATCTCGTGCATCCAAAAGCAGCAACCACAACAACATCATCAAACTCCATCAGTTTTGTCAAAGATCTTTTATTCGTGAATAGTAACACCTGGATGACATATTGTCTTTTGATAATTAAAATATTAAAATGTATTTATTTTGAGATACTTAGGGCGTTCCCCAATAGCAGTGTTGCCTCATTTGTTGCAGCCTTAACAGAGCTTGGTTCAGTGTTTTATGTACATCACTCTGGGGGTCAAGCATTTTCTTTACAAGGGAGTACATGGTTAGAATTTCATCTGCAATGTCACCAATTACTTTCATGTCCACATAGAGCTGATCAAACCATTTTCTTGCCTTTTCTTTGTTGTCAGTGAGAATACATGTCATGTAGATGGAGGTAAGAGAAATTAAATAGGGGGCATATTTCAGAACAACGTCCGAAAAATAGCTATCGTTGACAATATTCCATGCCATTTGGTAGTGAGCTTTTTCAATCTCAGAATCTTTCACATACATGATGAGAGAATTGTACGGATGAAAAATAGTTAAATTAAACGAGAGTTGTTCCATCAAGTAAAGTTCACATTCAATAATTTGTGATAATTGATATGGAAATTGTGCACTAGTTTCTTTGGTATCATAATTCGGAGAAGGAGAATCCTTTCCCATTGCAATTTGATGTATGTTCTTGGCATTCAGTGGACATTCCTCAATTTTACTTGCCAACAATAATGCTGCCGCTGACAGCAGTGCAGGATCACAGTCCGATATACTATTCTGACAATAAAATCGTTTGCAATAAATCATGGCTGTTGCAATGACTCTCTGATGAGCATTGACCTTTTTTCCAACATCACGCAAATATACTCTCATACAATGCATGAGAACAAGTTGTTTTTCAAATAAATTAAATTGTGAATCATCGTGAGTATCAAATTGTTGTGCGGAAGGTTGAGTTTGCTGAGATGTACTTGATTGCTGTTGTTTTTTGTAATATTGATTTTGTTGCCATTTGCTTTTATAAGGACGCAATTTTACAATTGAATGGTTTTGATCCATTATTTTGAAATCAAAGGATGTTTTAAAATCATCATTATGATTATTAAAATATTTTCAAGTTCCGAATGAGATGTCGCGATAAAGAAAACGAGATTCATCATCAAAAATTCATTCATTCCGCACAAATTGTACCTACTATTGACTAGAAACCCAATAATTATCGCACATTCTTCTTCTCCTCGGTTCAATATTATTATTTTACACTTTTGTGAACGTGAAAAAATTCTTCTTTCCGAAAGAGTCCTTATGATTATACACACAACAACAATCACCACAACATTCAGTTTTTTCGTTTTAAGAAGAAAATTTTTTTTTTCTCTTTTTTTAGATCTCTTTCAGGAACTTTGAACTCAAAAACATTCAAAAAATGTCATCTTTATCACAACAACGAGTGGCAAGTTGTGCACTTCCTTCTCCATTGCTTTCAGAGCTCAACCACGATCAACCATTGAGTCGCCTCCGACCAGTTCCAGAGAATGAGCTTCGTGATTTTTCCTTTCCTTGGCTTCCCATGGGATGTAAAAGTTATGAAAGTTTCCATTGGTTAACGAAGAGAAAGAGAACAACCACCTTTTCCTTTCAACCCAACACAACAACACTCCAACTAGAAGAAGAAAAGACTCATGAGTCTTCTGAGCCTTCTTCTTCTTCCTGTTGCTCCGATGAGAAGATCTCTGAACCACATCTGAACATGAAACAAGAAGAAGAGGCTTGTAATAATAGCACCACCACCACTACCATCACTCGTACCATCATCGCTACCACTCCCTTCACTCACTTTTCCATGTTTTACGACCATCTAAAGGGATCCAAGATTGCTCTCGCCATTCCCGATCTTGAAGGCTGCTGGAACGGAGGAGTGTTGATTCATTGCCATGGACATCGGGCCAAGGGCATTCCTTTACAGGCAGATCTCACGGAAGAGAATATGCCTTTTGCTTTCCGAGAGTTGTTACGAGAGGGATGGATGGTTGCCATGACTTCCTATCGGAGAGAGGGTATTGTGTTGAAAGAGGCCATTCAGGACGTGAATTCTTTGAGGGATTATATTGAAGAAAAGTGTGGAAATATTGAGTGTTGTTTGTTGGAAGGAAGATCGATGGGTGGAGCGATTGTGACTTATTTGAGTGAAATGTATGGCGAAAAGTATGATGGTGCTGTGTGTATTGGAGCTGCTTTGAGAGTGGATCAGAGAAATGAGGAATTACCTCATCTTTCCTTTTCATATCGTCCTCAATTCCCAATTTTGGTAAGTGGTAGTGGCGGATCCATTCTGATGGAATGTACTATGTTTTATAATCCATTCATCTCCATACGTCACCATTCATAATATATTCCATCTATTCTTGTTCTATTCTGTGACGTCCATTTCGAACATTTTCTCCAAGACCAAACAGTACTTGACCAATGTGAGTGAACTTGGAGAACCTTCGAATTATATTGAAAAGGTCAAACAATTGTCAGACAGTGAGGTCAACATGATGCGCCATAAGGGTCTTTTCCAAAATGATCACGAGATTGTAGTACCAGCGCTTTGGACTGTCCACCGAGAAGGTCATAACTTGGTTTCAGAATTGGAGAGATTCTCTGCTCTCTCTAGCTTAATTCAATGGGTCAAGTACAAGAGCAACATTACAATGAAAACGAATGATTCATGTACTACACCAGCACAAATTCCTCCCTCTCAAGTTGAATTTTGCATCTCCTCACCACCCAACTCGACAAATCATGCTCATGGAGCTTGGGGAAACGTCAAACAATTATTTATTTATGGCTCGTTTGCAATCAATTTCACGAGTGAAGATTTTGAAAAGTTAGGAATTGCAGAAGGAAAGTATTTCACATTTCATATTTTGACCAAGACACATGGAATGAAAACTGTGAGTGCTTGTTATGGTTCGTTTCCATTCATCAAACAAGCGACTGACTTGGAATGGATTGCATTTGTGTCACCCGTTGATAATTACATGGTACTTCATGTGAATACTTATACTTTCTCTAATGAGGCCTCCAAGTTGGGCATTGCTCCGGGAGATTCAGTCTTTGTGGAGCAATATAAAACATTGCCTCCTCGAAGAAAGAATTACTAGTAGGCATGATGTTCCGAATCGGAATTGACATTTTGTTTTTTGTAAACACTTGACGATATGCTCCAAATCATGATCTAATGATTCTTGACAAGTCTCTTCTTCTTATTGGCCAGATCAATCTTTAAAAAATGCAACCACCACATCCGCCTCTCCAATCATCGTCATCATCATCATCGCCTCTACGTTTGGTTCTTCTACTTCTCCTTCTGCTCTTCACAGCAACAGTAAGTTTTATTTTGATCAATTTTATTCCCACTCTCACTCCCTACGATCCTCCTTTGGAATGAAATAAATTCAATCCTTGGAATGTTCAATGATGATCAATTCCGAAAATTTCACACACAGTCTTTGGCACTCTCCGATCGAGAGACCACCACTCGAATTTTATTACCTTCCCAACGCAATGCGGCTGCCGTCATGACCTTCATGATGCCATCTTATATTCACATTCCCACTCCGAATATTCTCTCTCGTCATTTTCCCTATAAATTATTTCTGTATCGAGAGAATCATGAAGGAATGGATTTGGAACAATTGAAACAATTGAATGCCGAGAATTTAATGATTAAACCTGCAGAGACCAAGACGAAACTGAATGGATTTCCATTGTTGTTTATTCCACAAGCTCAACATGGATCTTTTGCAGATGTGAGATCATTGGCTGCGACTCTGTATGAAGTAAGTTGTTAACACAAGGAATATTGGTCCAAGAAAATATGTTTGGATGTCTTGTTCACATTTGAACTTCTTTTTATTATTTTTTCAATATTAATGTTGTGTATAATTCATTAATATTAATTTTTAACTATTTTTATTAATATTTATTATTTGTTAATTATTATCATTAATATTATTATTTATCAATTATTATTATTTATTAATTATTATTATTAATTATTATTATTAATTATTATTATTTGCAATATCACACCACATTCAACACTCATCCAATACATCCATTTTTGCATTCGTATGTGAATGAATCTGATTTGATCACCAACATCAGATGAATGGTCACGCCAACTACAGAAAAGAAACCTATGCTGAAGCTGGTTACATTCAACAAATGGTCAACGAATTGTCAGATCCACTCTGGTTTGGAAGTAATCAAACCACTCCTCTGAATGAACAAGGTAACACCGCCTCTCAAGGATCTCTTCTTCTCGGTTTCGATGTGTTTACCATTGACTTTAATGATGGAGAATGGAGTAATTTTCATTCGTCCCTTCATGCAAGACAAGCCGAATACATTAGGAATATTGTGGAATTTATTTTGAAAGCCATTTACAAAAATAGACACAAAAAGATTTTAATTGTGTCACACAGTAGTGAACACACATTTGAGAATATTTCACAGGATTTATTAGATACTGCATTTATTTTGAAAATTGGAGAGGGAAGAGTGAATTGGGATTTGGGTGCTGCCAAAAACAATCCAAAAATGGAATTGAAAACATTCTTGCAAAAATTTGAAAAAGTTTTTTTATCGACAAGGACATTACACACAGAGGAACTGATTGACCATTCATCCACGAAAAACAAAACTTCTTCAGATCTGAATCAAACCATCAGTGGTGGAGATGTTATCAATGTGATGGGAGCTTCTTTTGTTCCACACATTTTCTCAAATATTGACAAATCAGCCATGAAATGGTGCAAACAAGTGCAACAAGTGATGGCCACAATTTTATTGTCTCTCGTCAATTCTGGAGCAAATTCTCAAGCTGGAATTTTAGACCTCTCTCAAGAAGATAAGGCAAATATTTTGTCACAATACTTCTCACTGAAGGCCAACTCCATTGAAAAATCATTCCTGTTAGAGGAAGTTGCAGCAAAACGTGAAAAAGTGAATATGGCCAAATTGAATGAAGATGTTCATGTAGAGTTAACTTTGAATACAGTTCGAAATGTCACCTTAACCAAAAAAGGAGAAACAAAATTTTTCAAATTCGACGTCAAGCACATGCAACACACTGTCAATCAATTATATATTTTCACAAATTTCTATAGAAGAGAAGTGGATGTTTTTGTGAGTGAAGATCTCAGTATTGGAGGTGAAGCTCAAGGACCTGCTCTAATGGCCAAACAAATTGGAAAATTGAATCGTCAACAAATTACACTATTACCATACTTGAATGTTAATGAGGATCATTTAGAAACTTTCAATACTAATGAACATGTTGTGAAAGTCATGATCAAAATTCCAGAAATGGATGTCTTATTTTCCAAAAAGACTCTCTTTGTTCGAGTCACTAATTTATATTCCGTGAATGACATGTCTGCTGGAAAAGAAACCAAATATCCAGAAAGATATATTGTAGTTGCTTCACATCCTGGAACCTTAAAAGGAACATTTAAAAATTTGATCAAAGAAAATTACATTCTCCAAGAAGGAGTTGGTTTCATTCCAAACCATCAATATGAAGAAATTAAGGCCGATCCTTCACCTCATGTTCATTCTTTGGATTATTCGAATTTTGATTTTTGGAAGAATGGTGAAATGATTCATTCCAACAAATCGTACATTGTCATTCCAAACCTCTCAAATTTATATTCTTACAAATTGAGGTATTTCAATAATGAGTGCTCGAATCGAACGCTCTATCCCGTTCTCCAGTATCATTATGGAAATATGTTTGAATATGAATCTCACTATTTACCGATGAGATATTGTGGAGAAAATGTGATCAATCTTCAATTTTTGAATTTAACAGACATTGACAATGCAGATGATGAAAATTTATATGGAATTGCTCTCTACTTTTTAAATAACAAGAATGGAACTAGTTTTAATTTCAAAATTGAATTGGATTATGAAGAGACTTTTATTCACATGATGATTCAACAACATTATCACACCATCATTGCTGACATTTTTGTCATTTCATTGATGGTGATGGCTCTGTATGGTGTGACACATTCTTTGGTCTATTCCTTGCTTTTGACTTGGATTCAGGCTCCTCTATTCATTTATTTACAATTTATTTTCACTCCTACACCTGTACTCTATGTCACAGATTTTAGCATTCTTCATTTAACAGTTTCCTTTTTATATGCCATGATTGCAGTAGTCTTTTCATTGAATGTAATACGAATGGTCATGTTGCTGTTGGGTTTCATTGGTCAAATGATCTTCATTCCCTTCGGAAAGATTTTATGGAGCTGTATTCCTCTTGCCTTATTGGCAACAAGTTTCAAATTGGATCCTTCTCTTCCATTTATTGCTTTCACTTTATTGAGTTTGTTGTTTGGAAATTCGACTCGTTCAAGAGGAGAGGAAGGATACACACATTTGACTTCAACACTGTTAAATGTGTTGTGTTCAGTGATTTTGATGGGACCAAGTGCCTTTTCCTATATTAAGGAATGGATGTATTGGTATCAATATGCTGTGCATCACTCTGCAACGGATGAATTTTCTGCTGTAATTCAGAAATTGTTTTCAGTGGCTCCACATCCTTCATTGACAGCAATTTGTTCCGCCTATTATCTCATTCCATTCTATTTGAGTGAAATGTTGCAACTCTTTATTTCCATAATTAGAAAGAGATCCATCATTCGCACCTATCAGAAAACAAAGACCAATAAGTCGAATGCAAGATCCACCTCTGATTCTCATTTGACTGGAAATTTTGCTTTATTATCTCAAACGTCAAGTGTTAACTCAACAACCATGGATGGAATTCAATTCAGCAACAAAATTACTTTCATTTTGACCTTGTTGTTGATTAGTATTGCCTATGGTGTGGCTATTTTTGCAAGAATTGAAACCTATGGTATCATTTATTTAGTGTCAGTATTTGTTGGAATTGACATGTCTCGACAAGTTTTTCAATGTTAAGAATTTAAAGTTTTCAAACTTCCAAACCAATTAGAATATAATATAATACAAATATAATACAATAAATAAAATACTTTTTCAATTCAAATTCAATTAAAATTGAATATAACATTTTGTAAAAAACATGTCTCTCTTTCATTAGATGTAACCATCAATCAAATGTCGAATCGACGAGGATAACAACGACAACTTTTTACAAAAAAAATGTTCATCTTCTTTCTATCGGTTCTGTTGGTTCTTCTCGGAGGTTTCTTCTTCAAACTTGCTGTCGCACACAGCAAATCCTCGTCCTCCTCAGTGTCCTGGTCATCATCCACTCCATCATTGATCAAAAAGGAAAAATCAACTTTGACATCTGGCACTCCTCAGACTGAAAATACAACATCCACTCCGATTCAATCCATCGATGTTGGACATGATTCTCTCGATCTCTCTCTTGTAATGCCTTCTAAAGAAGAATTTCGTCAAGTTTTTAAAAATGTTTCTTCCATGTTTTTAAAGAATATTTCGGAACAAGTTTCGAAAATGGATAAAATGTTGAATTTGGCACAATCGGGTCAACCAATAACAAGTAAAGTGATTTCAGAGACAGGTTCGAAAAAGTTCGAAAAAGTTTATCAATTGGCAGAAGAAGAACAAACACTAACAGAAAAGCATGGAGTTGAACATGGTGACTTCGAAGAAGAAGAGGATGACGAGTCGACTGCTGTCATTTGTCTGTCACCTTCGATCGAAGAAGAATTTGAATCCGATGAAGAAGAAGATGTCTCCAAAAAATCCGATCAAACCCCTCTCACAGAAGAAGGAAAAAAAGAGAAAATGAATGAAAAACGAAAGAGTATTCTTGCAGAAATTCTCAGCACAGAAGAATATTATGTGAAAGGTCTTCTTATTTTGGATTTTATTTACAAGAGACAAATCGAACAAAAGAAAATTGTCGATCCCAAAGTTCTCAAAACCATTTTTCAAGATGTTGACATTGTGTGTAATGTGAATCAGAAATTTTTAGAGGAATTACGAAAAATTTATGAAAAGGAAAAGAATTTGGAAAGAGAACAACAAAAGTCTCCTCTCGTGTTGAAAGGAAGTGTCATCCATGCTGCCAATTCGAATTTTTCAAGTTTGGGAGAATTATTGAATACCTATGCACATACTTTTAAATTATATGCAAATTATATTTCTGGTTATAAGAAGGCATCGGCTGCATTGTCGGAAGAAAAGAAGAAGAATAAGCAATTGAGCAAGTTTTTGGATGTTATGAAATTGTTGTTGAAGGAACAAGGTGAAAGAATTACACAATTGGAGAGTTTTTTGGTGACACCTGTTCAGAGAATTCGTAAGTATTTTTTAACTCGTTCAATAATTCATTTCAATTGTCATGGAATTGAATTTTAATTGAATTTTAATTTTAATTGAATTTTAATTTGAATCAATTTCATGATGAATGGAAATGATATTCTTTCAATCATGTGAAAATGTTTTCAATGATATGAACGAAACAAATCTTCACATCAACAGCTCGTTATCGATTACTTCTTGAAGATCTTTTAAAGAACACTCCTGACGATGATCCTGCCAAACCAAAACTCAAAGAAGCTCTCGAATTAATCAAATCCATTGCTCTCTATGTCAATGAAGCTGAAATGAAAGTTGAAAACATTCAAGTGACTTCACACATGGTTCACAAATTGAAACTCAAAGGATTTATCAAACCTTCAAGATATTTATTTGATTATTGGGCTGAAGAAAATAACAATACCATTCAATGTAGAAGCAAATCATCAACTTCTCGAGTCCATAATTGTGAACTTTATGTATTTAGTGACATTTTGGTATTTCACAAAAATTATGACAGTTTTTTAGGAGCCAAAGTGGAATTACTTCACACTCGAAAAGGAGCCAAACAAAAGAACAAACTTGTGGTGAAGGAAGTTCAAATTATTTCATCATCATCTTCAATAACAGCATTGGAAGTGACTGTGAAATTTATTTATGAAAATAATTCGAATAAGGAAATTAAATTACTTCCAAAGAATGTTGAAGAAAAGACTCGATTGGAAAATGCACTTCGAAAGAGTATTTCAGTTGTTTCATCCTCGTCCAACTCCACTCAAGGATTGTTATTTGGAAAGAGCAAGAAATAATCATGGAGAGTTTGAGCGACATGTTTGAGAGAGTGTTACGTAGTCGATGCAAATCTTATTCACATCCAATCAGATGTACACGCGAAATGTGACACACGTCGCCTCGTAGAATAAATAATCCGTCTTATCGACCAATTGATATTACAACAAATGAGTAATTTGGGATTCCATGTAGCTGTTTCCTTTTTCCTTTGTCAAGCGATTTATTGTTTCTGATTTACAATAAACTGTCCAATTGGTCATTCTTACTCTCAATATATAACTATAGTTTGCCATCTTCTTTAATGTTCATTAGCAACAACTCGTTGAACACTAGAGTTGGGTGGTTGAGAAGAAGGTAGTGGAACAGTAAGAACATTGGTTGTTCTTGTCAAACAAAATGAATTTCAACATGAACAAAATAAATGTACAAACCTTCTATGTCTCCTGTCGTGCCACCACCAACTCGAAGATCTAAAGCAAAACTCCCAGTTAAATAGTCCTTCATTGATGATATTATTAATCCATTCATGAAAGTATAATGATCCAAGCGGAGTTTTCATTTTTGGCTTCATTTTGCATTTAGATTCTTTGCCTAAAATCCAACCAATTCAACAACAACAGACAACTACACTTCCAAAACCAAGTCGACCTGTTGTTCTTCTTCCTACTAGTTCTACTCTTTAACAACCTTCTTAGGCAAGAACAAAGATTCCAACTCGTTGATCAACCATGTCAAGATTACCATTGTGCTTTTTGAGCAATTCGAGATGAAACTCCTTGGTGTCAGGCATTTGCATTTCTTCCAAGGAGTTCAATTCCATACGGTATTTTTCGAAAAGATCCTGATCTGTGACAGCAGACAAGTACATCAAATGAAAATTGTTTATTTTCAAGCGATGGGAATTCTATTTTCGAATCTAAACGTTGGTGATGACTTGATAATTCTTGATGGAAATGTCAGTCAACAGTGTCTTGGAAGAATTGTTGTCGCATGATTCTTCCGTCTCAATGAAATTTGGAAGATCAAAAGTCAATTTCAATAACGATCCAAGTTTGTTGAGGAACAATTTCATGTACTTTTCGTAATCGTTGGTGTGGTAAAATATTGCATGGGAAGCTCCAGCAGCAATGATTAAATCTCCTAATAATTTGAATTTGAAATATTTTCAACGATTCATGATGGCATTAATTCCATACAGAAAATAAATGTAAAAAATCCACACATACTTTTCATACATTTGACAAAAGGTTGATGAGTAATTTGTGTTGGTTTTACCACTCTTGTATTGTGGCCTAAACTGAGTTGACCAAAGCTATTACTTCCAACACCATACACTTCAATATCGAAAGATGATACAGATCTGACAAAAAAGGTATGATATCCACCAAGAAAGATGTTTGTGAGTTGATTCCAAGGAAATGAAAGTTGTAGCAATTCAATGGCATTAGTATTGTCTCCTTCATGTGCTCCACGAACGAAAACACGTTTTTGATTGGTCTTGTAAATGGTAATACTGTCTCTATCATAAATATCTTCCACTCGTTCATCTTCAGACATTTGTAGTATTTCAATTTGTGTGGTAGCAGCGCTAGTAATTTCGTGCACTCTTCCAGTAGCTATTTATCATGTCACAGATGTTTACGAGACAAGAGTGGTGAATAGTTTTCACAAAGGCAATAGTGTTGAAAAATTAATCAAGCGTTACGAATGAACCTAATAAAAGAAATTCAATCTCTACTTACATGTTAGCAAGGTTAGTCTATTATTAGCAGAATATACATTATGAATATCGTTCGTTCCAATGCATGACATGGTATCAAGCTCTTGCAATTTTCCAACATAAGGTTTCAAATGTTGTCTGACGACATTAAAACCATTCACAAGTATTTTTCGATCTTGAGTGAAATAACATGAATATTGAGATCCACACAACACTTTTCGAAACGGTAATTGCAATTTTGTGCTATTGTTATTCACCTCTGTCACAGGTGTCATGCTGGTGCAAGTGCTAGGTTCTGGGACCACTAAAAGTTGGCCGTGAGAATTTGAACCTGCACCAAATAAATGGCCCTTCTTATTAATGAAAATTGAAAATCCATATCCACATTCGCAGTCCACAATGTGTTCTCCCTTTGTGTCGATTGGAAACAATTCCGTTTTGGCAGAAGTTGACACTCCAAGTTGATTGGATGAATTTGTACCTGTTCATAAGAAACCATCACAATGAGAGTGATTCCATTCAATATTAACGCATGTTAAATACATAGCAATGATCTCATACCTGTTCCGAAACAATGTCCGAGTTCATCAATAAAGATGGTGAAATAGGGACCACACTTCACTCTATGCATAGAGAGATCCAAGATATTTGTTTTATCGATTTAAAAGTATATTTCAATGGTTGGAATGGAAGTAGTAATGGAAGAAGAACAAAATGATGAGATGCATAGTTGTTGTTTCCGAAAATTGTAACCGATTTGATCGTATTATTCCATTTGATCGTATTCCATTTTGAAAATACAAAAACACATACTTGACAATTCTATTTTCAAAGACATGAGTCAATGGTTGAGCTAAATTTACCGACTTGGATGCAATGCCCAATTGCCGTAAATCATTATATCTAAAAACCAACCAAAATGGTTTCATCATGGATGATTTTTCAAAAATAGCATTTTGAAAAACATTGTTCGTCCGATGATCAAAATGACATTCATTATTACATTGATTCAAGCATGACAAAAGAAGAACACAACAACAATATGCATTCCATATACTCCCCTCTCGCACCACACAAAATACCTACCCACAGACCCAAATATTTTGTCTTTTAATTTTTTCGTCTTGTGTTGGGTCTTCTTGTTGAGACATTTTTTGTTGGACAAATTTGGAACATGTTGAAGGAACTGTGAACAAGTTTTACAGAAATTTTTTTCTCAAAGGGTTTTTTGATGTTGACTACAGAGCTCTGTAGTACTGGAATGACTCTTCTTTTGAGGCTTGTAGTATTCTTCTTTTAAGACTTTTGTGTTAAGGGACTCTTAAAGGATTTTTGAGGAAAATTTTAAAGAAGGTATTGATGTCACATTGGATATTCATGAACAAAAGAGGAATTTCAAAATTCATGACGTCGCACCAACATCCATATTTTCATCCGACGAGCAATTTTGCGTAACAGTTTACGTTCGTGATGCCACAACAGCCGGATGACATCTTTCGACGAACAACAACATCAAAAAAACATCCGCTTTTGAGAAACCATTCAACACCAATGCTCTACGAAGAAGAACAAGAACCTCATCAAGAAAATTCCTCCATTCAAAAGTTGCCATCTCTCACACAAACCATTCAACACATCCTCTCCGACCTCATTCATTCCTATTCTTCTTCTTCTCATCATTCATGTACCGATGATGATGATGAAAACAAGAATAAAAACAACAAAAAAATAGGACAACAACAATTACCACCCGGATTGCCCGATGCCTTTTTTCATACGCTCCAACACAAGGTACACTTTCATTCCCCGATGGGCCATGAGGTTCCCATTCTGCCATGTCCTTTCAAACAACATGAAGCCGTGAGTGTGTTGAAGGCAATGGAAGGAGTGTTGGCTCGTCTCATTGCTACGGAACGTGGTCTCGTTTCAACCTCTTTTCCTTTTAACAAGAACCAAGAGGATGAAGAGCCTCACAACAACAACAACCTCCTCAAGGAAATAGGCAATAATACCTCTAGCACGAATAATAATAACAACTCCAACACCACCCGTCCCATTGTAGTCAATCTAGATAGAGCCTTACTCTATCTCAATACCGTGGTGTGGGCCTACGCTGAAGATCCCACGACCATCATGAAGGCTCTTCCGAATACGGATTATCATTCCACGTTTCCTCCTGGAAATGTATGGCGTTTTGCCTCTACCAACATTTATCAATGCAAAGATGGACACTACTATCATCTGCATGGTTCTCTCAACGCAACTCCTACTTTTGAAATGTTGAAACTTCCTCCTTTTCTTCAACCATTAGTAATAGATCAGAATTCTTCTTCTTCTTCTGTGGAGGAGGCGGCACAGACCGTCTCTAAGATCACGGATCAAGAAGCCTATGAACGAATTGCTCAAGTCATTCGGGGAGAGTGGAATTCCGATGAAATTGAATGGACGGCGAATGAGCAGTACAGACAAGCTGGAACTCGATGTTGGACGCGAGAGGAATTTCTGGCAAGTGAACACGGAAAAATCATTCATGAAAAACCATTGTGGGAGGTGGAGAAGGTCGTGTTTGATAAGGTTGAAAAACCAAAACCTTTCGATTCAAACAATGGTGAAGAAATTTCTGACAGCAAGTCAGAAGAACACAAGAGTGTGAAACGGATTTTAGAGGGAGTGAAAGTGTTGGTCTTTGGTAGAGCGATTGCAGCTCCTGCCATTGGTCGTAATTTGGCAGAATATGGTGCTCATGTGCTCAAAGTAATTGGTCCTCAGAATCCAGATGGATCTGTCTTTCAATTGGACAATGTTGGCCAACATTCATGTTTTTTGGATTTAAAAACTGAGGAAGGCAAGAAACAAGTCGAATCTCTCATTATGGAGGCAGATGTGTTGGTACAAGGCTATCGACCTGGCGCTTTGGAAAAATTAGGTTTTGGTTTTGATCGAGTGGCTCAGCTTGTTCAATCTCGTGGTTATGGCATTGTCTATGTTTCTGAGGATTGCTATGGAACAGGTGGACCATTGTCACATCGTTCTGGATGGCAACAAATTGCAGATTGTTTTTCGGGCGTGGCATGGGCACAAGGAAGAGCTTTGGGATTGGAGGAACCAGTGATTCCCTTGTTACCAATTTCAGATTATTGTTGTGGAGTGATGGGAGCGTGTGCTGCATTGGATGGATTGTATCGTCGATGTAAATATGGAGGATCTTATTACATGACCACTTCATTGACCAAATACAATGATTGGTTACAAGAGTTGGGCATGTATCCAGAGGAAGTGGTAAAGGAGTTGGTTCAATCTTTTGGAGTTTCATACCGTTGCCATGACAACATGATGGCTCAAACAACCAAAACCCTCGGCGGCTTGGTGAAGAAAATTCCACAAATAATGGTGGGAAATTTTGGCAAATTTGAAGAGACACCTTTTGGAATTCCAGTCAAGTATTTGAAACCTGTTATTTCGATTCGTGGCACGGTGAATGAGTTTTTGTGCCCTCCAAGACCGCACGGATATGATAAGCCAGAATTTCCAAAATACCGATAAAAGTATAAATTCATCAGAACATTGTTTTACATCTTTGTTGAATAAGGATTTGAAGAAGATTTAAATCTTCGGAATGAATTGTGTGTATGAAACCACTCTTCAACTCTCAGCAAGTGGATTCTTTCATGGGACTCTTTGAAACATTTCTTGTAGATAGGAATTTATGGTGAGAGAGAGTTGGAAGTGTATTTGTTGTTGTAATGTTTGTGTACCGAATGAAACCTTGCCTTAAGTTTCTCTCGCAGCTAAGTTTTAATAACACAACCCAGTTGAAGTAAAAAGAATAAAAAACGGCTACAGCACCGCAGGTTCCCAAGTTGTCTCCAACCTCAGTACTGATGCAGCTCGACGATGCTTGACTTCTCAAATCGGACGGGATGAGGTGCATTCATCGTGATATGGCCGTAGCCACTCACATCCCTTAATTGCTTCTTTTGATTACTCTCTTACCATTGATTCGCTGTTCCCTTCATCGAATCCTCGAACGATTCACGAGATTGAATGTCGAATTTTCGTGAACCACAAAATAAAGCACCCATCGAGTGTGGTGTGAAGCCAATCTTTAAAATCAAGAGTGCATGTCTACTAGCCATTCATTGCTTGCATTTCAATTTGATACTCTGAAAGATTTCAATCAGGTATATGTTTGGCGTGAAACACATAAACCTCCGCATACAAGGCTGAATAAACAATTATCGTCTGACTATCAAACGGTACCTGTTGCAATGAATCAATTTTCATGCACAACGATACAAAGTCATCCATACATTACTCTTTTTCTCATACTATTCACATGCCAGTTTTATTTTAATAAGGCCCTTTGTAATTTCATATTCACGTCTTGCGTTGTTCTAATGATGTAGCAACTGCTCGCACAAACGAATCATGTGTTCTGCAGGTTTATCATTCGTGTTGCTCTGATAAAATTCTTGGAACATTTCTAATGCACCTCTGTAATCCTTTTCAAAGTACAACTGACATGCTTGATTATAAGAATTCCATTTGTTCTTCTTTTGTTGATCTGCCAATTCATACATCCACTCATCTTTTTTCACAACATTTACGTTTCAAACAAGTTTTTAAAAGACCATGTGTTTGTGTTAAAACATTTCACCTTTTCAAAATGCAAACCTACCTTGTGAAACAGTTAAAGAACCTCCCAATTCATAAACCTTTGTGGAATGTTGTGGAGGCAATTCTTGATTCGAAGTAACAGACACAATGAATGTATCATCTACGCAATTCTTTGTGTCGACAAATCTTGTTTGAAATAATTTGGAACACACTGAATTCACTTTTTCACAACACACAATAGAAATGTCCAATCTCTTCGACACTTCAATCAGAGATGCCAAATTACTCTTCGAACTGCTCATAATTGTGAAATTCTTAAAATCATTCGAACCAATATTTCCACAATAACATTCTTGAGAGATGAGTGCCAATCGGAAATTCATCGCATCGTAAAGATGAGGTTTCTTTTTGACGAGATCATGATTTTTCCATTTCATGTATTTCACAGAGAGAAGCTTGTCATGCAATTGTCGAGAGACTTGTGACGCTTTTTCTTCGTGATTGGATTGATTGGAAGAGGCATTGAAAGCAATAGTGATGGAATCATTTTCAATGGAGGAAATGTGACCTCCAGATAATCTTGAAATGCTATTGAGTTGATCGAACACATCGCTTTTCAAGATTTTCATGGTTGTAAAGTAAACAAATCGTTAACACACTCATTCAACCATTCAAAAAACTTACCTTAATAACAACACAGTATCATACGGACTCATCGCATGAATCCACTCATTGAGTCCATCCAAATGAATTTCCAACAATGTAACTCTTCGATGTTCCATATATAATGAAAACTTGTTCACATTCTTCTTTTTCGATTCCACTCGATGATACGAAGAGTTTTCGATCGATTGTGAACTCGATCCAGAATCACTCTTTTCACTTCCTGCCACTGAAGGTCGACGATGAGAGGTGGTACGATGTTTCATGGAAGATCCACCCGTAGAGTCTGTTATATCTTGTGCATGATTGTCAGTACCATTTTCAGCATTTTGAGAATTCTCAATTTCAGATAGCAAGTGAGCTGGAATGAAACTTCTGTACAATTTCATGCGTTGAACCATGCTCATGAAATGTTTTTGTAATTGTTTCACTTCTGAGAAGGCACTTTCCTTGAGTTGAATTTTGTCGAGATCCATTTGAGCCACATTCTCAAATAATTGAATTAAATGATAAAAAGGTTTCACAATTTTCAATGAAACAAACACTCCCAACACAATACCAAACATGACAATGAGAATACTTCCAAATATGGAAGAAATGATGGCAATCATTGTGGAACCAACATAATTCCATTGAGGCATTGCCAAGACAACTACCCAATCAATGTAGTTTTTCGTGCACATTCTCTCGACCATGATGTACATGGAGGAGGAAGTGAGAACAATCATGGAATTGCATGGAATTTGTTTCCAGTCGTTTTGATAGGCAGAGAGAATGGTGTTTCCAATCGATTGTACTCCAGAATCGTTTACGGTTTCAGTGGTTTTTCGATTGAGACTGCCATCAGCAGCAAATTCAGTAATGACCACATCGCTGTCAACTGTCGTTAAGGTGTGAAGATGAATATTCGACCTTAAAAGAAATGTGACCTGTCATACTTACTTGCAATTAACAATGCAGTTTCAGTCTCAACAATGAACCCTTTCGAATTTGGAATTGATTTTGTTCGATTCTTCAAAAAGTTACTAATGGTTGTCACTGTTAAATCCACTGCATAATAATACGTGAAATTGTGAGGTGATAACAATTTGGCGTTTTTGTCAACCACACAACTCAAAATGGTAATGAACACATACTAATCGAATGGAAATGCATGGTCGATATGTCACTTCAATCTCTAATACTTACTTGTGGCATGGCAATTGATCCATAACTCAAGGTAAATGCTTGTTCATTGGGATGCTTGTCACACGTGTCAATAATCACTGACAAATCAAAAGTGGCCATCGTTTCGTCTGGAGTGAAACCTCTGTTGCAATAATCATACTCTGAAGAATTGTGACAATAGTAAACAGTTTGAATTTCAGGAGTAATATTGAAAGTGGCTGGCATGGTATCTGTCCACAAAATAACACCAAAACAATAATTTAATGGATCTCCAACGTATCCTGAAATGATAATTCCTTCTTGATATTTCAAACCACTCTAATGTGTATTATAACATTGAATTTCATGTTGTATTGCCATGAAAGCATTTTGTGTCAAAATCATGTCCATCAAATAAAAGAAATCAAAACTATATTAATCATAAAGTTGTTCAAATTAAACTTACCTTATAAGCACTGTACATTTTACGTTCAGATGTTTGATAATCATACATGGAAAAGTGATCTCCCACCAATTGTTGTTTCACTGCTTCATTCGCAATGGCAACTTCTCTCAATGTTTGATCAGCATAATTAATAATACTTTTAAATTCACCATCTCTTTCTGAACTACTTAAACGAAAGACCGTTGGAGCAAATGAACTAATCCAAGTGGCAGACAAGACAATGACTCTCAACAAGATGAGACTTGAAATGAGGAGAATGAGACAGAATTTGATGGAATGAATGCATGACATGTTCATTGTGAACATAGATGCATCAGATAAGGAATGTTCTGAGGTGAGAGTGTTGTAGGGAGAGTTTTCATGATCGTCATTGTCGTTGGTGGTGGACTCAGACTCTTCAGTTGGAGTGGGATGAATTCTCTTCAATAGAGTCATTGATGTTTGAAGGGAGAGTTTGATGCCAAGGGCACAACGTCAGTCTGAACGAGGTAAATATAGATATGAATGTATGTGTGTATGTGTGGATGACAACAATGTGTCTTGGCACAGTGATTGATTTGAGGGAGTTTTTTTGATTTTTGCATCTTGCCACATGACATCAAGCCATCATTACCATTTCAAATCTCGTTTTTACGAGCTCTATCGGTATTAACACTTGCGGGTAAATTTCATTGTTAACATGGTACAAAAAAATTGACGTTTCATGAAGAGTGAAGAGATATGGCATTGTAATGGCTTCAATAATCATCAAAGTTTCCTCATCGTGTATGATGTCACTTTGAACTACGTTAGAGATTGTTAAAACCATCTCCATGAAAATACAACAATTCAATTGTTCAGTACAACCCATCAAAGTGTTCAAATGTCCTTAATACCATTGAGCTGCGAGTAGAAATAGATATAACCAAAATGGCATTCTATTGCACTCTTCATCAATTATGGCTGCTGTGTGTCTTATTATTTCAATCATGATTAACAAAATCTACAACATGTCTATTTTCATAAATAGTAAAATCAATAAAAATGTTCATTCATAGATCCAAACATGTTGTTGGCATGTCTAGAGCTATAAAAAGTTTTTCAAAGAGTCCATGGAATTCAATGACTTGAACATGGTTTCTTTCAGTAATTCCATCATCTTGTTGACCATTCCATCTTTCCATGAAATGGCAATATGAGCATTTCCATTAGGATCATACAAAAAACATGTTCGTCCATCTTGCTCATTCACCACAAAATGTCCTCTCACGTAATTTAAGAATTTTCCTGTAAAGATGGCTTCATAGGTTGTAAGAGCATCGTGAGGACAAGTTCCATTAATGGGTTTATGAAAAGAACAAGTTCGATGTTTGAGCCAAACATCCAATAGTGTTCCCACAATGTGAGTCGCTCGTAAATAATTTTCTTGATATTCCTCTACAATATTGTCATTCGAGTAGGGATCTATTCCTCTATGAAAGGAAAGACTTTTCATTTTGTCAACAACTGATCCCTCGAACCAAACGCTATGAGTCACCGTGTGTCCTACACAATAGAAATTAAATCCTGCTGCGAACACCATGGCAGCTGCATACTGATCTTGTCTTATATTATGACATGAATGACAATGATATTCCTTTCCTTTCTCAAATACTTGAGGAAGATCAGAATCGACAGGAACCACTCCACCACCCATAAACACGAGTTTTTTCAAAAGTTTTGGTAATTGAGGATTCAATTGGAGAGCCATGGCAACATTGGTCAAAGCTCCCAATGAAACAATGGTTAAATTTCCATTCAATTCTTGTGCTTTATCGGATATAAACTCGGCAGCTCTTCTCGAATAGACCTTCTCCAATTCATGACGATCGAGAAAACAATCTTGTTGTGCTTTCAATTCTCTAATTTCATCATCCGTCAATACACCAATTCCTTCCGTTCGAGCATGCCAACAAGGTAACACCACTGGTTCATGAATTGGATAATTGGAACCTGTGACTATGGGAATATCCAATTTGATGCCTAAATCTTGTTCATGAGCTTGAATGATTCGACGAGAAACTGCTGATCGGATTTCAACATAACCATACACGGTGGTAACTCCAATCACACGAACACATTCCGAAGGTAAATGCAACAATGAAAGAAGAGCCAATGAATCATCAATATCCGATGCAATATCAGTATCAAAGATGAGATTAATAATTTCTGTTGAAGAAACGACCTCGTGTGGAACAACTGCTTGATCTTGAGAAGGGTTTTTCATAGGACTAACGGAGTTTGTAATATTATGATGATTTTGAATCATCGGAGAAGCAGAGTTGAATTGTTGAGCTGATAGGACCTGTTCCAACGTTGTTTCATCATTATTGAAATCCTCATGACTCAACTGATGTTTAAGTTCTGAAATTCTGTCCGAAAATTTGTTTTTATTGTTTGTTGGTGGAGTCCGAGTGGATTTGGAAGATGATGATGATGAAGAGGTCATGTCCACCTTTCCTTGATGATGTTGTCCCATTTTTGTTTAATGTTAACGACATTAAATCTCTAATACTTTACAATCATTGTAAAATTATTGATCAAATATTTGTTGAGTGATGCATCTCTTCAAGGTCAATTTCAAAAAAGTCAAAACTATTTAAAAAAGACATGCAAAATGACATTCAATCTCAAGAAGAACGACTCTGAAAACTCTTTGATAAAAAGAATTGATTCTCTTCAAGTGCAGGATTGAAAAAATAGCTTCACTTTCTCTCTCAGAGAAGAGAATCACAAAGAACTTCTTTTCATCACCAACATCATCATCATCAATATAGATACAAGATCATTCAGAATGGGAAGAAAGAAGAATCATCATGGAGGAGGAAAGATTACCTTTTCTCTTGCTCAATTTCAAGGTCAAGTGCACGCAGAGACTGAATTGTTAATTTCCGAGTCTTTTGGTGGTCGTCTTGAAGAATTGGAAACCACATCAACCAAAACAACAACCATAATCACTACTACTACTACTACTCCACTTCACGGGATCGATGAGAAGGATGAAGAAGTGAATCATCGAGTTGTAGATTCTATTGAAAGGTTGAAACACAGTAACAGCACCTCCTCCGAGTGGAATGTTGAAAAGACTCATCAACTCATTGGACAATTAGATCATCATCATCATGACGATCATTATCCTTCGTACAGTGTGGGTGATTTTGCTAATCATGGTGATGGCGAACAAGATTTAGAGGCGGACCTTCGTTTAGCTCTTGCTTTACAAGAAGAAGAAGATTATGCATTTGCTTCTCATTGTGCAACGAGAGAATATGAAAAGTATCATCCAATGCGAGTGGCAGTCAATCCAGGAGGTGGCATTCAAATTGGAGGCAATTCTGGCTTTGATTTACAGCAGAGATGTACTCGAGCGAATCAATTGAAAGTCATGGTCGTGGAAGATGAAAGTTACATTCGAAAGAATCCAAATATTCAACACAACTCAACCAGGAGAAGTAGTTATAGTGGCGTGGGAGGTGCTTGTAATATGCTGTTTGATGATTATGAATTGTGTGGCGATGATGATTCTTTGTATGCCATGATGAATGGTGGTGACTTTGACGATGAGGACTATGGCGACTATGAGGAAGATGATAAGGACGAAATGGATGACTATGATGATAATAATTATGAAAACTTTTTCGATCGTATGGAAGACGATCTAGGTTTTGATGATCATCAGCAAGAAGAGTCTTCCTACAATCATACGCTTGAACCGTCGTCTGAAGTGCCGTTGACAAATAGTCAACCAGAAAGAAGCAAAAGTCTTGAAGAAACCTCAATACCTGTAAATATTAAGAAAAAGAATTCACAAGCAAGCACTCATTCAAAGTTGATCAATGCTGCAAGTCAAAGTTATGATAGTGGATCACATTCGTACGACAAGAAAAAGGAAGGCCGTCTTCCTAAAAAGAACTACTTAGAAAATAATACTGTCAATCGTGTGGTCATACCGTCACATGTGAGAAGTGCCATTCACGCCAGTGAAAGAAAACAAATTGAAAAAAAGATTAAGGAGGGTAACAAGATGGAAGATAGAGCCACTGTTGAAGGAGTTATGGACAAGAAAACTCGAATGATGCTCTACAAGTTCAGAAATAATGGTACTCTCGATTCCATCAATGGATGTTGCAGTACTGGAAAAGAAGCCAACGTTTATCACGCCACAGCAGGACAGCCATTTGAGGGAAATGTCATTGAGAATATTCCTGGAGTTTCGACGACATGTCAAGGTGGGGAAGAGGCGTCTCCCAACGCCTGCAATAATGATGATGAAAACATGTTGAGATCTGATCTTGCCATCAAAATTTACAAAACAAGTGTGTTGGAGTTCCGCGATAGAGATCGTTATGTGACCGGAGACAGAAGATTCAAACATGGCTATTGTAAAAGTAATCCAAGAAAGATGGTTGGTGTATGGGCAGAGAAGGAACTTCGTAATTTGAAACGTATGGATGAAGTGGGCATTCGAGTGCCCAAAGCTATTGCTCTCAAACAACACATTCTCATTATGGAGTTTATTGGTAAGGGTGGAAGATGTGCTCCAAGATTGAAAGATGCAAACATTCCAACCTCAAGACTCAAACCACTCTACTTGGATATTATCAAAACAATGCGAGCCATGTATCACAAGGCCAAACTGATTCATGCTGACCTTAGCGAGTACAATATTCTTCTGTACAAAGGCATTCCATATTATATCGATGTGTCACAGAGTGTGGAGCATGATCATCCTCACGCCCTAGAATTTTTACGTAAAGATTGTGAAAACATTAAGAACTTTTTCGAACGAAAAGGTCTAGGTCTGAATGAAATTTTGACCACTAAAGGAACTTTTCGACTTTGTCACCGATGTAAATATTAGCGAAGAAATCATTGACGGCTATTTGGACAAGATGTTCTCTAAAATTCAAACACGTCCACCCGTTCTAAATGAGCAGGAACAAGTTCAAGCTGAAATTTTCAAGCAAGTTTTTATACCTAGAGCCCTTATTGAAATTGAGGATCCTCTCGATCATCAATCGGCAGTCGACACAGATGATGTATTTTTCTACAAGAGTGTGACTGGAATTAATGCTGATTTGACTGCCTCGACTAACATTCCTTATGGTTTGACCGAACAGGAGATGCATGAAATCTTCGGAAAACCATTGAATGAAGAGGAGGATGACATTATAGAAGAAGATGATGGTGATAGAAATGTAGATGACGCTTCTTCAACACCTCCACATCATCATCATCAACATGACCCAAATGACACCAGCTTTAAACATGATCGCAAAGAATGGAAACAATTTGTCAAGCAACAGAATCGAGAGAGACGACAAAACAAGACACCTAAAAAAGTGAAAAAACAAATCCTCAAACATACCACCAGAAAGCCTTAATTGATTAAATATTTATTATTCTGAAATTTCAATGAATCATTACCGCAATATAATTGTTCCTCTGGACTGCAACAGCCCACAAGTCAACACCGATGCCAAAGTTTTTAAAAAAAAGTAACGGCTGAGCGGAAGCTCCTTCGACTCCAACCTTAAGGCCATCCCTTAAACACAGTTCATCGTGTAGTTTATCATTCCGAAACGATTCAATCACCGAAGGAATTAAGGCGGCAATGAAGAGTCAAGAATTCATCGAACAAAAGGCCTCCATCCTGAAAAATCATCACCACCATCAACATCAACATTCAAAATCATCTTCTTATGAAAGCGCATCAAGAGAAGACTCAAACCAAGAGGGAGATCATTCCGATTCCAATCTGAGTGAGATTTCTTTGGATCTTCATTCATACACCTCGGATGATTATTCCTATCATCATCAAAGACATGTTTCCTTTCAATTGGAAAATGATGAAGAAGTGAAGGAGGATGCTCAACAAAACCGTTCTGAGAAGGATCACCACTACCGTCCTCCTTCTCTGAATGATCTTGCATCAAAGAATGTTGATACAAACACTCGTGATTATCCGACTTTCTCACCTCCAAGACTGGTTCTATTAGAAGAGCATGAAGAGGACATTCGACCTGTTCTCTCCTCTCCTTCTCCACAAGCGATTCAGTCATCACGGTCAGGAAGTCAGACCCAAAATCAACTCTCTGCCTCACCAAAAAAGCACTCTTTAAGGTACAACAATTATCAACAACCAGCAATAAGGCAACAGCAAGAATTCCATCCACCAAATACGGGGACTACTGCTGCCTCTCCCTCTTCTTCTCCTTCTTCCTCCTTCACAGAACCATCGAACAGACTCCGAAATCATTCTGCCTCCTCTCCGAATCTGCACTCTTCGTTCTTGATGAACAATAATCCTGTCACGACCTCTTCATTCATCTTGAACACTTCCATGACGAATGAGGAGGAATCGGGGAGATGCTAACGAGTAGCATGATGGACGATTACATGATGACCACAACACCTCAAAAAGTGGTTCCTAAACCGCCACCGATGGCAATGCCAGAAAAGGCATCTCCTCCTCCATTATTGTCATCGAAATCGAACTTGTTCGAAAAACTATCAAGTTTCAAATCTAATCTTCAATCAAAGTCACTCACGTCACGGAATGATCTCCAAGAGTTGCCACAGGTGCCACAAGAAGAGGACGAAGAAGATGGTTTTCTGAATGATATTATTTTGTCCACTCCCAGCAGTGGAAGTAAGCATCATCAGCATCATGTACATTTCAATGGGCCGACCATTCCTTATTTACCCAATTCTCATTTGCCGCCTGTATCACCCATTTCTTCCAAGACCAATAATTGGATAGAGTTGAAAATCAAAATGGATGAAATGGCCAACTCTGGTACCTCTCAGAGCCATGCGACAGAGATGTTTTTGGCAGCTCAAGAAGGAGATATCGAACTACTGAAATCCCTAATAGATGTGAAAAAAGTGAATGTTAATGCAAAGGATAAGGAAGGATATGGCCAAACAGCATTGCATTATGGATGTTGGTTTGGAAATCTAAAAGTGGTCGAATTGTTGATCTCAAGAAAAGCAGATATTAATGCTGTCAATGATGTAAGTGCTTTGAGAGTTAATAATTTTTCTCCTTTCTAATAATTTTTTTTCTTACACGATTGAAATTCCTCTTGATGTTTCTTTTCGATCATGATTTGGCAGTATAATCAAACACCTCTTCACGAAGCAACCTTTCGAGGGCAACTTGGTATTGTCAAACTTTTGCTAAAAAACGGAGCGGACAAGAATGTGACTGATCATGTTGGGGAAAAGGCGCTTGATTATGCCAAGAGAAAGAAGAATGAGGCCACAAATTTCACAACGGAGAATGTCTACAAGGAAATTATCAAAACAATTGAGAGCTATACGGCTGATGAGGGCTTGGTATCTCGTCCGAAAACATCTACATGTTGTTGTTTTCAATAGTAGTCACGATCCGTATTAATCTTCTTCAAGCTTTCTCAGTTTGCCAAAATATTGAAATAGCACCATATTAATGACTTTTGAGGCCAGTCAGAACTGTTGTACATCGTACCGTAAAACAAGAGCCAATTCCTTTAAATAAATTATGCTATATTAATTCATCGACATTCTGACAATTCATGAAAGGGTATAATTGGAGAAACATATCTCTCAGTTTTCCATTACATAATGCTCTCCAATCTAGTATTACAGGTGATTATAATATTCTTAAGATATTCAAATCTTTGTGTTTTTGAAATATAACGTGTTAATTCTAATTTTGTGTCACTACCAGTGAGGTTTTATCACCAGAAATGTCCAATCTTAAAATACTTCCAGCTAATTTGATTGTTTGTGGACACTTTAAACCTCCCTCCGTACCTCCAAATGACACCATTGAATATTTTCCTACACATAAACTCATTTCTCCAGACGGAAGTGATAGTTGCTCAACTTTTGTCTCCTGAATATTGGTTGAAGATGTAAGAATACAAGCCTTGTAGGTTTTTGTATCTCCTGGAAGAGAGTACATTAATTGCAAACCACTGTCAAGTTCATCAATAAAGTATTTCACAAGAGCCTCCGAAAAAACTACAATTACAGAGCGGAATTGTGTATGTTTTGCCGCTTCGCTCGAAAACCATCTTTCTGCTTTTTCTTCAATTTGTTTAAAGTTTTGTTCATGAGTCTTGTTTTTAAGTACCGATTGTTCTGTCAGTTTCACTTCCCATCGTTTTCTGTCGTGATGGAGTGTTATGGTTGTTCCTGCATCCGATCCTCTGATGAATGGTGTGACGTGTGCAGAATAGCAGGTGCATGGATGATTGTTTGGTGCATGATTGTTTGATCATTGTGTTGGATATGGTCGTTGTGATGAGAGGTGACATACAATGTTCGATCATGGGAACACATTTATGTCCAAAAATTCATTATTTTGAAGGGTCACATTGAAAACCACAATAGAAGATAGTATCACAATCATCATGTGATCGCCAATTCCATTCATATGTATATCGCATGAAATCAGTTAGTTCATCATCACCATGTTTTAGCAAAAACGATCGGGGTCAGTATTATATTGTTATTATGACATTGTTAATTTCAATTCAAAACAACCAAGACATTATTGACATGAATTAGATCAATCAAAAATACATTGTAGGGTGATGATGCACTTTAAAGTACTTACCTTGTGTTGAACGACTTTCCAGCTTTGTTTTGCATCTGAAAGAATTGTAACTCATTCAAAGTAGATAATACTTTGGACAAACTCTCTCTCTTCTCATCATCACCTCCTGTGAATATTAAATGATGAATCCTATGAATATTACCCGATTCTTCTGTAAATTCATATTTATTCTCGGGACAATCCAAAACAATCATTCGTCTGTTTCCGATGGTGAGTTCTGAACTTGTATTGGTTTTGATGATGCTGAGTTTGAATGAAGAGATATCAGCCTGAAGAGGCATGTTTGCAGCAATGGAAGGAGTACCAGATTCCTTGGATGAATTTCCTCCCATTTTTTTTGTTTGATGTGTTGAGATGAATGGTTGAATAAATTAATTGTTTGTCTCATTAGAGTTTTCTTCCGACTCTAATGAGATGATGATTTATTGAAAAGAGAATGTCCTAGAAGTGGTGTGAGGAATCAAACGTTGGTTGGTTGTGGCTTTGGTTTAAAGTAATTGGTGATACTGTTCAATTTCTTCTTCTTTAAAGTAGTCGTTTCAGAAGAGGATGAGAGTGTGGATGCAGCTGCTGAATGAGAGTTCTTCTCAGAGGGAAGAATATTTTCCTTATTCTCCTCTGGTCGATGATGTTCCAACTGTTCTGAGGTTGTTGTTGCTGTAGCCATGCATACATTAGGATGATCCACAAGTGAGGAATGATTGTCTTGCGTTGTAGGAGTGATGATTTCGAGATCGGCACAAGTGGTGCTTGTGGTGGCAGCTGAAGAGCTTTCTGTTGGGTTCTTTTCCTTCTTTTCCTTCTTTCTCTTTTTTGTTTCTCTCTTGGATTCTTCTTCGTTTGACTTGTTTTTCTTCTTCTTTGATTCTTTCTTTTCCTTCTGGTTGGTTTCGTCCTTCTTTCTCTTCTTTGCTTCATTCTTTGTCTTTTCAAGCGCAGGCTTTTCATCAGTCATGACTGAAGAATCTTCAACAGTTTGTTCTGGTTTCACTAACCGAGGAGCACGTTTAAAGATCTTCTTGGTATTTCCATTGGCTTGATCTTTCTTGGGTTCCTTTTTCTTCTTTGATGAGGTGGTGGCAGGCTGTGAAGATGACTGAGTCTTATCTTCAAATGAAGCACTCGCCAAATGAGTGGTAACATCAAAGGCGGGAACAGAACTTGCTTCGGCCATGATCGCATCTTGTTGTGGATCTAAAGAGATGTCTGTTGTGACAACCTTTAAAGTATCGTTGTCACTACTCAAAGCAGCTGCTGGTACTGCAGTGTCAGATGTTTTTGGAATCATGTCACTAGAAGCTTCGGTCAATGATGAGTTCGCATTGCTCATTGTTGGAGGAGCAGCATCATCCTTCTTGTTGGAAGTCTTTTTGTTCTTTGAAGAGCGTGTAGTCTTCTTCTTGGTAGACGATTGTTTCTTTGGTTTTTTAGGGCTGAAGAGAGTTTCTTCCAAGGTAGGTTGCTTAGGTTGTTTGGCAGCTTTTTCACCCCCGTTATGACCATCTTGCAACTTGGTTGTATCGGTCGAGGAGGATCCTCCTGATTCTACCTTTTTCACTTTCTTTGCAAACATGTCCATCAAGCTCAATTGCTTGCCCTGAGTCTTGTTTGGCTTTGTCTCAATATTAATTTCATTCCATTGTTTGGAGAAGAGTTTTTGTTGGCGTGTGGTACCTTTTCCAGCTCCCTTTCGTTTGGAGCTTGGCTTCTTCTTCTTTTTGGTACCGTAACTTTCATCGAAATCTTCATCATCCAAGTCCTCTTCATCGAAATTATCTTCATCTTCATATTCATATTCGTCTTCTTCGTCAAAGTCCATATCGTCTTCAGCATCATGATGACCACGAGAAGACTTGTTCACATAGCTCTTTCCGTACTTGTTTCTATTAAAGAAAGAAAAGGAGTTGACATGAATGTCGGCAGGTAATTCAGCAAGCACAAGCTCCTCATTGAATGGAACATCTGGATTTGTTTTGTAGTGCTCTTCTCGTTTCGCCTCAATGAATTGTTTTTCTTTAAGCTTGAGCTCGTATTGCATCAATTGACGTTTGAAACCATCATTGATACGATCTCGACCATCAATCTTTTCCGTGACATGTTGGTAGCAATCCTTGAGAGACATTTTGAGGTGCTTCATTCCAAATGCAATAAGTGTTGAGACACTTCTGCTTCTGCCTTCTCGACAGTGAATCAAAACTTTTCGGTCTGGATACTGATCAAGAAATCCCACAATGACGGTGATGGCGTCATCAAAATACTCAGAAATGCAAATCTCACTCGAGTCCTCAATGGAGATATTATGATAAATAATGGGATGATTCAATTTTACCGTTCGATACACTGGAACGGCTTTTTTACGGCTTGGATTGGTCAACTTCTTGGAAGAAGATGACTTCTTCTTTGAGGAGGAATTTCTTGAGGATCTTGACGGTGTTGTTGATTTCTTGCTGTTCGGTGTTGCAAATTCTTCGTGCGTATGAGTGACATCGGTGATGGGTATCCCAGAGTTAGAATTGGACTCAGAAACAACAACAGAATCGAGCGTGTTGGAGCTGAAGGAGAGTCCTTCACTCATGTTTGATATTCTACTGAACTCTTCTTCAGATCCAAGTGTGGCAAAGTAAGAGTTAGAACCAGCTCCACCAACACCATTGGACATGACACTTTCAGAATCCAAAAGCATGGGATCTGAAGAGGCTGAAGAGACCAAAGAGAGCTGACTCGAGGAATACCTCGAGTTTTCCATCATCTCATTGCTTGCAGAAGAGGAAGATTGAGAAGGAACGAGTAAATAATCAGAGACTGTGGTTGAAGTGGTCATGGAAGAACCGTGATGATGTTGCTCAACGTTCACCAACTCACAGTTCTTGTGATCCGATAAGGTGGTCGTGAGGCCTAGAGGTGAATTTTCTTGTTTCTTCAATAACGAGCAAGGAGGAAGAAACGGTGGATTTGTTGGGTCAGTTGGGTCAGTTGGTAGGCAACCAACAACGAGCTCATCTTCCTCATCAAAGGTGAGCGTGCAAGAATGAGAGGATGTTTCATCAACGAGAGGTGTCGTTGTTGTTGTAGCCTTCTTGGGAGTGATGTTTTCATCTTGTTCATCAAAAACCAATTCATCCATGTCGTGGGAGGATTGAGAGAGACTTCTCATCATCTCGGTTTGTTCATGTTTTCGTAACTTGATTTTGATTTCAGTCTTATTCTCAAAGTGGTTATCAATGTTATCGGTTACGTTAATGACAAGACCAATGTTTTGTTCTTTGAAGAGGTGAATATCGCAGGCATCATCTTTGTTTCCGAGTAGAATTCGATCAAATACTTCCATGGTGGTGGTGAGGAGTAAAAATTTATATCTTTAAATGTTGATTGGAATTGTGAGTGTTAGGAAGAGGGTGTAATGATATGTGGTTCGGATGATTTATAGGATTATTACACAGATGGCATGTGTTGGTTTCAATCGGATCGAGAAAACAATGGTAGAAATATAAATATATTGCAAGGTGGTGTGAGTAGAGGGAGCAGTAATAGGAGATTTAATCGTCGTGGGAAGGAGATGATTCGTGTGTGTGAGTGGAGCAACCTTTTAGCAATATTTTATTGTTTGTGAAAATTTGAATTTTTGTATAACGGTCAGAAAAGGCGGAATGGTGTGAAAACGAACAGTGGCTCCTCATCGTTTGATTCCTGGCAATTTTATATTTTACTACCTTTCCAAAAACAATCCAAAGAACTATTGCCAAAGGATTTTGAAGATCGAATCAAGTTCGAGACTTCTTGACCAAATTCGACACAAATTTCAACGGATATCAAGAAACAACCCTTTTAAAAAATGCTTGGAGAGGTACCGAGAGGTTCCTCTTTTTTCTCATCGATGTTATCATCTTCCTCTGGGATACACCCGAACCAGAACAACAACAACAACAACAACGGTGGAATACAGTCATCATCGTCCTGCTCTGAACCTTCATCATCGGTGCAGTGTTTGCACCATTTCTTTTCCTCCCTCCTTTCTAAAACACTGAATTCTCTATTGTATGAAATTCAAAATACAAACCACTTCTTCGGATCCTTATTCTCTACGGCTGGCATTCCAAATTCTGTCCATGAAAGTTCCGAAACTCATCACAACAACATTTTGAGTGCTACTACTACTATTACGGCCAATACACAACTTCCACCATCATCACCATCTTCAACACTAACATTGCCTCTTGGAAATACTCAGTCTCTCTTTTCCATCATCCATTCATCCTCATCGGGTTCATTGTCGTCCTCATCACCATCATTCCTTCCACAACAACAAAATAACCATCCCTCAAGCACGATCATCACTCGTCTCTCAGATTTGTACATTCCTTTCAATTTTACCAATAATACCTCTACCACCACACAATCACTCATGATTGCTGATTCTGTTCTTGAATATGTTGGAGTTGGCTTTTGCGTGCTTCTACTCCTATTTTATTTGATTCTACTCATTCTCCTATTGAGGAAGAGGAAAAACTTCTTCTTGTCACTGTGGCCCTCTAGAGTTTTAGTTTTATGTGGAGTAATTTCACACTCGTTTTTTAGAATTATTGGATTGCTATCTCAACAAGATTGGTGGATACAAATTCGCAGTGCAAACAATTTACAGGATTCTGTCAGCATGTCAAATAATGTACTCTGTCGAATCTCGTACCCTCTAGAGTTTATATCACTAGTAACTGCATTGAGTGCAGTATTATTTATCATTACGCATAACCTTTCACCTAGAAAGAAACTGGATCGCTCTGCCTCAATGTACACGAGAAAGACATCCGTTCATAATGGTGTTCTACACTCAGCTGGTACCACAGGTGGAAGTGCTGCGTCATCTTCTCATCATCGGCGAAATCCCTCTGTGGTTGACATTTTGGCACATGAAGATGTCGACGACGCAGTCGACTCGGAAGCATCGTGTCAACACGAAAGAACACACTCTCTCACTGGGACCACTATTGAGGACGGTTCTGTAAAACCTTTACTTCGATCACATTCCACATCGAAAAGCATTTCTGAAGTTCGCCCAAATGCCAGAAGAAACTCAGAAGCTAATGCTAAACATGCTTCCTCACAAACTGACCCTAGTATTCAAATGATTGAAACCTCCGTGTCACCAAGGTCCAACTCATCAAAGCATAATGGATCAGAGCACAATAATGGACATCATTACTCTCACTCAGCTGTAATGACCAAGATTGATAGCGCTCCATTGATTCAACAATTTCAAAAAACAACTCCAACAATCAATATTCAAAAAGACAATAAGGCAATCATTGCCAAAACACTTATCATTGTGGGACTATTCGTTTCAATTCAAATTGTAGGAATTATCATTGATTTGGTTTTAACTTACATGATTGGGCATAATGGTTTGGAGTTTCTCTTCAACCATGTCACTCGATCGACTGGTTATTGTGCCCTTCCAACTTCTTCACTCATTATTCAAGGACTATTTTTCTTCCCATATTTTATTGCTTTTAATGTTTATAGCGTGAGGCTTTACAAAAAGCTAGTGAATAAGCGAATGAGACGAAAAATTTTGGCTTGCCAAATTGTTGTAACTTCACTCTTTATAATTTTTGGACTTTTAGGAAAATCAGGAGAAGCCATTTTCACAATTTTACAATCCATTGACACCGATCAAAGTTTATTGTTTGATGTTTTAGTGAGATTATTTGGGGTGGTGCAATCACTTGCATGTGACATTCTTATTTGTTTATTCATCATTGTGTATTTTGTGGTGCTTCCTCTTGCAGACTCTATGAAAACCGATAACTTTTATTCCAAGCACGTGGTTACTCAATCAAGTCCCTCTCAATCTCACTTGAATGTATAGACAATGAATTATGAAGCAATTAAGAAAATTATTCTCATACTTTATACTCGTGCTTTAATAAGACAATTAATACGGATGATTGACAATATTCGCAAGGTTTTGCGTGTTCTAAATTTATGCAAAGATGCAGAGAAACAATTTTCATGTTCTCTAAACAAAGATACAGAGAAACAAAGGCTCAGTGATAGTGTCGACACTCTCTGTTGCTGAACTTGGTGGGCATGTTAAAAATTGTTTCAAAGGTAACTAGCTAATGGGCACTTTCAGGTTCCCTATCAGCAACGATCATTGAGTTGGCTATTTTCGGAGTAATACGGTGCTTAATTACTTGAAGAGCAGTAATTTAAAGCGGGGACACCGAATTTTGTTGAGTGGCAACACTGTCTGACTTTCCTCGTAGACAGAAAATAAATAAATATAATAGCTTCAAATTATGGGATTATCTTTTTCCTGGCACGTGTTCGAGAGTTGTTGAAGATTTGTGAATATATATTTCAAACAATTATGTACAAGTTATTGTTACCACATTTGAGACCATTAATCAGACATTAGAAGAGAGGACGAACAGTTTTTTTCTTTTCGTATCAAAGAGGATAAATTCACATAAATGTCACTGTGGAAAGGAATGGATTAAAAAAGGGCTTGGTAGAAATAACCAACAACAAAAAAAATTCTTCTCTTGTGTTGTATTGTTGTTTTTTACGAATCTACGGCCTTCTCCGAGATTGTTTTGAAGCAGCACTTTTCCACGATTACTACTTGAACAACGACAACATCGCTCTGAAGAAGAATTATTGAAAACGAGAGCACACATCAACAATACTGTGTCCAAATTATTGATTCTCTTACTTTTCGTATTATTTATTATTAATTAATTTGAGATCTTGATTCGGACCTTCTCACGCCGTGAGAAGAACATTTGGCTTAATGTAAGTAGAAGATTGTATGATGTGGCTTATATAATGTGATCTTTGTGTGTTTCTCGTTTCTAATATATCCAATACATATCTACTACTACCCACAACATCAAACCTACGACGTATCGTATTGGAAATCTCTTCATTGTTGTAAAATTAAATTGGTGTTGAATTTCTCTCGAATCATCTTTCCTGCATCATCGCCAAACTTTTGGGTGGTTCATGATACCACAATACTATGATGTCTCTGACAATGACATTTTGCCTCAACAACACGTGGTGGTCTGAAATTACCATTTGAATGAACGTTCCTTTGCTTCATGCCACACATCTTGGTAATTGTCCTAAATTTGGCAATTTTGCATATTAATCTTGTCTTTCCTGAAAACAATATTTGGTTTCATCTTGCGACCCATCTTGTGTTCTTAACAATAACACACTCTCTATACGCACAAAAAAACCTTCAATTTCTATCCGCTACGATTGGTGTGGTGGTTTATGTACAACAACAACATTTGACACCTTGTGTTGTACGGCAACAATTTCTTTCCACCACTGCGAACGATTTTATTGTAATTAATATTTAATTTCTATCTATTCTTGTCCTTCAAATTCCATTGATTTGAATTGTTTTCATATTCTTTGGACTCAAATTGACACTCCAACCTTCCATTCTATTGAATTATTAATACAACACGTGCCTTACATTGTGTACACGGCAACAACATCATCATCGACTTTTATAACTATTAATATATCGGACCACACCACTACCACTTATAATCTACCCACAAAGTACAGAGAGAAAATGCTTTCAAGTCTCCTTCACTCCGCCAAGAAACAAGACATTGATGACTCGAGTACCGATACAGATTCACCACTCGATTCACCCAATAGCACAAAATCGAAAAAGGTCTCTGGAATTAGACGTAATGCTTCTATTCAAGTGGGTTTGAGTGATTTTGAGTTGAGTGGAACCAACGTACCAAACCCAGAGTCAATTTCACTCACTCATCTCTCCAAATATGCCATCACTCTTGCTGGTATTCATGAAGTTGTTGAGGAAAAGAAGGACTTTGTAAAACTCATCAAAAGATTGGACGAAACAGCTAGTATCATAACCCAGGCACATGATATTATCTATGAAGCAATTATGCAAAATCGTCGTATTACTAGTAGTGATGAATGGCTGGTAGACAATTTTTGGATGATAAAGGAACAAATTCACATGGCCAAAAAGCACTTACCTCTTGGTTATGAAAAGGAAATGCCAAAGCTTAACAATACCAAATGTGCGGGTTATCCTCGTATTTATGGTATTGTGTTTGAATTGATCAACTTGGTGAATGGTCAAATCACAGAAGAAAATATTTTCCAATTCGTAAAATCCTATCAATCCGTCAAACCATTGACTATTGGTGAATGCTGGGGTTTGGGTGTCATGTTACGTTTGGGTTTACTTGAAAATATTAGACGTGTAGCTGATGGTATTATCAGTAGAAGACAAGATTGCAACTTGGCAGATGCATGGGCAGATAGATTGTTAACAGCAGCTGAAAAGAGTAGTCGTGACGTTGTACAAATTTTGTATCAATTGTCTCAAAGCGAACCTATCATTACTAATGCATTTGTTTTGCAAATTAGCCAACGTTTGCAAGGTTCTGATCCTGTTCTTTCAATTGTAAATACTTGGCTTGAACAACAATTGAGTATTAAGGGTATCGATATTGATCAAATTTTCAGAATGCAAAAGCAAGCCAACTCTGCAAATCAAGTTACCATGTCCTACTCGATCAACTCTTTGAGATTGATTAACAATTTTAATTGGAAGGAATTTGTTGAAAAATTGAGTCATTTAGAAGTTATTCTTCGTAAGGATCCTTCCAATATTTATCCAATGCAAAACTTCCAAACTCGTGACAGATGTAGACACAGTGTTGAAAGAATTGCCAAGAGATTTAAGTTGGATGAAAAACAAGTTGCAAACAAGGCCCTTGCTCTTGCTAGAGAGAATCACGAGGTACTCCAATCTTGTGTTTTAGGATCTCCACGAGGTAGAAGTAGATCGAATAGCGATGTGACTGAACCAAGTTCTCCTGGTGGATCGTCAAGTCCAACCTCAAATTCTCATTCACTTTCTCCTCGAACTGCTAGTAATGTTATTAAGAATATGAATCCAGATCAAATGTATGACATGAAGTTAATTCGTAGGAAGGCATGCATTTCCTATTGGCTCTTGGAAGATGAAGGACTCATGGAACTTCACAGAGCAATTGGATTCAAGCTTACTCCTTTGCCCATTTCTTGGGTTGATTTAAGAACTCCAATATTCCTCTTGTGTATCTTGCTGTTGACCTGTGGATTTGCCTTCTCTTATATCACTTACACTACTACTTCGTACTCAACTCAATTCAACAGATACTTGCCGTTCAGTAGCTTGGCTTCTTATTCTGGCTCCTCTTATGTTTACTTTATGTATGAAAAGTACCTTGCTCTCATATTGCTTTACATTTCTGTGATTTTAGTTGGAAGTCAATTTGCTGTGAACATGACGAACATGCTATTTGTTCGATTGAAATATCCTGCATCATTGCCATCTATGGATTTCAGCTTGACGGGAATTCCAGATGAACACAGATCTATAGTTGTTGTTCCAACTATGATTACAAATGCAGATGGAATCAAAGAATTAATGTCTGACTTACAGGGAAGATATCTAATCAATCGTGATAAGAACATTCTATTTGCACTCATTACTGACTTTGCTGACTCCAAAACTGAAACCACGGAGAAGGATGACGAGCTTGTAAAGCTTGCCGTTGACGGTATTAATGAGTTGAATAGATTGTATCCAAGAAATATTGATGAACAAAAGGTTGCCAAAACATCTTTCTTCCTTTTCCACAGAAAGAGATTGTATAACCCCGTTGAAAAAGTATGGATGGGTTGGGAACGTAAGAGAGGTAAATTGGCAGAATTCAACAGATATATTCTACATGGAGAAAAGGGTAGTTTTAGTCACATTATTGGAGATACCACCAATTTACACACAATCAAACATGTGATTACTTTGGACACTGATACCATGCTACCTTCTGATGCCGCTCGTAATATGATTGAAACAGCTGCTCATGTTTTGAACGAACCTGTGATTGATCATCAATCGAAACGCGTGACACATGGTTATGGCTTGTTACAACCTCGTGTTAGTGTTGGATTTGCAGGATCAACCAAGTCCTTGTATGCATACATGCACAGCTTAGATTCTGGCTTGGATCCATACACAAGAGAAGTCAGCGATGTTTATCAAGATACATTTGGTGAAGGATCTTTCATTGGAAAGGGCTTATACAACGTTGAAACATTTGAAAAGGTGTTAGGTGACAAGTTCCCAGAGAATAGAATTCTTAGTCACGACTTGATTGAGGGTTGTTTTGTAAGATCAGCTTTAGTTTCTCATGTCGAGGTGATTGAGGATTACCCTTCAAGTTATGGTACTGAGGCCTCTAGAAGACATCGTTGGATTAGAGGTGACTGGCAAATTGCTTCCTACGCATTCAGTCCTTGGATTCATACTGCAAACGGCTATGAAAAGAATACCCTCACTGCCTTACACAGATGGAAGATTTTCGATAACTTGAGAAGATCTCTTGTCCCTGCTGCCATGACTTATCTTATCATGTGCACTGCTTTGTTCACTTCTTACCATTCCAAGTTACCACTCGTGGCAGTATTATCTGTTCTCTCGTTGTACCTAATTCCAACTGCTATTAACACAACTATTGATCTTGTCAAGAAATCAGAAGATATTACTTGGAGATCACACTTGAAGAGAATTCGTTTCAATTTAATGAGATCTTTTGTTGATATTTATGTTGAACTTGTCTTTACTCCATTTGAGGCCTACAATAATATTGATGCCATCATACGTTGCTTGTATAGATTGTACTTTAGCAGCGGAAAAGGACTTTTGGAATGGACAACCTTCCAAGCTGCTAGCAACGTTTACAAGACCAACTTATTCCTTGCCATGTCAAGATTATTATGGTTCCCAGTACTTTTGACTACAAGCATTATTTGTTA